TACGCTAGATACTCAGTCGGTTTAAGAAAAACATTTTATTTGGTAGATAGCCATAAACATAATTGGATCCCATAAGAAATTTCATTTGGAGGCTTAAAAATTGAGAAATGCTTTTTATTTTGGACTGCTATAAAAATCTGAAATTATGGGTTTTTGAGATGCCGAAAACGAATATAAATTTTCGGTCCTCCCCCTCCCCTCCTAAAAACAAAAACAAATAATCAGGATGTGCATTTTTTGTATAATACCTAGAATACTATACATTATTTCTGTTTCTGAATTCAACATACCTGGTTCTGTGCATCTAATCTTATTTTAAATACCAAGCCGGTTTAGAAAAACAATTATTTTTAGCAGATAGTTATAGTCTACAATATTGAGACAAATTAGAACGACAGACATAGCAACGTAAATATATTTTTAGAGAGACATTCGTTGTCCGCATCTCAAAATAACCTTAAGTACGAATTTCTACAGCAATAAAAAAAAATCTTGCCTGGATTGGGTTTTTTTCTCGAAAATCATAAAAATTCATGAGTATATATTTAATGCTACTCCACTGGTTTACACGAAAATTATCAAGGAATCATTATTAGAGACGCTACGGATTCATACAAAATGGCACAAACCAGACTTCCGTATACAAACTAGAGCAAAGATCTAAAATACAAACTTAGTTTACGTTTATTTTTTATCAAGACTTCAATCTAAAAGTTATTGATATTGATTGGAAGAGCAGTAATTCTTCTTTTTAACGGTAGTAGTAAAGTTGAATTTTGAAAAAATCATGAGGAGTTATGAATACTTTAGTTAATAGTAGAAAAAACTACTGCAAGAAATCAATTTCTAAAATTTATATTTTTTAAATTTTATTAAAATTCATATTTAAGGAGTGTAAAGGACGTTAAAGTGAATCTAACTTGGTTTTCCATATAATGGAATAATTTTTCAGGGTTCCTGAGGACTATTGAAAAAGAGGACGAGATATCTGCCCAATATTTGTCGACGTTCAATCCCTCCCCCTCTCCCTCAATACAGGTCGAAATCGGCGATCCCGGAGGCTTTCCTATGTCAGATGAAATTCAAGTGAAATAGCAGTTTTTTATTTGTATTAATTTTTTTATGATAAATTTACAATTTTTTATAAAGTATTTATATGTATATACATATATAGACACTACGGTCCTATAAACATAGGCCACTCTTGTTATCTTCTTCCACTCTCCTCTACAAGGCGAGCATTTGTCAACTTTGGATTCTTTTCCATTTCAGGATGACCTCCAACTCGTCCAGCCATCTCATTCGTGCTCTTCCACTGTCCTTGAGCCAGACGTCTGAGAATAGAGGCTCTGAGCAGCCGAACCGCATGACCCAATCATCTGATTTGATTATCCCTCACAAGTCTCCATTAATCCTACCGCAGCTCTTCATTGGTACTATCCACAGCTCGTGTTCACATACTGGACTATAAATTCTTTATAGAACCCTCCTAGATACTTTAGAAACTTTTCAATTTATATAAAAATATGAGATATTTTAATCTTTGGTTTATTCAAGATGTTTGTTTAGTTTTCACTAAACAATGCGTTGTTTATGATTTCTTTAGATATAAAGTCACATATAGAACATACATAAAACTAAATGGAAAATAAAAGTGAAACGCTTAAATAAAATAATTGTTTGATAATAGTGTAATTGTAAATTTAACTATTTTGACAAATAAATACATTTTTTTTTTAGATTTCTTATTGAGTTATATTTATTATATTACGTCAGACCTAAGGATATTAGTAACAGTGATAAAACAGTTGATTCATACCACATATAATAAATAAAAACAACGGAGACGTGAACTCGTAATTATTTTATCACACTATCTGTTAATCGGGTTGCACGAGCAGCACTTGTTTTGTACACGCGTTAGCCCGCTCGGCCATCAGGCCACAGCCGGATTTACGGGGGAGATGGCTTTCTAATTGAAGCCCCTTTCCCTCACAAAATGGTAAAATATCGCCATGTCTTCAGAAAAATATATTTAAAAAATATCTGCAAAGGTATTAGGGGGCGGGGTGGCCAAATGGGCTAAAGCGTGTGCACTGCACCGCGAGTTGCCTGGCAACCAGATAAGAGATTTGAGAAGATTAAAAAAGTATGAGTTCGCATCCCGGTGCCGGAGGGATTTTAAATTCCCAGCCCTCACCCTCCGGCCCAGGAAAATCCCGTATAGCCTAAAAGGCAAGGTAGGGAAGAACAAAAAAAAAAAAAAAATCTGCAAAAGTATTATTGTTTGTGTAATTACATTTAATAGGACTTCAAGAATCATTTAAACACCATTTCGTATAGGTAGTTAGTTTCTTTCTTTGTCTTCCAAAGTAATTATCGTTATATTTAAAAAAAAAAAAGCTTTCGGGCTGAAACCAACCAAAACTAAATCCTGGATCCGATAGTGCACCACGCCCCCAAAGATCTCTGATCTGCACAAATGAAGCTTGAGCCATGATCAGAATGGATGAATATAAGGCAAGCCCGACGGTATGCAGCCGGGATTTGTAGCTATACGACCTACAAGTTTTGTTTTTTATCTTCTAAATTTATATTTTAAAAAATATAGCCAACGCTACATGTATCATATAGGTATAATAATTATGTAACATCTTTATATAATATTTTTGTTGTATGCTTCGTAAAAGGATTGAGTTGGGGGTTTATGACCATAATAAGACAATAAGCATTAAGAAGAAATACCCAAGTTTAGATATACTCAATGCGTTGAACTCCATATGGAGTCTTTAGAACGGTATATTCGGTGTTCCCCATTTCGGGCTTAACTTGAGCACAAACCCTATGTCATTAAACGATTTGTCTTATTTCTTCCAGAGATAGGCGAGTTGTTTCATCCGAACACAGTGATTCAATCTAGTCTTTCCGAAATTCTAGACTTCTGGACCGGAATAAAACGTTTCTCCAAAAATAAGGCCTCCATTTATCAAACAGAAAGATTTTTGATCTGCTGATATGAAGACATTTCGAGGTTTCGATTTTAGAACTATAGCTCGCTTTCCATTTAAAATTTTAAATGCAATAAATTATAACAACACTACGAGTAAATTGAACGTCCGCAGTGAACAGAGATCGGTTTTGTTAGGATTACCCCCGATCTCTTCATATGGCTGGGGCCACTGTAGATTGCGTTCTGTGAGACTATAATAGTAATTCAACTAGATCGCTAGCGCGCTATGAGCAGATTTCGGAGATTTATGATGGATTTATTTGGAACTGAATAAATGTGCACTATTCCGTGTACGATCTGAAGTATTTTGATGAAACTGTTGTGATTATTTTTTTTTAAATTTTGATTGTGATCCACTCGAGTATTTCCGCAAGCTCTCTAGTCATTTAAATAACTTTCTCTTTATGTTTTTATAGCTTTTTGAAAGGGTGGACTACCGTTAGACTCTCCAAAAGAATTCTGGTGAATAGCTAATCATTCTTGAAATAAATTAAACAGTAATATTCTACTGGAATAAGGATTTGTTGGTAAGCACAATTGAGATTTAGAGTGCTGTAATAAGTATCGTTAGGAAATTAATTTATTATATCACTAATCATCTAAAAAAAAACAACAGTATAAATAGAAGTAATCGACAATTCCGTTTTACTCTATTCTTCTAGTATGGTTTTCTGATGCAATAACCAATCTTCAAACTTATATGTTTAAAATAACAGTTAGAAAGCCATCGATATTTTCTGCACACAAATCAGATAAGAAGAATCTTTATAAAAATAATCTTGGAGATTCAGGGATATACAGGTTTACACTGATGAAGGTAAATTTGTCTACTCACTCATGTTGTAAATACAAATTATTAGTCAGTGATTTCTCTATTGGGGAGCATTGCTATTTTTCCAGAAGTTGACTGTCTTCCTGGCCGAACGATTAAAACTCTCCATTGCAAATAATTCAATTCGATAAATTGAAATGATGTTTTATAATAAGCTTAATGGAACTGAATTGACAAGAATTGCAGCATTGAATGAAATATATACTAAACTTAACATGTGTTTTGAACAAAAAGCTAAAGAATTTAAAAAATGACAATTGATATTTATATTTTGAAAATGAGATCTAACTCAAACTCCTTGATTTGTAATTGATCAAATCATAAAAGCTTATGGTTGTATAATTAAAAAAAAATCACTTGAAAAACTAACAAGCACAAAATTAAAATAACATATTTTTAATTTATGAAGAAGGGAAACAAAAATATTTTTAAAACAATGACGATAATAATTAAAAATCTAGTAGTAAATAGACTTGAAATTGTTGCAACTCTGACCGGCAAATCAACAAGATTTTAATTATTTTCAGGATGAAGTAAATTATAGGAAAAAACAATCTGCAAAAATTATGGAGGAGATGAAATTAATAAGAAAGGACCACTATTTTTCATGAGTGGGACAGAGCAAGGATATGGGAAATGTCGGTTGAATTAGAAAAAGGAAATTATTTAATAAAACGATATGTTATAAAATAAATTGAAAAACACCTGGCAAACAAGTTTTTCAGCTTAATAAGTAAAATACTAGTATTTTTAGAGCATCCAAGGTTTCACTGAGATTGGTATATGAGACTTTGCCAAAAGTTTTAAGAATTATATTCTGATATAAAACTATATTGGCAGGGTTTCCTTTATCATTAAACCCACAGTAGTAGAGAAATGATATATTTTTTAACTAAGCATAAATAGTATCAACTCTAGAATTTAGACAAGTTAAACGAAGGCTATATTCAAGTCAGGTTATTTGTAATTTGATTAATAGAAAACTATACTAATTTTTTTAAGATTTGAGTATTTTAAACGTAGAACACCATTTATTTTCTTTGAGATATTATTAAAAAAAAAGTTATAATAGATTTATTTTAGAGCTACAACTATTTCTCTATAGACACGAGTTCAACATCAAAAATTTCGAAATTTATAGATAACAGTTGCGTTCTTTATCAGCTGATAAGAACATTTAGGAACGGAACAGGTTAGGTGTTGTTTAGTTCAGCTGTTCGAGTAACTTGCCTTACATATAGATATGTCTTTAATAAGATCGAGGGGTGATCATATTTTTAAGTTATTTTCGAGACAGAGAATTAGGTCTGAATATCCTAGAAGTTTAGTATCAATTAGTAGAACTTCAATTTATCCAGTGCTTGTTACGAAAAAGTAGGTATTGACGAAGTGATAATTGTGCTTCAAATTAATTTTTTATTTCGGAATTATTTTCCTTCAGTGATTTTCTGATTGTCTATTAGCTTATTAAGTCGTAATAACATATTTTAATTGTAGCTTTAAAACCCAGCTCTTTGGTGGTGAAATATTACCTGGAAGATGGAGTGTTCTAGGACACAGGTTTTATGCAGACTACCCAAAGCACAATAGAGTAGCCCTTCCTGCTTTATCACCAACCATGGAGAGAGGTTCAATTGTGAGCTGGGCTAAAAAAGAAGGTATGTGTTAAGTAATACTGTATAAAATTCAACATATTAAGAATCTGAAAGAAGTTTTATAACTTATCAGTTTCATACTTGTAGGTGATAAGTTAAATGAAGGAGATTTACTTGCCGAAATCGAAACCGACAAAGCTACCATGGGGTTTGAAACTCCTGATGAAGGATATCTTGCAAAAATTTTGTTACCTGCTGGGTCTAAAGATATTCCTGTGGGAAAAGTCTGTTTACAGTTTTATTCACCCTGTGTAGTATAATATTGTTTCAAGTTATAAGTATTCATTATTATTTTATTTGTAGCTTGTGTGCATAATCGTCGAAAATAAAGAGGATGTCGCTAAATTTAAAGACTTTAAAGATGATGCTCCTGCCGGAGCTACAGCTACTCCTGCTCCTCCTACGGCTCCCGCACCACCTGCTCCAGCCCCTGCCGCTAGTCCACCACCTACAAGTGCACCACCTACAAGTGCACCGCCCACAAGTGCACCGCCCACAAGTGCACCTCCTGCCGAACCTGTCTCCCTCACAGAAAAGGGCCGAGTTTATGCCAGTCCGATGGCAAAGAATCTTGCAATGAAAAAAGGCATCAAACTAGAGGTAACATTATTAACTTCATGAAGCAATTAATCCATTGATATCTTTGTTATAAATCATAAGTCTCTGACTTGGCTATCTTTCAAAATAATTTTAAGTTACTAAGGAAGTGATCTTACTTGTTTTTGGCTGTACATTCACAATTCAGAGCAACTTGAAAGAATTACAACTTAAATCAAAATAAATAGCCAATGTGTAGAATAATATCTACATTAATCAGTCCTAATTTTGAATTTTGTTTATATCCAAACTGTTAGCTGACTTATTCGATTATTTTAATTTTTATCCCTCTTTTTCTCTCTCGATTTCTCTCTAAATATACAAGAAAATTATTTTTAAATATACAAAAACCTTAAGAAAATGAAATTATCCAAAAATCTCTTTTATTATATCATCAGATAATTTTGATTTTAGGATGTATTCAAACATATAACTTAATCATTTTGGTCTATAGTCCAAATTATTAGTCTGCTATTAAATTAAGAGGAAAAAATTAATATTTATAATTTTAAAAAATAATATCTTAATTGTTAAATTAATTAAAATACTATTTAAAATTACTTAAATAGTTAATTTATAATTAGTATACCGATTGGTATAAACACTACTATGTCAAAGTAAATTATTTGCTCATAGTTGAGCGTGTGATAAGCATGCCATTGATACATGATTGTATCATTCAGTCATGATATGGGGAGCTTACAGCCTCATCACCTGTTGATAAGAAACTATTGCAAGTTGATAACAAAAGATATTATATATATATATATAAATATATATATATATATATAAATATATATATATATATATATATATATATATATATATATATATATATATATATATATATATATATAATTACACATCTATAATTACATATATAGTTAATTTTATTATATATCTAGTTTTGTTGTATGTTTTGAATGATTTTATTGAAACATTAGTTATTTTCCATCTGAGCCATTTTATAAATTACCCTTATTACTTTATGCTGCAGTTTTTAATTAATATATATTTTTTTATTATATTCTTTTACCAATAGTTCTTATTGTTGGGTATTATTGCTTAATTGTATATAATCAATGACCAATATTAATAATAATAATATAAATTGTTGGTTGATGGTTGGCCTGAACTTCGGGCCAAAACGTCGGTGAATGTGAAAATAAATACAATTATTTATTTTTACTATTTTATTTTGACTGATCACCCCAACCATCCTTATCTTCAATAATAATATTAATACTTTCAAATGCACTTTCACATGGTAATAATCTTACATTTTTAAAAACTAATTTATTAATGAACTTGGTAATAAATTAGTTTTTGATTAGTTCATATTTGTATATACTTCTTTGTGGCTTATGAAATGAAAATTACAATTACTTGTCTACAAACTAATTTTTGAGATAATTCTTTTTAAATATAACTAATGATAATAAGTCTTATAAGTAAGTCATTTTAGGGTTCCTTGTTTTATTGGCCCACAGAAATTTGTCACTATCATTCTTTGCCTCTGTTCAGAATAAAATATAGTTTAAACCTATCTTCATTGTCATACTATTGCCTTCATAAAATAATAACATCAAACATTTGATTCTCATGGCTGGAATAAAAAAAAAAGTTTTTATAAAGCACATAGTGTTTTGTTGTAAATTTCAAAACTATAAAATATTAAAATAAACCAGCCAGCATTAACCTGATTTATATTAATTTACGAGTAAATTAATAAATTTACATGAATTATTTTTATAATTGTCTTAGTTTAGCAAGAACCCATTCAGAGTGAAATATAATTTGTTGTAAATTTTATATTATTGAGTTATTGTAAAAACTATATATTTTTTCTTTTTTTCTTTCAATTTTAACAGCCAACTATATATCCATTTTAAATTTAGTTTTTTACATTTTATTTTTATCATAACTTTGGATTAAACTGAGCTCATAATTTAAATCTTTTCATGGTGTCTGTCAATTAAGATGGTTAAATATTTTAATCGATATACAATATTGAAATTTCAAATGGTTATTTTCATGTTTTCTTACATTAAAAAGTTTGATACTTCAACTTTGATAAAAGGGCATGGTACTTCATTTGTTTGTTACCCCATGAAAATTATTGCATCAAAATGAAAAAAACAAGAGACTTTAATTAGTTTCAAAGTGAATGAAAATATGAGTATGTGTTAACTAGTATTTGAAGATCGATTTATTTAACAGATCCAATATTTTTTTCAGAGTGTTGGAAAAGGCACTGGTTTGTATGGTTCTATCACTTCCAAAGACATAGAATCAGCAAAGGCTGTACCAGCGGCCGCTCCTGTAAGCAAAGTACCTGGAGCTCCTCCGCAGAATTATAAAGATATTCCTCTCTCTAGCATTAGGACTGTAATTGCTAAAAGGCTACTCGAATCAAAACAGGTATCACAATTGTAGTTTGTTTCTAAATCACTAAAAATTTAATTCTTAGTCTTGATTTATTTCATCTATTTTGTTATTCATTTTACAGACTATACCTCATTATTATCTCTCCATTGATATTTGTGTAGATGAATTATTAAAACTTCGTGAAAATTTAAACAAAAGCTTAGAGAAACAAAAAGTAAAAATTAGTGTTAATGACTTTATAATCAAAGCAACAGCACTGGCTTCCAAAAAAATTCCTGAAGTAAATTCTCATTGGATGGGATCTTTTATTCGAGAGTAAGTTTTTTTCTATTATTTTAATTGAATAACAGTGTTAATATAATTTTTAAGTAATTGGCTGTTCATCATTCTTAAAATCAATTTATTTTTTGGGGAAATGATAAAACTTTATTGTTAAACATTAATTCAAATCTTAACTAATATTACTAAAACAGATCTTTTTAAAAATAAAAAATCACGACATTTAATTCCTCATCTTATCTTAAACTCTTTATATTCAGATTAGTGATTTTCATAACATTTTGAGACTCCATCGTGAATACCCCATGATTTCTCATTTTATACTTTCAATGAGAATAAAACTTAATTATTTTAAAGACTGCTTAATAATACACTGATACACTGAGTTTAAACAAAATCGTATGAGCCGTTTTTGAGAAAATTGTAAACAATTTGTTACATCCATGATATAAAGTATCACTTTTGGTTTTCCGATTTTGACAAAAGTGTTGCTGTAACATCCCAAGCTTATAAAAATCTCAAATACGCAATATTTTCAGTTTGGCCACTTAACACTGAAACACCCTGTATATTAAATATATTGGTAAGTGAAAGTAAAAACAGTAAAACCAATATCATGTTTAAACCGCATATTTATATTTTCATTAAAATAATAGCTATGGGTTAGTAATATTAATCCAAAGAAAAAAATATAAGGAATCTCTTTTAGAAGACGGGTTTAAGAATTTTTGTTTTCAGAAATGAATAGATTTGGTACAAATAGAGGAGAACCAAAATGATTTTATTTGGGACACAGCACTGAAAGTCGAGATTGTCCAGGAAAATGTGGGACTTATGTTCTTATTGTTACCCTCTATCCTATAACTAGAATCGTCTGATCACTTTTTTTCATATTTTTCGCAGGATAAATATAGCTTGTTGGATGAAACTGTGTGGGCAGTTGGTGGAGTTTGTTTTAAACTATTTCTCTTAATTCTCCATTTTATGAATTTTCTTTATTTTACTGTAATTCTTTATTGTGAAGTTTATGATTTTTTTTTCTCAGACAATACTTTTTATTGAGAAAATATTACTTGTTGATAGTATGCCATAGAGAAAAAATAGATAACAGCCATTAAAGAATTAATTTAATAACTAAATAATACTAGTATTAATCTAATGGAGTTTATAAAATATAATAATATTTTTTGAATATTTTTTAAGGCACATTAATGTTGATGTAAATGTAGCCGTAAGTACTGATAAGGGCCTAATAACACCCATCGTTTTTGGAGCTGACGGAAAGGGTTTGGTAGAAATCAGTAAAACGGTTAAAGCGTTGGCACTCAAAGCTAGAGACGGAAAGCTTCAGCCTCAAGAATTTCAGGTCTAATATTTTTGTTTGTTTATTTTATATTCATGGCTTTAGTTACTTTATGAAGATATTTTTTTTTTAATAAATTGTCTTGAATATTTTTACTTTTTTAATTCTAGGGAGGTACTGTTACAGTTTCAAATCTAGGAATGTTTGGAATTAACCATTTTTGTGCTATTATAAATCCTCCACAATCTTCCATTCTGGCCGTAGGCACAACACAGGAAAGGATGGTGCCAGTCGATGGAACAGGGTAAGAGTTTTATGAACATTTACTGTTATACAGTATTGTTACTTATAGTTTCAAAAGGATTTCAAAGTATAGTTTTTTTTTTAAATAATCTCAGTTTGATTTGTTGAATTGTAATAACAGTCTCAAGGAACATTATGCTCATTCACCATAAACTAAATATTGACTGACTGAGCAAGGAATCAAAACACATATACTTCCAAACCTGAGTTAATCTGGAACATTTGCCCTAAATCATTTTTGTATCATAACCTAATAAATTTTTATGGCAAACTAACTTGGATTACTCTACATTTGTACCATCTTATTGTTTCAAATGAATTTGCTGATCAGTTTTTTTTTCCCCTCCCAGTTATTTTCTTTCTCTCCCTGGTGCCCTAAGAAAGATTTTGTTTCATAACTATGACTACTGTTGTTTGCTGGTACCCTTTTCTCTTCGTTATTTCTGGTGAAAATTCCTTTAATTCATGTAACATCGTAATTTTAATATTTTCTGACTAGGACAGTTTTTGGAACTGGTTATAAATACAGCTTTTATCCTTGCATTAGTTAAAACCGGACTGAGAAACATTGTTTACGTTTTCTGGTAACTTATATAAGTAAAGAAAAATCAAAACATTCAATAGACTCACCATTATCAACATAATAATCAAAAGAATTAGGTGATGTATAAATATAAATGATCAATATTTTTTTGAGCTCAAATATATAACAGAAACTAATTTATTATTAATTTTATAAAAGTCATTTTACATCTTTTAAAAACTCCATTTTTTCAAGATCCATAATTTTTCAAAATGAATTAGGAAAAATATGGGGAATTCTTCGAACATGGTCAGTTTATGAAAACTGAGAATATGAATGGTTTCAAAATTTGGCGAACCTAAGTACAAACGTTTGTAATCCTTAAAGATAATCAGATTAAGAACATATTTGAAATTGATTGAAAATGTAACAGAGTTCAAAACTTGGTCCCAAGTTATTAGTCCGTGGTGCAGACCCCTTTTTATCGAATTATTAACATCCGCCTAAAACTCTGTTAATAATTTCATCTCATCGTAACCTACAACTATTTTATTTACGAAAACTCTTGGAATTGGGGCGTTTTCATTTTGGAGAGGGAACAACTTTGTCTATTTAATTAAGTACTTAAAACTCGTAAATATCCATTTGCATTCTATTTGGATCGTAAGATAATTTGATCACAAAATCGATAAAAAGGTTGGCTTACAAAAATATTGTCCCGTTTGCCGTATATAAGGCGTTCAAATATTTTTGAAGGCCACCTTTTTTCTTGATTTGGTGATCAAATTATCTTACGATACAAATAGAAAGCAAATGGTATTTACGGGTTTTAAGTACCTAATTAAATAGACAAAGTTTGCTCCCCCTCCAGATTAAAAACGCCCCAATTCCAAGAGTTTTCGTAAATTAAATAGTTGTAGGTTACGATGAGATGAAACTATTTACAAAGTTTCAGGCGGATGTTAATAATTCAATAAAAAGGGTCTGTACCACGGACCATGTGTAGTTATAATAAGTTCTCAAAAAATAAAGTGAATCTTCAATTAGATAAAGAAAGGTTTTAAGTACTTTTTGGAACTGATACAAACTATTTTTTGAATTCATTATTTCTTATGATCTGCCATACTTTTGAATAATTAATTCCTGAATATGCTTTTCACATTCTTCTCAGGACTTAATGTACTTGCAATTAGTTGAATCTTGTATCCTGTGGAAACTTGATTAAGACCCGATAGAGTGGTAAAATCATATGTAAGGTAACCAGTCCATCAGAGTTCCTTGATGTGATAAATTTGACTTACATAATTTTTTTAAAAATCTTTTCTTTATTATTTTATTTTTCTTATCAGTTTGATAACTATTTCAATAGAAGAGTAGGGTAGCTCAATGGTAGGGTGCTAACTTCTAATGCTCAAGGTCCTGAGTTCGAATCCGGCTAATGAAAGATAAATTATTTATTCTGTTTCATCAGCCATGGATCGATCCTGGAGTAGGAATACCCTCTGGCGGTATTACACACTCAGTCTTTATAAAATGGGTATCCTTAATTAAATAATTACCTAAAGAGAAAAAAACCTGGCATTTAAGCATGATCTTGGTCAAATCACCTTTTTTTTCTTTTTTTTATAATTATTTTAATGGATTATTGTCCCACTATAATTCTATTTTCAAACTTGTTTAGCCAGTGTTTATATATAAACCCTGTGACTGTCATAGCCTAACATGGACACTTAAAAAAAAAAATTCTATTTATATTGTTTAAAATGTATTATCCTCTATTTAATTATAAATTATGTGATAATTTATAATATGTGAATTTTCACAACTCTGCTAGTTACAGATTGATTATTTCATTTTAAATCTGTGCAGTGTGGCTAAGAAGTTCATGACAGTGACTCTAAGCTGTGACCATCGGGTGGTCGATGGAGCTGTTGGGGCGCAGTGGCTCACAGCGTTTAAAGAAATGTTAGAAACACCTCACAAAATGCTTCTGTAGTTTTCTACAAGCTAGAAAAAACAACAAAAAATTGAATTATGAATAATGTCAGGCAAGTTCACTCTGTCTGCTGGACAACAATATGGCACAATGACCCTGTGTAATAATTCTTTTATATAGAAATGATAAAAGAGCATTTGTAAATGGTATTTATGTATTATAGAACAGAAATATGTCTATATAGCCTCAGATGATTATTGTATAAATGAAAGCCATAGCTATGGCTGACGGTCGTTTCAAATATTATTAGGCAAAATGCAAAAAAAAAAAAAAAACCCTTGAAATTATAGGAATAAATATACTTCTCATATTGAGAAGAAAAACGATCTTTCATTCCTCTGAAAATTTGTATTATGTAAATATTTATAAAGATATTTGTAGATATATATATATTGTTATACAAAATAATTTTTAAATTAATTACATTTATGACTCGTAATTTGATGTACAATATTTTTAAAATTTCCTTCTTTATGTGTTTTAATTAATTGAAAAATTATATTCCTACTTTCTGTAGTAATAGAATTCGCTTACAAACAAACAAATTCTATAATAAATGATCATCCTCAGTTTGAGCAGAGTAACTCTCTTTTTAATGCAAACATCTATTGCAGACAGTTATAAATATTTTAATTTAAAAATAATTATATTAGTTTTGTATGTTTGCCTTGTTTATTTGTTTTTGAATACCCATGTTCATTCAATCAAAACTCACTAATTATTTTATTATTTAAAATCCCATGTTCGTTCAATCAAAACTTAAAATTATTTTATGAATAGTTACTTATTATTGAAATTTACAACTGTTAAAATATACATCTAAAACTGTTGTATAACACTAAATACAGCTATTAATACTTCATTATAAAATAATTAAAGATAGGCATGCTATGAACATGTCTATGGAGAAATTAATTTTTATCTAGTAGCACTCAAATAAATATTTAAAATATTTTAGAACTGGTTCATTTAGTAAAGAATATTATTGAGAATTATTTTTCTTAGAAATCTACTAATCTCTTAACATATTAAATTATTTCAAATATATTTTTAAAATTCAAGTAATTATTTCAAAATATTTCACTAGTTATAGTTGTTTCATAAATTTATTTATTTTTCCGCGGACAAAACCAGGCTAAAACAAATTAGGTTTTGTTATATAATTTTATTATCCCATCCAAAAGTCGATACAACCAGTATCATTTGTTTGTGGTGTTACAGTTGTTACACAAAAATAATCATCCCAAATGGCTGATGTTACTAATTTTAAATGGATATGGCAAGATATAAAAATTATACTCACTCCTTATATAAAAATAATATACAAATTTTAAGCTTCCTTCATGTCAATATAGGGGATGAAGATTTTATTGACTGGAGTATAATTCAATATCATTTATTATTTATGTCTGATTATATTTTTAAAAAAGTCAATAAAATATGTAAAAATGTTTTAAAGGATTGATTATTTTAAATATATTTATTTATTTTTATTTTTCATTCCTTTTTTTTTAATAATTATTGTCTTCCATAAATTGCTGCTATAATTATAAAAATGCATTTCTACGTTTAGTTTTATTTACTGTTGATAAAGAGAACACTTTCTGACAGTATTTTAAAAAAAATTCTAAAAATGATTGATATTAAATTAATTAAGTTGCCAATGAAATTAATATCTCTGTTTGTGGTTTTATAAATCTAAACTTTTATTTTTAACAATTTATGTACTAGGAGAATCGAGGGTCATTTTCAGTTTTACTTAGAAAGGGTTTCATGGTATTCTTTTTATTTTTATCTGAAATTATTTATTTATTAAAGTATTTTAGCCTTTACTCAACCATTTTAATGGTACACTGCCTCAATAGTAAATAGTTATAGTGCCAAACATTTAGAAGATTTACTAGTCTACTTGTATATTTAATGAGTGTTACTGCACCAAAAGTTCTCTTAAGAATACTTTAATACTCTGTTATAATTTTATTTTTATAAATAACCTTTTGTTGAACGTAGGTTTGTTTGATTATATTATATTTATATATAGTATAAATTAGATGAAATAATATATATTTATTTTTATATTTGTGCCATTTCTTAAAAAAATGTGTTGTTAATTAAACATAAATTTTGTTAATTGTTAAATAAATATAATTTGCCGAGTAAAAATTATTTTCTATATAAACCACAGTCTACTTTAATTCATTTCCTTCCTTAGTTTATCAACTTCACAATAATCAAACTCAACAGAGCAACATTCTCCTTAAGGCTAACCAGCATCTTCTCGTCTCAAATATTAAATTCTGATTTAAGTGCTATCATGTGAGAATATTAAAATATAAAAATGCACTTTGGGTAGAGCAAATTCTATCAAGAAAACTATAATTAACAATGCCAATAAATAAAATACATAAATTTCAGGATATTTTAAGATGTAGACCTATAAAAACAAAAATATATTAAGAGTCAATTAAATGTGGCTAGTAAGAAATAGATGAAAAAATAAATTAATCATTGCTGTCCACATATATTCATACACAACGGTAAAAAAGTAAAAGGAGATTGTTTAAGGGATAACATAATCTGATAACAGAGAATTTAAATAGTAGGGTCATGTTCGATGTATCCAAGAAAATAACTAAGAAAGATGAAGGAAGGAGGTCTGCTTAACAAAGAGAACACAAAACATTCTAAGAATTATAATTATATTGAATATGTAATAGATTACATTATGGAAGAGAAGGCAAAATAGAACTCATGTTGAAGGTAAAGGTGTTATTAATCTGTGTATTGCCAATTTACAAAAACACCTTTAAGGAATGAATTATCACCTAAAAATTTAGGCATCTCAGAAACTATTAAGAACCATGCTTAAGTAAATCTGAACTTAGAATGCTAGTTGTGTATATAATTAGCTCTTGAAATTTTCCTCTTAACACTTACATACCATGTAACGACTTATAACAAAAATATAAAGAAACTTCCAAAATAAAGGCAATGAAATAAAAATATTCAATTTAATAGTTTAGTTTCATTACAGATTTATACAAGTTTAAATCCAACTACCATGACCAGAACTATTGAAGGTAATAATATATAAAAGAAACACAATTACATAAGCTTACAATATTTATTAAAACATAATATAAAAATATAATACATAGTTCAATAGACCTTATTTAAAAATTAACAAACCAGCCTATAAGAAATATACCGTCCAGCAGTTTCAGATGATCTGATGATTTTAACACACTGTCCTCTTTTCAAACCAAAATACCTAGCTACAGGATCACCAGCTTGAATTCGCATCAGTTGGTTTTCCTTCAGTTTATAACGAGCTAACAATTCTTGTTTTTCCTCTGGTGTGAGAACAACATGTTCAGGTACTAATTCATGCTCTGTGATGTTAATCAGCAATTCAGACTCTAAGAACTGTTCCAAAATATACTTGGGAGCCATATCAACAAGAGACTGTTTGGCAGACGGAGTCATACCTTGTTGAACAACTATAATGGCTCTGTGTATGTTCTCTTCTTGCATTCTTTGACAATATGTTTTGATAGTTTTAATTCCAATTTTAGGTTCATCTGGGAAGAAGACAAACATTTGATCTGTTGGGTCATCATTATGGGCAACAAGAACTATCAAATCACTCCTAGCTGGCCTCTTTTCACTAGGCTTATTACCAAACTGTTCCTTGAATTGATCTAAAGTTTGGTCCAATTCATCTTGAGTAACTAGATAACCACGGTCATGGCAAAGCTGCATTACGGTCTTCCTAATTCTCCATAGTTTGTAGGTTTCTTGTTCGTCATCCATCTCAGTTTAGCACTAATATAAAACAATTTATCGAGGTAAAACACACTAACAAAACATGAACTGAAATAAATAGTGGTAGGTTACAATTGAGAATTGAGGTGGGGGTTAAATCATAGTTTTCTTATAAAATCGATACATCGTTTTAGTAACATCGATTAATTTAATTTAACTTTAAAAAATGTTTATCTCATTTTGCAATTGAATGTTATTAATATCTAGTGAATTGGACAAGGATCAGTACAAGGACATGATATGAAAGCCATGACGGAGCTTGAGTTATTAAACAATAATGATTGTGTGTTGTTGCTCGTAGACATAACTTCCAACTCCATGTTGAAATTGACCTTATCCGTTAAATATAGAATTTCCAATCACTATAACCATCAACTGTTAATATAATCGTATTTAGGGTTAAATTCACTATTGGGAAAGATGAGGAATTGTTTGGAAGTTCTAACTAATCGTCATTATATTGTACAATATCTTTGTATTCTCAGGTATTTCTTTATGCATGAAGAAATACCTGATTAGTATAAGAGAACGATGGTTGGAAGAAAAGTATTCATTCCGAAATTTTATTATATGAAAAAATAAAATAATACATCTTTATTTTAATAAACTGTTTAAAATAAAATATGAATATAGTAACCGTCACTAGATATTTTCTCCAAACGGACAGGAAACACTGTTAGTGAGCACAAGAAGGAATTTACTCAGGTATTTTTTTATATGTATAAATTTTGTAAAACTAGTTGTAATTTGTAATTCCGGCATTCAGTCGGACTATTATCTAAAAATCTCGAATGGTCCAGGATTTAAATGATTAATAAATTACTTATTAATAATAATAAATAATAAATAGACTTAAATATCACTCTTTGAGTATGATCACTAGCACTTAACAATAAATATGCAATCTATTTAAATGATTAATAAATTACTGATTAATAATAATAAATAGATTACTTATTTATTGTTAAGTGCTAGTGATCATACTCAAAGAGTGATATTTAAGAACAAATAAATAATAAGATATTCACTTTCAATAATTTGTTTTATTATTCCTTCCTTTACATGAAAACTATTACCGTTTCATAAAAATAAATAAAACATGACAAATATGATGTACATTGAATTTCTGTCACTTGTTGCCTTGACGTATCCATCTTCAGATTATTGCAGTCGTTTCTGTGAGCTGATAACTTCAGGTTGTCGGACTTCTCTACGACCATCTCTTCTGAAGTAGTAGTTATCTAAAAAGAATACAAATATGTATAAAATTTACATCATTAAAAATGTATAATAATCACATTAATTTTAAAATATTGTGTGTATTTAAATAACGCCAACGAATTGTAATTCAAAAAGTCTGTTGGGTAAATATAACAAAGATTTATTTATACATGTTAAGTTGCGTTTAAACATTTCACAAACTATGGAACAAACAAATATATAAATAGTTATTTCACTATGCTAGTATTTTTGTTTCTTTTTTTTGGTATTTTTTCCATTTGCTGTTGGTATTAAGAGAAATAAATATTTTGGTTTAGCAATAATGTAGCTGTTAGTTAAGTTAGATAATTGTTTTCCATAGTTCTGAAATGTCTAAACGCGCTTTTAAATTATTTGGATTACTATTTCGAGATCGCCAACGCAAAAACTCTGCAAAAATTGAAGACAATTTTGAATGCTTCATGGGTGCGGATTAGAAATGGTGGGAGTCATTAGCTCGCTTTCCTACAGAAAAAGTTTTATACCATGAGTCATAAATTAACATTCTGTTTTCAGATGATTTTTGACAGCCATTTCTTGCAATCTTGAGCTCTTAACAATTTCTTCTTCTTTAGCTTCCTCCTAGTGCCTTTCAGCGTTCAGTTATTCTAATCCAGGATCTCCATCCACTATTATCTCTCACAAGTCTTCTTCTGCATCATATTTCCTCTCGTTTGACCCAGCTTGGAAGTATAACTATTATAGCTTCCTTTAGGTTCAGTACCTACTGGTATCGCCTCCATACATTTACGAGGATCGAGACTCATTCTGCGCATATGCATATGCATATTATTTAATCAATATTAAATGTATTAATAAAAATGGTTAAAGAAAAAATATCGTGTTACGTTATAGAAACCGGTGTTCATTAACTTTAAAAGAAACCGGTATTAAGTAACTTTAAAAAAAACCGGTATTAAGTAACTTTAAAAGAAACCGATATTTTATCTGTTGAAATATGACATATAATGATGTATATATGGAATATACAGAGTTATGTGTATGTAAGTAGAGTTATATTAGTTGGCAGTGATATTTTATGTTTAGTCAGTTGTGATCAATAATACAACCTTGAATAATATTCGCGTGTCATCCTATATCTTATTTATAACAGAATAAATCGTCGGGCTGTTGCAAAAAGTCACTAAGTACATTTCTAATAGCGCTTAACTTTTATGAAGTATGTTTTAGTGTATTTTACATTGTCTGTGGATATAAAAAGACACTAAATTTATCAATAAATAAATCAATGACCCTTTATATATTAATATAGTTGTAGTAAATGAACAATGTTCTTATTTCGCCGATAGAAATTTCATTAAAGTAGAGTGATTTAATTTTATGGAACATCATATCATGATTGTTTCCAATAAACGGACGCTTTTTGTTCATCGTATTTTTTTTTTTTTTTTTAAATAACTCCCATGACTCCCATGACTTTACTTACAGGTTTAAGTACTAAGTCCTCCAGGGGAACTCATCTCTCCTTAAGGATTATAGTGTAAGCCCCCTCCCAAGAAAATTTATAGCTCTCCTTTTCTTAAAAACGGTGTAAATTAAAGTGAAATTTAATAAAAATTAATTTTTTTCCTTGTTCTTTGGTTTGAAAGTTCTCCTCACTTGAAACACTTTTTTTAATTCTTTTCTCACCTTCCTGCCCTTTTCAGATATACGTGTTTTTCCTGGGCTAGGGGAGAGGGCCAGAGGGGATTAATATAAGAGTTAAAAGTCACACGGCACCGAGATTTGAACTCGTAAACTTCGTTGTCTCAGGTAGCCAATCAACGCGTGTGATAAAAAAATGATTCACTCCAAACATTTATCATCCCGTAAATTGTGCCCTTAAAAAATCATAACTTCATAAAAATGATCTGCCACAAACATTTTGTAGGCTCAAATTACAACATGCACCCTCTCCCCCAGTATCCCCAAGTCTCTAGACCTTATTTCTTTATTCATGGAAGTTATTAAGCCGAGAATAGACTAGTTTAAAATTATTTTTTTTGATAGTTGTGGAGAATGGAAATGGGTTTAAAGACGGGAACTATATAGAGAGAGGGTATCATATATTTAACAAATGAACCTTTTTTTCCCCAGCATTCTGTGAGTGTAACTCGCCATTATAAAAATGATTAATTAATATAAAATCCGTTTTAACTGCCAGAGTGGTTTTTGAAACACTAAAAGACTTATAGTCCATGGTACAGACCTTTTATTAACAAAATATTAACATCCGTCAGATTTCCAAGTGTTAACGCTCGGATAAAGTCGGCTAGAGTCGACTAATTGAAGTGTTTTTACGTATGGATTAAAATATCTTAGAAATTAAAAATCGGACCTGCATACTGTAAGCAAGGGCATTGTTCAGCATTTCATCCTCTCTGCAATGGGCTATTATTCGAAATTGTATCTTAACGCAAAAGGAAAAGGAAATAATAATAATAATAATAATGCTTTATTTATTCTGGGACGAATCCCTTTAGAATAATACAGAAAGACAAAAATATGGGCTAAGGATCCTCAGAGATACATAAAAAAGAATATAGTTTGATTAAATAGTCAACATAAAAAAAATAATAAAAGAACTTATAAGTTACTTTCTAATTAAAATCAGTTAATAATAAAAAATAAAAAAATTGAAAATAATGAAAAACGATCTAATAATGTATTTACATATTTACAGTAGTAACTATTTACAATTTTATGAGGACTGGATGAATAAGAAATGATTAAACAGCCGGGATTTAAAGGTAGGAAGGGTTTTGGATTGACGGATGTAGGGAGGGTTTGAGTTCCATTGAGATGAGGATCGAATAATCAAAGATTTATCGAAAGCAGCGGTTCGGTGGGCCATTATATATATATCTTAAGTACTGGGTATTGCGGGAGTGGACAGTGAATTTAAATTGAAGGAGCTCGGAGATGTATGAAGGACGGCGGGAGTGAATTACTTGGAAGAGGGAGGATGCCAGGAAATACGGCGGTAGGAAGGACGACTACATATTGGGATCGATCGGAAAGGAAGGAACCAACGCAGGACACTGTTGGATAGAGGAAGATTTTGCAATTTGGTAAGAAGGATGTTATGGTCAACTGTATCAAACGCTTTGGAACAATCTAGAAGGATGAGGATAGTTAGGTTTTGGTGTTCAATGGAGTTTTGGAGATTTGGAGGAATGGATGGATTGGTGAGGGAACGTTCTTCTAGGAAGTTGATTTTGGACAAGGCGTTCCAGTGGTTTTGAGAGATTGGAAAGAAGAGAAATAGGAGGAAATAGGATGGAAGTCGTTCAGTGAGGGAGGGTTAGAAGTTTTATTCAAAGTTAGCGCATTTTTCCAGGAAGAGGGGTGTAGAAAACCAGATAACGAGTTTTATGGAAAATATGGATGAAAATCTCACATAAACTAAAAATCGAACCTGCATACTGTAAGCGAGGTTATTGTTCAACATTTCATCCTCCTTACAATGAACGTTATTTATATATTCCTTACAATTAACATTATTTATATATTAATATATTATTTATATATTTATATTATTAATCTAGTCTTGTTCATGTTTTCACTTCTATCGTGTGATCTAAAGCAAAACATCTTAGTTTTCTAAACTTCTTCTCTATTTTCGTTCTCCCCACTATGCATCTGCTCGGCCTTCAGTTTATGTTTATATATAATTATGTTGCATTGACGGACTTACCGGAAAATTTGTGGCTAACACCCGCAGGAAGGTTGGGAGCTTCTTTCGGTGTCCTGGGAGCCATCTCTGAAGGGAACCTGTTGTTGGGAAAGTAATATGGCCGCCCTAAGAGGAACCGACGCAACGCCTGCATGAAAGGGCTCACGTTTCTTTTCTCTATCATCTTTATTCAGTTATAGGCAGTTCATTCAATTTGGAAAGATGATAAAAAAAAAAAAAAAAGCCTTTGCCTACAACTTACACAAATAATTTTTTTACTAACAATGAATCATATGTTTTAATGATCATATTTATTAATAACTTATTATTAATATCATTTTTAACTTTACTGGAGAAATATGTTAAGCGTGGTTGGTGTTTATTTCTATGGATATATAAATATGAATAAAATGAAAAATTAATTTTATTCTAATAACAGAGTTTAGAAAATAAATACTTCAGTCTAGTATGTGGATATGATACAGATATATACATAACATACTAAAAGAGGATACAGATATATACAAAAATAAAAAGGCTCTTATCATTCATCTATAGGTGATCAATTGTATTTACATAGCCCAAAAATTCTTACAAGATGGTGGAAGTTTGAATGTGTAGTAGATGGTGAAATAGGGATTGTTTGAAGGAATTTGTTGACGTGGAGATATGTAAAAGGAGGTAGCAGGAATGACGAAGGATTTGCTGAAAAAAGTTGTTTTATGGGAGGGAGTATAAAGATCTGTAGGTTGAGATCTGGTATTGAGAGAGTGGATAGAGGAACGTAGAGTAAGGAGTTCTATGAATTTTTGGTTCTGAGGTCTTGAAAAAGGAAAATACCAAGAAGGAATTGCCGTCGGAAAGTAGGATAAAGCCACTTCAACTCGGTGTACAGGGAGGAAACATGGGTACGCATGGGAATACCAAAGATGAATCTTATGAAGCAATTCATGAGTGTTTCAGTCTTGCTTCCAGTCTTGTGGATATCCCTCAGTAAACCAAGCAACCGTTGTCGAAGGGTGGAAAAACGAGGGATATTACAAGGAGCTGTCTGCTTTTTTTCTGGAATAGAAACGCGGAATCGTAGGAATTGTTTTGGATTTACGGGTAATCTGGGAAATTTGATTATTCCAAGAGAGATTCGGTTTTTGTCTGTCGGTAGTCCTCTAGAGGAATTTCATTAACTGATTCCATGGGTGTTGTTTCTGGCTTTCTTGCCATATTGGCTGCTTAATCGGCTTGTTCAATGCCGGTGATCTCGTAATGAGAAGGGACCCAGCCTAACACTCCTTTGCCTTTCTCCCTTAGTAGCCAATAAACATTTCTTATTTCTTTTGCTAGGATAGTTTGGGCCTGGTATTTTCAATAGCTAGCAATGAAATCTTAGAATCTGTTACCACGGCACAATTGGTAGTTTCACTTGTCTCTATGTACTTAAGAGTTTTTCCAATTGCTGCCACTTTAACAGTAAAAACTGAATAAGTCTCCGGGCGTTTAAATAACTTTCGAATATTATAATTTAGATCCAAGCATCCTAATTCCTTGTCTACTATTGAAGCATCGGTATACAAGATGTTGCACTCCTTGTATTTCTCCAAATTTTCCAAAAATAATTTTTGTAATTCAACTGGTAGTGCAATTTCCTTTTTATATCAGAGGATTCTTTTTAAATTTAAGTTTAAAATCAATACGTCAAAATTCGAGGCCATCATGTTTTACATAACATGAGTGGCAACTTTGGCGGCTGTCTTTAAATTTCCCATTTCAACTATTGTTAAGTTACTTTTATTTTCATTGAACGATATCAGTTGTCAACAAAAAATAATTCCTGGTCTCATAGTTCTGATCTATTTACATCCCAGTCTATGAAAAAGTTCGCCAAAACTTTTTTCGAGCTTTACATATTTATTTTTGATGGCTCGCAAACTGCAGGAATTAGTTTTCGACTCATCTTAATTTCCAATATGTAATAATTGAAAAGTTTTCAGGAAAAGTTGTGACATTTTATGCCGCATTATATTTACTCTCAAAGCTCATATATTTACCTTTATAATAATAAGGCTTAGCGATCCCGAAGGTTCGATGCCGATACCACTAATCGATGTCCACATTCTTCCATTCACTGGTCTTAACGCAATCTTCCCATCTTCGCTTCGGTCTATCACTCGGTCGCTTGCCAGTCGGTACAGCACATATTAACTTTATAGGTATTCTTTCGTTACTAAGTCCAGCGATTTTACATGCCCATTTTATTCACCTTATCTTAATCATCTAAATTATATTATCCGGATACAGTTCACACAATTCAGCGTTATGTAACCGCCTAAATTCTCCGGTTGACTCGTACTTTTTCGGTCCGAATATTCTGAGCATTACTTAATTTTCAAAATATATTATATTTTTACCTTTTTATCATATATTAACCTTACTAAATTTGAATTTTATTAAGATCTTCAATATGAACAATAAATACGTCCATGATGTATATATCATTAAAAAAAAATCCATTATATTAATGCTACTCTTGATATATTAATTCTTAATTTTATTAAATTATTTTAATTCTTCTTATGATACGAAGTTTGTAGATACATCGTCACACATGAAATAGTAAAAAAAAATGTTGACATTTTTGTTTATTGAACTCGTTCATCGTTTCATATATTTAAAACGACATCAGATATAAAAATGGTATTTTAAACCAATGTTTTATCAATTGTTTCAGACACACTATCATAAAATGATCTTGTAATCCCTTTCTAAGGTAAAAATTTAATCTCGGTAAGAGATTTGGGATGTCATCAATATTGGCAAATTCATTTGGGAGAATGTTTTGGTCAAACAGTTCGCCATAGAAACCAAGCAACGATCGCCCATCGGTCAGTCTAGACCAGCAACTAGGAGCTTCAAGGTTTGTCCTAATTATCATTTATATATCTATTTATTGATAACTTATTTTTTTTTAACATTTTAATTGCATTTATATATATATATATATATATATATATATATATATATATATATATATATATATATATATACATACATACATATATATGCAAGCACACATAAATAATAAATTATATGTAAAATTTGTGCCATATTTTACTGGTTAAAAAAAATCTTTTCATTACGTTATATATTTAAAAAAAAAAAAGTAAACTTGGTAAAAATTGTAAGATGATAGAAAGTGAATAGAAAAGAAATACGTTGGTAGTTGATTAATTGACTTTGGATGACTTGTTGCATCATTTCGATTGCTCATTTATTATCTATAAATCGTATGAAGTACAATTTAATTCTTTAAAAAAAAAATATATATAAAGGAAACGAAATTACCTATATACGCTTACAAGTGTTTCCAGGTTTAATATAGTATGTAGAATTGTAACAAAGTTTTCTACATTTTTCGAAATTATTCTTATACTGAAATATCGTTAATATTATTATTATTATTAAATGCTACTTAAGTCCGTTAACTTTAAAATTAATGCTTTTGGTACATAAATATAATTTTTTCAAATATATAATATTTAAAATTTTAGCCTTACTACTTCAAATCAGAGCAATATATGTATTATTATTTTTTAATAATTTTATTCATGAATAAACATAAAACAATGTTGTTTCCTATTTACTCGGATATCTTTTGATTGATTTTCATTTATTTTTATCTATATGTTCTTTTAGCCAATATCCATTTAAATAAATATTCGACTAATTAATATTATGTAAAAATCGTTTTGTTGATTTTTATTTTAATAACATCTCTTCAACCGATATTAATTACTATCTCTGATTTTTTTTTTTTTAACTCAGCTTTAAATATTTTAAATCGAAAATTAAAAAATTTTGTGTGATTAATTGAAATAAATGTGTTTTTTATTTAAAAAATATATTAGAAGTACAATCAATCCAGTCCTCGAATATCCAGACATTTTCATTCATAAGGTTAAAAAAATAATAAAAAATTACTAAAGACTGTTTTTATTCTGCCTTATATAATATAAGGTAGGTATGTATATTTTTCCTCTATTATATATTATTATAAAATAAGACTGTTTATTTTTTTCTATATATGATTTATTGTTTCATATTTTCCAGCTACAAGTTAACAATTTATGTGGGTCTATACCCTTGTACAATACACTTTTATAAATATACATTTACAATTAAAACATATTACATTTATTAGTAAAAAGTAAACACCTTGGAAAAAAAAAACCAATACTATTTACATTAAAATAAAATATACACTAATTTAGAACACTAATTTACAGTAGAATATACTTCGTTCTTAAGACTGTTTATTATATATTGTATGTTAAGAAATTAAGGGAATGAAAACGCCTGCCCGAAGCTGTTGACGTCATAGTAAATTGTTTCTATTGCTTTTAATGAGACGCATAGTATTATTGTTAAAGTTATTATTATTATTATTATTGTTATAGATGGTTATGGAACTTTATTACAACCCGCTAAGCCGGCCCTCTCTCTCAGTAATGCTACTATCCAGAGCTCTGGACCTTAACCTCGAGCTGAAGGAAATAGATATTCTGGGTAAAGAGCAATACACAGAAGAATATATGAAGGTAGCTTATATCTCCTGTTTTGCTTATATATTGAATTGTAAAAAAATATGGTGTGGAGTATCAAACAACTGCTCAATTTTTACGGTTTAGTTCTATAAATGGAAAATTACAATTAACGCTTCTAAATCAAGCTAATTTTTCTCTAAGAAAAGTTTTATGTCAACCTATAACCATTGACGACGACCCATTACCTAGAAAAAATATTTACGATACCTCGGACTCTATTTATACAAAAGACTTAGTTGGAGCATACCTATGAAATTAAAAAGACAAGAAGAATTAATCAACACTCACATCTTCACATAGTGTTTAGACATTTCATAAACTATGGGAAAAAACATTTACTTGATTAACAGCGATATTATTGCTAAGCCAAACTATTTTTTTTTTATTTCTCTTGTTACCGACAGCCGATGTTAATCACCACTAGTATAAGCAAATAACAATTTAAATATGTGTGTAAATTTCAGTCCGTGGTACAGATCCCTTTTTATCAAATTACTAAAATCCGCTTGAAACTTCGTAAATAGCTATATCTCATCGTGACCTACAACTAATATATTTACGAAAACTCTTGGAATTGGGACGTTTTCAATCAGGAGATCGGCAAAATTTGTCTGTTTAATTAAGAACTAAAACCTCGTAAACATTCATTTTCTTTCCACTTGGATCGTAAAATAATTTGATTTAAAAAATTGAGAAAAAAGGTGGCCTACAAAAATATTGGGACGTTTGGCCTACATTACCTGCTTATTTTGACATTTTGAGGGTGTAGTTCACGCCAAACGGCTTATTTTTTTTTCTCGGTATTGTGCTAAAATTATGTTACGATCCAAGTGGAAAAAGTAAATGTTCATTTACGAGTTTTTAGTACCTAATTAAACAGATAAAGTTTGCCGATTTCCAGATTGAAAATGTCCCAATTCAAAGAGTTTTTATAAATATAATAGTTGTAGGTTACGCTGAAATTATTAATATTCAGGTGGATATTAATAATTATATTAAAAGGGGTCTGTACCACGGACTATTAGTGAAATAACTAAACGCACCTTTAGATATAATGTTTTTTTAAATATTTAGCTTTTTCAATAGTATATAATACTAATCTACGTAACTACTACGGAATATACGTAACTTAAATATGTAACGGTCGTGAAAAATTATACCGTGTTCAATCAATAAAAATAATTTTAACAAATTAAATGCCTAATTAGATATTCTTAAAAATTACCACAAATGAATATAGAGTCGCTGCAGTATATATTTTTCATTATGTATATGCATATATATTGAAACATATAGGTATTATAATTTATGTATGCTGCACATATCTAGATAATATTATGTAGGACGAAGAAAAATGTATAGATACTTACATCTACATATTGATTATCTAGCTTCATTTTTAGATTCGGTTTCATATTTTTTTAAGAGGGAATTAGTACTGATTAGTCGTAGATATTTATTTTATCTAATGTTTATTCTTTATCATGTTATTGATTAATATATTATTTTAGTGCTAATAATATTTTTGGGGTATAAATATTAAATTAGTTAATATTTTTTGTTTTTTAGATAAATCCTCAACATACTGTACCGTTTCTCGTAGATGACGACTTATCTTTATCAGAAAGGTTAGTAAATAAATAAATAATAAATTAATAAATAAATTAATAACAATATCCAATTTAACCAATTTCACCTTTTCAGGGAACTTCAAGATATTTAATTTTTTATTATGATGATCTTTGAAAACAAATTTCCTCTGTTTACTTTAACTGTTTAGAAAAAAATAGAGGATTCCAAAATGTAACAATATACTCTAAAGAAAAAAAAAACAAAAACAAAAATTTGCTATATAATTCAATTATAAATTATATAAGTATGAAATAAATTAACTTATCGAAATTTTCTTCTTTAATGAGATCTTATGAATTGTAGGATAACTGTTGTTTTTCTTACTTGTATTTTTAAAATAATATCTTTAAGTTTATTCTTACCCAACTACCTATTCCACTTTAAGTTTAAATACATAATTATTTACAACCAATTGTTTTTTTCATTAAATGGAAAATTTAAAATAATACGATTGGTTTGAAATATTTATATTTTTCAAATCGTCATTAAAAAAAAAAAGAAAAAGAATTTCTTATGAATAAAAACAAAGAAATGATCATGTAGCCAGATGGTTTGGAAAATAAATCTTTAAAAAATCGCTAATCATTATTTTTTATTTGTACATTTTTCTTTTCGAAATTCCGTAAAAGTTTTGTAATTTATTAAATAAACTGAAAATGTAAACACAAATTGACATAAATTCTAGTAACAAAGAATCAAATAAAAACGTGCTCAAGAATACTATCCAGTCTATGGTGATCTGTTATGCGCTATGGTAGATTCATCGCGCCTGATTGTTAGAAAAAATGTTTAAAAAATTCGTATTAATAAGTATACATTAATGTTTCAAAGCATCAGAAATCAAACATCGATATTATAAATAAGTCCAAAAAACCGATGGTTTTAATGAAAACATTTATTAAGTCAAGATAATAAGTGAGTTCCGTATTAATATCGCCGTATTTTTAAAATAATGTTTATTTAAATAACTTGGTATTTAATTACTGTTGTTGATAAAAACATATTCCATGTACATATATGCATGTGTTCAATGCACAGCACATTATATTGTATTTTTTATTTGTTTTTTTTTCCAGTGGAGCAATCATGATATACCTCGTGGAGGCTTATGGGAAAGACGATTCACTTTACCCTAATAATCCAAAACATAGAGCCGTAATAAATCAGAGAATATTGTTCGATGCAGGGACTCTTTGGATGCGAATAATGCAGTGTTTTATGGTAAATAATTAATTTCAATCATAACTAATATGATCAATTCTGATATAACTTATCAAACAACTAGAAAATAAAATGAAGAAATTCAGACGATGATAATCAAGTTTTAAATTGGCTAATAAGTTACATCCATTACAGACCTGGAAACAGGGAAGAAAATACCGTAGTATTTTAAGCAAATTTTCAACTTAACAGGCTGAGAGTACTCCTTTTAGGTATTACGAAAATGCTCGTCTGCCAGCTCAGACAGTTCGATTTAGGGCTAGTTGCTCAAACTCATTAAAGCTTAGATTAAGCATTATCTAAGGTTAAACCAAGTTTAATCTTAATCGGCCGACCTTAGAAAACTTGATTTAATCTTAGATAACGCTTAATCTAAGTTTTACTGAGTTGGAGCAACTGGCCTTTAAGGTTTTAAGGGCATTTGAACCCACCAAAATTATCATAATTTTGGGGGCATTTTAAGCAAATTTTATCTTCGTCGCGTTAAGTTAACTATTAAAATTAAAGGTACTTAACTCCTTCAGTGCTTTAAGTGCTTTCGGCATTTAAGCTCTGTCAGAATATTTTAATTAGGTCAAGGCCTAATTGATATTAAAGAACGTTTAGTTTTATATTGGTATGAGGAGTTTAGTTGAAATCATTAGAGCCCTTTCTGAGAAAAGTGCATATGTATAAATTCGATAGAAGTGGAAGTAAATTTTAGCGGAAATTTAAAAGTATTCAATTAATAAAAATACTTTTAACAAATTAAATGTCTTAAAAATTACCACAAATGAATATAGAGTCGCTGAAGTATATATTTTTCATTATGTATATTCATATATATTGATACATATAGGTATTACACTTTATGTACTTAGCACATACCTAGATAATATTATGTAGGACGAAGACAAATTTATAGATACTTACATCTTTAAGCAAATTTTCTCTTCTTCGCGTTAAGATATAATTTTGAATAATGGATCGTTAGAAAGAGGATGAAGTGCTAAAAATTCTCTTTGCCTGCAGTACGCAGGTCCGAATTTCATTTCCTGAAATATTTTAATACTCATCTTTAATAAAACTCGTTATCAGTTGGTTCTCTGTTATTTTTCCCCTGTTCGCCTCTCTAATACGGCGATCGCGTTAAGAAACAATTTCGAATAATATATCATTACAATAAGATGAAATACTGAACATTTCCCTCGTCTACAGTGCATATATTTTAATCCATATGCAAAAACATTTCAATTGCTTGACTCACAAAACCCTGGATTAAAATATCTCAGAAAGTGAAATTCGTACCTGCATACTGTAAGTAAGAGAAATGTTCAGCAGTTCATCATATTTGTAATGAGCAATTAATCAAAATTGTATCTTAAGGCGACGCCGTGTTAGAGAGACGAAAAGGGAAAAAAATAATGTCGAAAACCAACTAATAACGATTTTTATTGAAGATGCGAATTACAATATTTCAGAAACTAAATTCGGACCAGCATAAAGTAAGCAAGAGAAACGTTCAGCATTTCATCCTCTTTGTAATGGGCTATTAATCAAAATCGTATCTTAACGTGACAAAGAGAAAATTTTCTTAAAATACCACAAAATTTTTCTCATTTTGGATCCTTAAAACCTTAATAACTAAAAGGAATTCTATTAGTCTGTTAGGTTGAAAATTTGCATAAAATAATTCGGCATTTTTGGCCCTGGCTCCAATTCTATTATTATTTTAAAGTAATTTGATTTATTTATTTATTTTTTTCGATTGAAGCTTATTATCAGTGGATCACTCCGTATCGCACAAACTTTGGAAGCTCAAAAATTAAAAGAAAAATTTCATAATATTGCTACAAATTCAACATTAACTGAACCAGATGGAAATCGAACCCAGTCCGCTTTAACCCATACTAAGGATGTAAAATTATCAGTATGTTTGTCAGATAGTTTAAATATCAAAATATCTATGGGAAACACAATTATCTAACTTAACTAATTACAAACTAATAGAACAAGGCCTGAGTTTCAGTCATTATTAATCCACTTGTTAGCAATTTAATTCATGTTTTCTAGTTCTTAAAATTAATTATTTTTAATATTAAAGATTTATAATGTTATTATTCATTCATTTTTTTTATTTTAGTTTCTAATAGTTTATTTTTTTAATAGGTAGCTTTTATGAAATTTTTTTTTGTGATATGTAATATAAAATATTAAAATTTTTGCTAGTAATATAATATAATATTATTAAGATTATATTACAAATATAATACAATGTTAACACTTTCCTCCTTAAAAATTTTACATTGAAAACTAAAATATTGATATTTCGTTATTTTTGTTCGATATTTACAACCATACTCTTTTCAAAGAGAGAAACACTTTATTTTCATATAAAATATAAAATAATTGGTAAATGGTTGACTGTCATGGATAATGAAGAGAAGAATAGTTGGGTTGGTCAGTCAAAAAAGAAGGCAAAAATAAATGATAATATTTATTTTTACATATACCGACGTTTCGACCTGAAGTTCAGGCCATCATCAGGGCTAAGAAAAGAACCAGATAACAAGGTATGAGAAATATAAAAATTACAGTAAAATGAAGTTGTTAGAATAATGACAATAGTAAGAACAAGAGACAAATAATAATAACAGGTACAAAGTGTGGAATGATGAAGTAAACATAGTCAAAAAAGGTGACATAAGTATTGTAAAGGGAATCTTAGAATAAAATGTAAAACAGAAAAATATGAAGTTATATAAATATTCTATTCACTCTATCTTAATTTTACTATTTATTTCCATTTCTTATATAACTTCATATTTTTCTGTTTTACATTTTATTCTAAGATTCCCTTTACAATACTTATGTCACCTTTTTTGACTATGTTTACTTCATCATTCCACACTTTGTACCTGTTATTATTATTTGTCTCTTGTTCTTACTATTGTCATTATTCTAACAACTTCATTTTACTGTAATTTTTATATTTCTCATACCTTGTTATCTGGTTCTTTTCTTAGCCCTGATGATGGCCTGAACTTCAGGTCGAAACGTCGGCATATGTAAAAATAAATATTATTATTTATTTTTGCCTTCTTTTTTGACTGACCACCCCAACTATTCTTCTCTTCATAAAATATAAAAGGTTGCTGCCCAATTATGTTGGGTTGCTATACACACAGCATACTCGTTAATCCGTAGGACAATAAATAAACTTATATATAAATATACAGAAGTGGTTAGTTTATATGAGTATGATAAATATACATATAAATATATTTATTTCCCCTTTCATTGTTCATACTTTTTTTTTTAACATTTAATTTCCCTTCCTCTCACTTCTCTCTTTTTATCCCTCTTTATACACCTCTCATATACACAATACTAAGATGCTTAAAATTATAACAGAACAATAACAAAAAAACAAAAGTATATACTAGAATTAAATTAAATTTAATATAAAACAAATATAATAGACATTTTTCATTAAATAAATACATAAATTAAAACTCTCAGCTTAGCCATGCACATAGTGGTGGTGAACGAATCCCAGGTAGTCGAGGACTATATTTTCAGCCAAAAATCAAAATATCGGTTTTCTCTAATATTTTGATGTATTTGAAAATTACCGATATCATATATTTTTTTGGTATTTACATGCCTAATCCACTACGCTCGCAGAATCAAGATCTTCATCAAACATTTTATGGAACGAAAATACTTGGTTACATTTAGAAGTATAATAAAGTTATGAAGAATATTATATTGTAGGCTTATTGTAAAAAGTCATTAAATGACATTCCATAAACTTAAATCATCATGAACTTCGATGAATTTTCCCTTCATTAAATCAGACCATAGTGTATTTGTCTTAATTACATTTGATGTATATTTAAAAGATTTTGTCATTATGATACATTTACTGTTTTTTTTAATCGATAAATAAGGTCAAAATTCACACAAACGTTCAACTGCATCAAGGATGTAGCTGAACTGAGCACCCCTTTTTGACTGAGCACCCCAACTATTCTTCTCTTCATTATCAACGACAGTCAACCAATTACCAATTATAAGCAAAAGATAAATGGATTTTTATTTCTACAGATCCCAGTTCTCCATCAAAACATGGGAGTCAACGATCTATTGTTGGAAAGAGTTCACGATGGTTTCACCACTCTGAATTCATTTTTGGAAAACAAGCAATGGGCTGCTGGAGATGAAATCACTGTGGCGGATTATTGTTTAGTAACCACTGTAGCTGATGCAGAGGTATACTACTTATGTTATTCTTAAATAATATAATAATAATAATTATTATTATTATTAATATAAAAATTATTATTAATTTAATATAATAATTATAATAGCATAATAATTCATCATAAATTATTTTTTATCTCTTGTCTCATTTCAAACAGGCTGTGGGCTATGATATTTCCAAGTATCCGCACGTCAGCGAATGGTTTACGAAATGCAAAGAAACAATGGTGGATTACGACGATTTAATACAAAACGCAATGGACAATCTTACTTCAATCTTTAACGAAAAACTAAGCAACGTCGAACCATAAAAAAAGTAGCATATCATCACTCCATGAGAGCTAGTAAAATTTTTGCACTAGCGTTTTAATGTGTTCCTTAGTGAAATTGTGTGGTTGTATCGAATATAATAAAGTTATGTTAAAAAAAAAAAATAGTGTATTTAAATTTTCAATTTAATTTTTATCCAATATTAGTATAAGTTATTGAACTCTTGACATCAAAATCAATAATCGATCATGTAGGCTGATAATAAAAGACACTGTTCACTGTCATTATGATCTTATTTGTTTTGTTTCAGTTTATTGTTTTCAATATGTTTCTTTTTCTTTCATTATACGTATATTTTAAAGTAACTCCCAAACCCTTGCGAATTGTATGAATCATTTATGAAATATGAATAACTCTGCAAACATATTGGATCTGGTATTTTTTTATCATAAATAATTTTTTTTTATATAAAAAATATTAATTCATTAAAGAGATGTAAAAATACTACATTCATTCATAACCTACTAAATTAAACTAGATTTATTATTACTTTTTATTTATTTATTCTTCCTTTTCTTTAAAATATTAACAATTTATTGCAATTATTCATTTCACTGAAAAATACTACCCTTTAAATGAGTAAAATGGAAACAAGAGGGTAAGAATCGTACTTTTAATAAAACATGTTTTCATACAAATTATAAAGTTTTATTTTATCATACTAAATATCAGATACACTGTAGCCGTCTCAAACAGTATCATTTCTACAATTCTCTTAAGAAAATTAAGACATTACTTCTTAAATGGATTATTTTGTTGTTTTTTTTCTAACATTTCATTAAATCACATTACTAGTTCTTATCAGATATATATATATATAACCAAAAGTTACATTATATTTTTTACAATTATACTAAAATCTTATTTTGGTAATAAATTAATAAATTACCAGTCAGAAATACCATTATAAGCAACAAATGTTTATGTCTAGGCATATAATATTCTTATTACAATGTATTTGACCATTAAAATGTTTCACTTGTAAGAGGTAAATTATATCCTTTTGTATAAATTTTTATTGTTATTTTGAACTTGTTGATTCATTTTCGACACATAAATCTACTTGAATATCCTTAAAATAAGCAGCATATCCTTCGTCCTGCTGAAAAAAAAGGATAAATATATATTACAACATTAAAAAAAAAAAATTATTTCAAAAAAAAATATTTCTGTAGCTCTGTGGTCCAAATATGAAATGAATAAATTTGGTATATATTGTTGGTCCCTAACTTTTATAAAATGAATTTGTAAAAAATCAAAATTTTTTAATTACAACATGCAAGTGATAAAATTATGTATTCAATTTTTTAATTATTTATTCTTTAAACTTAACATCTAATGGATGAGGTGAGCTTTTATTCTTCTCAATGAAATCTTTTATATCTATTTTGTTGCCTTAAATTACTAAAAGAGAATGTTGTGGATTTAACACTAGTAATTTGGATAAAATAATGAATGTACATTTTTTCTAATAATCCATATATTGATGGATGAATTAAAAAGAATGAAGATATATATCCATTTTAATAAACTAATAAAAATTTTAAATATTTAAATAATAAAGCAATTTGTGTATCTAATGACTGTATGTGGCTAAAGTGCTCTCAATCAATCTCTGCTGGCTTTAGTACCAGTGATGTGGTTGAGAGTATAGCGATTAATCAAGAAATTATCACTAAAATATTAAGCCTTGTTTTACAGGTTCAAGATCATCGTATATATGAGTCATAAGACCCATCATCAATTATGGTTCTGAGACCTGGGTGATAAATAAAGTATAAGACAGGAAGAAGGATTCTTAGTGGAAACTGTTGCCCCATGTACAAGCATAGGTAGTGAAGAATTAATTTGTTCCTGTTAAAAGCTGTGCTGAATATATGCAAAACTGGCTTTGGTCTCAATTTTGTGGGGGAGCCACATCAGATGATTGGGTTATTAGGCAAGTATATCCAGAGCATCAATCCCTAAATGTCTCCTTGAGGGCCGATTGAGTAGAAGACATGGTAGAGGAAGACATTGCCTAAGGTGGCTATGCAAGGTGGAGGACATCTTGAAGAAGGTGAGAACCAGAATATGGTGGATGCTTGCCATATTGAATATGATAAAGTGGTGTAAGGTGAAAAAGAGGTTCAAGATCACACAGTACCATATTGACAAGAATAAATAACTAATTACAAATAAGTTAAACTTCAACAGTTTATTAGAATGAAAAAGCTTACTGATTTTGATGACTCAATATAACGTTGTAGCAATCTTCTTAGTTCATAATTGCTCTTCTTAAGTTTTTTAATTTCATTATTGAGCTCATGACGTTCTGAAATAGTAAAAAATATTTAATAAAATTTAAAAAATAAATTACTAGGTTTCAGATGACCAGGTTTAATTCTTATAATTTATCTTACGACTATAAGTAACAATTATACAAAACTATAGTAGAGTGCCTGTAGTATTTACTCCTTAATGTGACATTAAGTGAGAGAATGAGAAGGAATATAGATTTGCACTATGAATTGGACTCAATTATGCAGCGGACAAGTGGTTTATTGAAAAGTATCAAATCAATAAACGATTGACAAAAAAGTTACCAAACAAAGAAATGAAGAAGTCTGGAAGTGTGTCATCAGGTGGTAGCAGCTGGAGAAGGACACAAAAGAACAAAGAAGACACTTGAGGCTGGAAATGGAAGAAGAAAGGAGGTTACCAGAGGAAAGAAGCCCACTCCACTGAAGATTAAGAAGATCAATTCATTTATTACAGTTGGGGAAATAAATTATTTTGTTATACAGAAGTGAATAGTCCTTGTGTTTAGTGATCCTATAGGCTTCACAATTGAAGAATAACAAACAAGGTGAGTCAATTCATTCAAAGTGTATTTACTAAATCCCACATTTCATATATATATATATATTCTTATTATTTCTTGTCACTCAGTGTCGCAAAAGCACTAGGATTTCCCAACAACAGTAAACACCCTCAAAAAGTCTATATTCAGTGCCGGAGTTTTATTTAAAAAAAATTAAATTCATGAGTGTAAATAACTAATACCCCTGACAAAGGGAGGGCTATTTACAATTGCCGCCCAATAGGTTATTTACAAAACTGTGGTGGTAAGGTGTATTGGGGCAGTGCTTGAATTGAATAGGCTTCAGTCACTGGTATGATTCTTGTATGTGTTAGTTGACTTTTATATTTAGGTCAGCTTGATCTTTATGCACTGTTTTGGATAAGTTGGTAACATGTTGAATAGTTTACACTTCCTTCCATAACTTTAGTGTTTTATGGCATTAAACCTAGTAAATAATAATAACTACAAGAATATTTTACCCCTCCATGATTATATCATTTGGATTGGATTTATATCTCATCTGATTTGAGAACTTTGAGAAAATATAAAGATTTATTACATCTATAATATGAATATATTTTTTTTTCAAATAATAAAATACAAAACAAAATCTATCATTTGAAAACCAACTGAAAATCCTGCATTTAATTAGTTTCATTAAAAAACAATTTTTTTGTTCAATTTTAGGTTAAATTTATCCAAAACGCTTATTGTTATTTGTTTGAAAGTCTTCACAAAGCTTTGAATCATCGATATATTCTTAATAAAATAAATGAGAGAAATTCTATGCTAAAAAACAACACATTAAAACTACATAACCGAGTACTCTGTGAATAAGTGGTGAATCAAAATTTTAATTTTTTAAGAAGACTTCATAAAAGTTTAATTAACATTTTTGGCTGGGGTAATTGTGTGGTTTCAAATTGTGATATCATCTTAAATATGTTGTTTCAAACTTAGCCATTTATGTATAATGTTGAAGTCGACTTCTATAAAACAGCAATAAAAAACCTAAATGATTTTTTATCATTAATATATATATATATATATATATATATATATATATATATATATATATATATATATATATATATATATATATATATATATATATATGTAAAATAGACCATCTATGTCAATATCCTTTAAAAAAAAGAAAATTATTGGTTTTTAAAACATTAGTTAAACACACAATTTCTTAAAAACATAAATTTTAATTGTTACTTTTTTTGTAATCAAGTAACTATTGAACTATTCTTCAGAGATCGAATAATCCCTAATTCCTGGTGGTTTCTATGTCTTTAATATTCAATAATTACATACACAATTACGTAAAAAAATTTTAGTAATCCTTAACTAATTAATTTCATACTTTTCAGTGCTTTATGGTATGATTGCATTGCTGTATACATTGTATCCCATAAATCCACTTTTTCTTTTGGAATGATTTCCAGTAAATTCTTCCAAAAATCGTCGACGTCTTTTTGTTCGATGCATCTAGCCAGAGTTATTTTCATTTTCGACTTTAAGTCATCCAATGTCCTAGTCGTTTTGCTGAAAGAGAAATTTTTTTTTAGATGATTAAAATACAGCAGAACCGGAAACTAAATAAAATTCAATATTATTACATATTCGCAGATAGCCCAAGACTTGAACTATCTATATTATTAGAACATTATAAATATATATTATAGTGTAATATATATAAAAGTAAATAAATGGGTGCCATTACAACCTATAAAGGTTCTTGGGTTCAGTGCTTAATAAGGAAACACTATTTCTAGGTCAACGGTTGTGCAAAGAGGTGATTTAGCCAAAATCGTGCTCAATAGCTTGATTTTTTGATATTAAGAGTTTGCAATCCATAAAGATTGGGTGTGCTCAGTACTTATTTTTCTGAACTGATTTTACAGAATAAATTATTATCAATATAATAGTTAATATTATATTGGTTCTTCATTGTTTTATGATAGTTATTGGTTCTTCGTCGTGTTTTATTCTTTTACAATTTGTATATGTCGATGTTTTTCGGGAAAACTTTTCAATCTTCGTAATCTTTTTGGTTTATTATTATTGTAATTATTTGTTTAATTTTATTTTTTCAATATATACCATAAATGCATTTGTTAGTCCCAGCAAGCAAACCAAGAGATAATTTATTTCCATTTGATTCAAGGAATTGTAGTAGACATTCCCCAGTATTTACTCCTTTATGTGACGTTGTGTGAGGGAATGAGAAGGAATATATAATATATAGGAATGTGAGGTTGCGCTGTGAATTGTACTCAATTGTGCAGTGGACAAATTGTTCATTGAAAAATCTCATATCGATAAACAATCGATAAAGAAGGAAAAAGGTCTGGTCAGGTAGCAGCAGCTGGATGAGGACGCCAGGCAAAGAAAGAGGCATTTGAGGCCTGGACACGAAGACGAGAAGACGTCATTTGGGAAGAGTGGCTCAGTACATTGAAGACTAAGAACATCAAGCCTACAGTTATAAGACATTTATACATTAATTTATTACAGTTGTTAAAATAAATTGTTTTATTATACAGGAGTAAAAAGTCATTTATATATTTAGTTGTTCTATATGCCTCATGACTGAAGAATAATAAACTAGGTGAGTCAATTCATTCAAAGTGTATTTACTAAGTCCCACATTTCAAATATATATTCTCATTGTTTCTTCTCACTCAATGTCACAAAAGGTATTAGATTCCCGAATTCCCAACAACACCCTCAAAAAATCTATATCCAGTGCCGCAGTTTTGTTTTAATATTCACGAGTGTAAATAACCTAGTTCCCCGATAAAGCGGAAAAGGAATATTTACTATTCCCACAAAAAAATGTCTTTAACAATTAACCTTTAACTGGTTATTTACAGAATTAATAATATAAAGATTATGAAGCAAGATTATAACTGAGAATGAAGCATAAGAATACCTTGTCTATTTGTTTTTCAGAATGTATTTAAAATTTGTCTCAGTTAACATTCCATAAAAACATTATATAAAAAATATCATTAATTCAAAATAGATAAGATTTTAAAATATTTTTCGTTTATATGAAAGATATACGAAATAAGTACATTTTTACTTACACTTTGTTAATATCAAAAGTATCTATAGTAAACTCCTTAATGGCTTTAGCGACATCGATAGGATTAATATAAGGTTGATGAGAGGGATTTTTACATATCTTGACAACAGCTTCAGGGTCTGTAAAAAGTTTGTAACATTTAAATATTTAATACAGGACATATATAATTATAGAAATATTTTTGCTATTTATTATGTCACAAATATGAATAAAATAATTCATTTGGGTCTAAAAAAAGTCAATTTTCTTTAGTTATTTGGAATAAATAATAAAATTGCTTAAATATCAGTTTCAGTTTTTGTATTTCAACTCCTCTTTTTTTTTACTTTAATCAGCATTTAAACATTTATTGTCACAAGGCTATGCATGAACTTGCAGGTCTTGTCCAATACAAAGTATATTTTCAAAATTAGGAGTTGCAAGAAAAAACTACATTTAGTAAATAAAGAAAATAATGAAATTGTTAAATGTATGTAAATCCATTCAAAGTAAATATTTTATTTATATAATAGCATACAACTTCAAAAAACATAATTTTAGAAATGTTTAACTAGAAATCTTGATTAACTAGAAACCTTACAGATGCTAATTTAAAATCTAATATATGTTTGTTTGTTTTTTCTTTGAATATAGTGATTTAGTTTTCTGTTTGGGGAATTTTGTTACCTTTGGTTACAATTGACTTTGAAAAATGCTTTATTTTCCACTTAATCTGTATTGTTTTTATACACAAGTTAATCACATACAAAATAACAAGTTAACCATGAATCTTAGGAGTGATTGTTTAACTATTTAGTTGTTCTCTTTACTTCCAAATTTGGCTCCTCAATTATTTTCAATGTTTCTTTAAACTTTAATTAATTTATATAAATACCAAATCTAACAAATAAGTCAAAGGATGATGTAGATAATTATCTTATCATTCAATAGATTTATTTATTAAAACAGATGGTTAATTTATTAGTTAGTCGTTCGACAGAATCCTTTAAAAATAGAGTTGACCTGAAATTTTCATAATTATAAAAATAAATATAAATAGCCCAAAACAATATTATTTCAATCAATTATTATAAATATTCTAGAACACTTTCAAGTTCTTTTAACAATAGACTAATACATTTTTGTTTAATAATACTGCATTAAAAGTAATGATAGACAAATGAAGATATCAATTTAGGTAAGACCAGTTATTTTGATGGTTCTATATCACGGCACATCTAATACTCCTGAAAAGGGTTGTTAGAAGATTAAAAATAAGTTTGAAATTTTATGTTTCAAAACATATAAAGACTTTCTGGAAAAAAAAAAATTAATTCTTGCACAAAAGTTATGAAGAGTTCTGTACTTAGTCCGGCTAAAAATTTGTTATAAAGATACAGAATTTATAAATAAATAAAAATTAAAAAGTGAACAGTGATAAAAAAAAATCATTGTACATATATAAGACAAATATGTGTGTGTAAAACATATTTAAAAAATAAACAACTTTATGAAAACTGTTTTATACTGTGTAAGGGGTAGATCGAAGAGAAGTTGGGAAGATTGCGTTAAGGCTGATCTGATGGAGATTGGTTCAGAAGACGCCCGGTGGAGTGAAGAATGTGGATATAAATTGGTGGTATCGGTATCGGACCTTCGGGTTCGCTAAGCCGCATTATTATTATTATTATGAAAACTATTTAATTATATTTCAAAAATATAATATATTATAATTAAATTAACTAGTTAAAACTTCTGAAAGTGATGTAAGAGTAAAATAATTAACCTTTAACTATCAACACTCCGGCTCTTTTTCCTTTATTAGTGTCTACAGTTTCATCAAAACAAGATTCATTCAAATTGGACACGTACCAATCAATCGGATATTCATTTGATGTCATTCCTAAAAAAAGCATTAGATTTATACAACTGACTAAGATATATTGAAGGTCAACATAATTTTAATTATGATGTAGAGATGGTTGACCGTTGATATAATATGAGAAGGAGTTAGTCGAGGGTGCGGTCAAGTAAATAATAAATTAAAATATATTAATTATTTTAATTTTTGCCGACGTTTCGACCCACTTTGCAGGTCGTCTTCAGGGCGTAGGATGTAGCACTGCGGGAGGCAGTTGAAACACTCATATTTCATAGGCAGTGCTACATCCTACGCCCTGCAAATGGGTCGAAACGTCGGCAAAAATTAAAATAATTAATATATTTTAATTTATTATTTACTTGACCGCACCCCCCGACTAACTCCTTCTCATATAATTTTAATTATTTTTTAAAATAAATTTTAAAATATCCTACTCTTTCTTTATTCATGGGAAAATTTTTGCTGGTGTGGATGAAGACAGCTGTAAAATCGGAATTTTTTTTTAATGTATGATGGTACATAAATGCTAGTTATTTTGTAATTACAGTAAAATAGCCATTCAGCTGTGGAGGCACTTGGATTGGCTACAAAAGTTAAGGGTAACCCTTGGTTTGACAAGGAATGTAAAGCTCTAAATGAAAGAAAAAATGAAGCCTACAAGAAAATGCCATCATGCAAGCATACAACAGTGTTTACATAGGAATATAAACACCTACATAGGGAAGAATTACATCTCAGGAGGAGAAAGAAGAGAGCATGGGAAATGCAAGGCACTTGATGAGATAGAGATGGCCTTTAAGGAGAAGAATAGCCGTCAGTTCTTGCAGCTTGTTAATGAGGGAAGGAAGCTTTTTAAATCTCAAGCACATGCCTGCAAAGCAGAAGATGGTTCTTTTATAAATGAAAGGGAGGCGGCACTGGATAGATTGGTCGATTACTTTTATTCACTTTTAAACAGAGGGATATCGAGCGAGTGCCCAGAGGAATACTTGGAGAACGAGGCACTGAGTGGAGATCACACTGACTCATCTGATGAAGAGGAGATCCAGGAAGCTCTAATAAAGCTCAAGAATAACAAGGCCCCAGGTATGGACGACATATCACCCGAAATTCTGAAGCATAGTGGCCACGAGCTTACTATGTTTCTTAAAGATCTATTTCTGGACATTTGGAATGAGGAAATGTTGCCTTTATAATGGAGGAAGATCATCATATTTCCTATTCACAAGAAGGGTGATGTCCTCGAATGCAAGAACTATAGAGGAATATGTCTCCTTTCCTGTGCCTACAAGGTGCTGTCAGAGGTCTTATTTAATTTGATCTTTCAGACAGTCCTGAGGAACTCAGGTATTCAGAGCACTGGGACACTTCTAAACAAACTTGTTCAGGTGCTTGAATATGCGGATGTTTTGGATCTTAGTGGAAGGACACTGGAGGCAGTCTGGAAGTTGCAGCAGCACGTATGGGACTCCTAATAAACACTGATAAAACAAAGTATATGTGTGAAAACCCAAAGCATGATATCCGGGAAGGCTTTGTTCAATTGGATTCACACAAAGTAGAAGTGGTACAAGAATTTGTCTACTTAAGCTACCAAATAAACTCCCGGAATGATATTGGGGAAGAGATAGACAGACGTATTATGGCTGCTAACTGGTGTTCCTTCGTACTTCAAAAGCAACTAGATCTAGAAACTTATCAATGGTGGTCGATGTTATTAAATTCTCACGATTGAAAGGTTTGATTCAATGGAAGGGCCACGTAACTAGGATGAACCCAGAGGAAATTCCATCTAAGGTCCAATCAGAGAAGTTATTTGGAGCACGGAAGGTTGGATGCCCTAGGCTCCGATGGGAAGACTGTGTTGCTGCCGATGCATTGTCGATAGTTGGCTTTCGCAGCTGGAAGGCAGCAGTACAAAACAGAAATGACTGGCGGTCAATGGTGGGCAGGCCAGGACTCAGCGTGTGGGTCGTAGAGCCATATAAAAAAAAAGTAAAATATCCCAAAATACAAGTTTATAATACACAATGAATTGACAATGAATACATATTTATAATATATAATATCTTCTAAAATTAACAGTTTTTTCCCAGTGTCTCGTGGTAGATGTCTTGGAGAGAACTCAGAATGTTTTCAAAAGATTTATATTCACCCACAACATTAATATTATCAGATATTATATACAGTCATAGAAGGAAATGAAAAATGAAGAAAAATGTATCAATTTAACAGATTAGATGAGAGGGAAAATATACAGGATGTTTCAGGATTAAATGGTCAAACTGCAAAAATGATCTAAGGACCTCAAAACAAGAAAAAATTTTCCTCTAAAGGTATGCCTGTAAATGCTTTATTATGAAGTAATATGAAATAAATAAAACCTATTTATTTGCTCTAACTACTTTATTAATTAAATGAAAACATTAACAATCATATTAAATGTTGTTCAATGTGATTTCCTTGAGCATTAAGACAGGCTCAGCATCTTTCTTCAACAGCAGCAGGGGCAGAACGGCACTGGATATGTGTTATTGTTTCATAAGAATCAATTATCCTTCTTCGTAAGGAATTAAGGCCATTGAACGGACTTGCTCAATCATATCTCATATCCCAATCAATCCGCCGTGCAGGACCAGTGGCTTGTACTGCACGCTCTCCAGACCTGACACCACTGGATTTTTTTGTTTGGGGTGACATTAAACAAAAAGTCTATGCAAGTCCGGTCAATGACCTTAATCCTTACGAAGAAGGATAATTGAATCTTGTGAAACAATAACACACATACCCAGTACCATTCTGCCACTGCTGCAGTTGAAGAAAGATGTCGAGTCTGTTTTAATACTCAAGAAAATCACTTTGAACAACATTTAGTATGAATGTTAATGTTTACATTTAATTAATATATTAGTTAGAACAAATAAATAGAAACATAATTCATAACAACGAAAATCTTTAGGTGTGAATATCTCCTAAACAAAGCGTTTGCGGACATACCTTCAGAGGAAATTTTTTTCTTATTTTGAGGTCCTTAGTTCATTTTTGCAGTTTGGCCATTTAACTCTGAAACACCCTTTATAGTAAATTAATTGTTTTAAATGAATATTTATACTTTCAAATTTCTATACATGAAAATATCTATTGCTTCTCAAAGTAGGGTGATGCATATATTGCACTACATTTTTCTGGCTGAGAATCCCGAAAATTGATTAATTATAATTGACTGGATGAAAAATATTTATAAATTTTTACCAAATAATCTGTGTTTTTCAATGATATCTTCTTCTTTTATTTCCACATGATCTATTTCTTCATTTTTATTTTTAGGTTTGTCTTGTATTGCCTGATTCAACTGTGGTTCACTGAAAAAAAAAAATAAATAAATAAAATGAACACATCTTCAATCTTCATTTTAACCATTGCATTTTTATAATGATGTAGAGATGGTTGACCGATGATTTAATATGAGAAGGAGTTAATTGGGGGGTGCAGTCAAATAAATACTAAATTAAAATATAGTATTTATTTGACCGCACCCCCAATTAACTCCTCCTCATATTGCATTTTTATGTTTCTATTAACTCATTGGAAAGGTGTACATTATTAAATTTACTGTCACTTCAGTCAAAAATTGATGTAAGTTAAATTAAAGTATTTTATCAGAAAGTAAAAATAAAATTTGAATAACAATTTATAGAATGAATTTCACTACGGAACAAGTATACAGTTAGTTTGTTTTGTTGTTAATTAATACATTATTAAGGCTACTCACTAGTCAGAATGATGAACTTCCTTATATACCGTATCAGTGACAATTTTCAAATGGTTCTTAATATGTTCCGTCAGTATACACATACTGTTGGATTCAGGAGCTTTTGCGTCATCATCAGTACTGTAAAAGGAGAAAAATAATTTAGTAATTGAATCTACTCTACTCTATCTCTAATCTACTCTACTCTACTCTACTCTACTCTATTCTACTCTACTCTAATCTACTCTACTCTACTCAACTTTTAATGACTATGGGTACTTTGATATGCACATATTTATATATGAAACATAAATGAATTTATGAAATTTATTGTTGTTTTTTTTAATATATTTTTCTTCATCTTAAAAATTCATTATTTATTAAAATTTCGAAAAAGAATCATTTTTATCTGGTTATGTAATTACATAAAAAAATACTGTATATTTAGATTATTTCACAATATATTTTAACACTTTTTGAGCAGGCGTTTTATATAAAATAAAAAGTGACATGTTTTAGGTTTGTTTATTGTCTTATAATAAAAATAAAATCCATTCTTTAGTAATATTGTTTATAATTCAGCATTCTCCAATATATAATTTTTATAAAAAATTAACTTAAATAGGGCAGAATTTATAAAAAACCATTACCCTTCAGGTTCTTCTTGAAGATTTGTCCAATCTTCGGTTTGAACCATTTTACTGTTCATTTTTTCTCTACAATAGGCACCAAAACAATCAGGGCAAACTATATATTTCTCAAAGTATTTTGCTAAACGAATCATGTCTTTTTTACTGTTAACCGAAAGAGCCTAGAATTAGAATGTGTATATGTTTATTTGTGACAGAACTACAAAATAAAGTAAGATTAGAATCAATAATATTATGCTACAGAAAAACAAAATAATAACACAAATCACCATAATGAGGGAATCATAATCATTAATAAAAATAATAAGAATTAATTAATTAATAATAGGAAAATAAAAAAAGTAGTATGGCCAAAGAATTGATAAAAATAAATAAATAAATAAAAAACACAACTTTAAAATTGATTACTCAAAAATTTAAAACAATAATAAATGCAGAAGAATGTCTTGTAAACATTTAAAAAATAAAAAATAGAACAGCATATATATACCTTGAAAAATAAATTTTATAAGATAAAAAACATTATAATTAAAAATTGAATTTGAATAATAAAAATATTCAAAATTAGAAGGAAAATGCTAAAAATATGTATATACCTGATTTTGTCCACAAAGAAAAGAAGAATTAATTAGACAACATGGAGTGCATGCAGCATTAAGAGGAGGGAAAATAAATGAGTTAAAATTTAAAGGAAGTGGTCAGGTAACTTTCAACAATAGTAGATAGTTAAATAGATACATAATAATGTTAAGATAGGTATCAAAAACAAATTAAGTGAAATGATAATGAATAAGTATAAATAAAAATAAGTTTTACATTAAACTAAATTTAATATTCTAATGATTGTTTTACAATTGCCTTATGCACAAATAAAACTTGTGCAAGAGAAATACAGTGGGTCAAAAAAGTATTGGCACACTCCAATTTTTATATAAATCTCAATAAGATATTTTCTAGAAATAATATTTATACAACAAAGTGGTGTTTGAGTATTATGAGGCTCCTTAAAGAGAGAGATTAAGCCTGTTTCGAGGAAGTTTATTGTATAGATACGGATGGATCCACCTGATATGCCGACATTGTAGCATTCCCTAAGACGGGAAAGTCGGCGATGATTTTGGATCCTACCATGAGGTATGAGACCAATGACCTCGATCAGGCAGGCAAAGTGGAAAGAGAGAAAAAAAAGACCTATGAGAAATGCATTCCTTTCCTTAGTGAAAAGTTCCGCGAGAGTTTCGGACTGAGAGAGTTCCACATGAGAGGCCTTTGGTTCGGAGCTCGCGGAACGATGCCGAACTCAACAAGGAGCTTCATGGAGGGCCTTGGTGTCCACATAAAGGACGTGGCAAGGTTGGCGGAGAATATAATCCTCGACTCCCTGGGAATTATCCATCACCATGTGCATGGATAGAGAGAGAGTTTGTTCATGGGGGGAGGCATGCGTGTTTTACAGCACTTTTACATTATTTATTGACCACGTCCACTGCACTTTATGTATTTGTATGCATTTTATGAATTAGGTTAGGAAAAGAGAGGAGAGAATCTAGAGAATGAGAAAAATGTATAAGGGGAGAGAAGGAATAGAAAGGGATGTATAATGCTAATAAACGAATGAAAGAAATAGTAAAAAAATATAAAAAATAAAATAAAAAAAAATAGGAAAAAAAATTATAGTAAAAAAAATATATATATAGATTAAAAAAAAAATTGTATGCTATGCTCATACATATTGTTGATACTATATAATTGTATATTAGTTTTGAAAAATTGTCTGTAGCGATTAATAAGTATGCTGTGTTTAAAACAACCCAATGTAATTGGGCAGCACCCTTTTATGATAATAAATTGATTCTCTCTCTCTAGAAGCAATGCATGTTCAGAATTCAAAATCTATGTTTAAAGTAAAAATAAAGATTATATTTAACGGGTCAAAGTATTGGCACAGTTTTAAATGTTTACTATTAGCTTTAAGTCAAAACAAATCAATTCTTTTTCTTTTAAGAAATTAGAAATGAGGATTGACGATAATACAATGACAACAAAATCAGTCTTTGCTGTGTATTTGACATAACAACATGAGTAAACCAGTCAATATTGTGTCAGTGTAAAAAAACCATCATTAAATTATATTCCAATGGACTTAGCTACCGACAAATACCGAATAAATTAGAAATTGGTGTTAGTAATATTCAGAATATTGCACAAAAGTTTAGAAAGTTTTAAATAAACCTCGTTCAGAACGACAACAAAAATTAAATGAGAGGGCACAAAGGTATATCCATCAAATTGTTGAGCAAAATCGCTCTTTATCAGCCACCCAGATTGCAGAAGAGGTCACATCTTCTTCAAATACCACCTTCTGTTAGAAATATAATTCATATATACAACTATTACGGCAGGTTCCAAAGGACTTGAAGATAACAGAAGACTTGCAGTTTACAGAGGTAAACTGCAAAAATAGACTTGAATTTGCCAAAAGTTTACTTAATAAAGACTACAAATTCTAGAATTTTTTTTTCTTTTCTGATGAAAGTAGGTTTAACATATTCCATTCTAATGAGCACAGGTTCGTTTAGCGGAAAATTGACACTGAGTTTCAAACTCGACATATGAGGCATCCTGTAAAACATCGAGGAGGAAGCATCCAGGTTTGGGATGGCATGTCATAGAATGGCATTGGAAACTTAACCTTTATTGACAATAATATGAATCCCGAGCAATACGTCGACATTTTGCGACGTAACTTAATAAATATAGCCGAAAATCTGAGGATCAAAGATGCATTTATCTTCCATCAGGGCATTGACGCCAAAGATACACCAAATAAAACAAAAGAATGGATAGAGTATAATGTCCCCAGCCAACTGAAAACGCCACCACTAGTCCCTGGACATAAATGCCATAGAAAACAGATGGTACCTGTTGAATTTGAAAGTAAGAAAAATAAAATTTCTTTAAAAATTATTTACAAGAAACTTCTTCAGAAGAATTGCATAAAATTGGACAAGACTTAAATCAAAATTTTGTTTTGTTGATACCAAGAAGATTCCAGAATATCATAGATGCCAATGGTATAAAATATTAATAAATTTCCATGTGTGTGGTGATTTTTCATTTTCTGAATTTTACAATAAGTAAATTAAATTGTTTTTTATCCCAATTATGTATTTTTCTAAATTTCTTATTAAATAAAAATGTTTAGCAAATCAATTTTCTATTGCAATTATAATATCAAAACCAATATTTGAAAAAATTAAGAAATTCATTATTTGTAGAAGTTATTTCTAAATAATGAATATGAATATAAATATAAATATAAATATAAACATGAAATAATCACTTATTATTCCTGTATTAATTATAAAACATTAAACTTGAATAGGGTCTCTTTTGGAAAGAAATATACTTCAAGGCTCGTTTTTGAACAAACAAAAATAGTTTATTGAGGTTCGATTCCAAGAGAAAAAATGCTATATGATTCGGGAGGGAGGGGGAGGAGAGAGATAAAGTAATCAACTTTTGTTTACATACATTAACATTAACTTTTTGTTAATGGCAAGGTAAAATTAATTTATTTATAATTTTTATTTTAATATATAACGGTTAAATAAGCTTTTAATATATTTTTTTTTATTTTTAAGATTACTTAAGTTGCAAGTTTCATTACATTACATTTCATTACTCATATATAAAAAGGTAAAATTTTAAAAACAGAACAATAAAATAAACTTACATTAAAAATTGCATCAAGCTCAACTAAAGCTTGATCTTCATTTGCAAACTTCACTGCTTGGTTCCTCATATGCGTATCTAGGAAAAATGAAAAAGCAGAAGGCAATTTCTTGATAATCATTTTGACTAAATCCATAGTTTCAGCATTTTCTTTTATATCTTCAGCAGTTTCAGCTATATTGTTAACCATTCTATTTTTTCTAGCTCCTGTAGAAAATAATTTCCAGATTAGATAGTAAGATTAAATGTTTTAATAAAAATAATAACAAAATTATAATAATGACAAAGATATTTCCATGAATCAAAAAATATTTTTTTTTTTTTTTTTACATTTTATCAAAAACATATTGTAATATAAATATTACATAGTGATTTTAAATAGTTTTCTCTGCATTAATAACTAGTTCCCACTGCTGGTATTTCTCATTTAATTTTCTTAACATATATCCAGCATCTTATGCGTCTTGTTCAATGATGACCTGGTCATCTGTGAAGGATAGATTATAAAGGAACACTATTTCTTTCAACTGAATCCCCATGGGTTCACATTTTATTCTCCATGCTTTCAAACAAATGTCAAGATAAATCTTTAACAGAGAAGTAGAGGCACAACACCCCTGGAGCAATCCATTGCTTGTAGGGAAAGGCTCAGAAAGGTATGGTCCAATTTTGACTTGGCAGCTGTTTCCTTTGGAAATTTCCTTTATTATATCTATCAGACCTATATTAATGTTTGCATTTTGGAGGGCTTGCCATAATAGTCTTCAAGGGGCATTGTCATACGCTTTCTCCAGGTCTATATTATTAATATTATTTAATTTTATAATTAAATACTAAAAATTCCAAAGATTTAACGTTTTACAGCTTGACAAAGTATTAAATGGATGGAACTTGTAACACAGATGTCAGATGATAGGATACCGTGCAGATTGCTGGTCAGCGGGAAGAGAAGAGATGGGAAACTGGGTCGAAACGTTGGCTTTTAATAAAATAGTTTTGCCACTATTTAGCCTATTTATGATCGCCACCTCGGACCATCTCCTTACTTTATAATGCAGCGGTCAACTATGAAATATTCAATAATTAAAATTCGTTTGTTTCATACTTTTTATTTTTGTTTTTCAGAAAATCTCGTTATTATTATTTCACAATTAATGTTATGATGATATGTTAGTTCACATCATTATAATTATTTTAATATTCAACTTTTATATTGTGCATTACATTTTATTTTTACTATATTATTATTTTTTTTTTTAGCTGAGTTCCCGTTTCAAAATTGTAACCAGGAAAAAATAAGGTATGTTTTACTTCTTAAAAAACACTATTTGTTTATTTTAAAAAAAATCGATTAAGTAATTTACTTATTTATTTATTTTATAATTTTTCTGATTTCTTTATAGATGCTAGTCACAATATTAAATATTTTTTATTTTTTACTGTTTAGTAGATCATGTAATATAATACTGGTAACTTATTATATTCGGAGAGGCTGAGCGGAGCTCAACTGAATGGTTACCACGATTGGAGGATTGAAATATACCCAAAAAGGCCTGAGTTAAATAGGAAGTTATTGTTGTTTCTCGGTGAAAAATAAGATTCATTCATTATTCAAGGAAAATGCTTCCTTCCACTTAAGTAAAACATTGAGGAATAATTATAGTATGTTGGTTACCGAAATTTATGAAATCATTTACAAGTTAAGACAAAACTTTTTTTCTATCTTCACGTTAATGAAGAATAATTGAAACTTTATTTAATCCTATTATAAATTCTCCGTACGGTAAAGTAAAAACTGAGATTAGAAGAAGAAAAGTGTTCCTAAACTGAGAAGTTGGTTAATTTAATACTTACTTGCACAAATTCTTAATCCTTCTCGATACGAAGGCATGACTTCTTTTGGAAAACTGATTTCTGAAGGCCCAATCCAAGGCATGTAAAGGACTTGTTCAAACAGAATTTTATCTCCTGCAAATATCTATAAATAATATGTAATATTTATTTTTTTAAATTATTTGCTCATATGTATTTATTAAATTTAAAAAAAAGTTGTATATTATATCTGATATTTTATACCTTGCTGAATTGCAAAAAATAAAGTTAATGTTACAATTTAAACGCAATAATTGGAATTCATAACGACTGAAGATTAATTTTACTAAATTAAAAAAAAAAATTCTTAGAAATTATTTCATGCTGAATTATTCATTGGATATTTACTCCTAACAATTTATGGTATTGAAAAATCAGATGAATATTAGGTCATAAATATGTTAAGAGTATAAAGAAAAAGATTTTTATGTAAATTTTATGTTTTTGTTAAGTATAGAAATAATAACCTTTTTTCAATCTTATATATTAACCTTCTGCATTGAATTTTATCAAATAACGACTTTCCATTAATTTCTGCAAAAAACTATTGAAATAATCATACAGTGCTGACCTTAAACATTTGGCACCACTGAGCAATGACATCATTAAAACAGAAAATTAAAGTTACGTTATCTAGGATCAGTGATTGCTAAAATGATAATTTTAATAGTAATTATTTAAATATTACAACATAAAATTGTTGTTTTCCTTTTTTTATCATGAGAACCTATGTATTACGTTTTAATATGATTTTAAAAATAATACAGATTTTGTTCATGCATAATTAAAATACATTCAAATTACTGTGTTTTTTTTTTTAACTTTCCATTAATAATTACATTATGAATGTTTTTCCACTCGGGGTTTTCCCAGGCCAGGGGGTGTGGGCGGGGATTTAAAAAACGCCTTGGAACTCGTGACTATTTTTATAACATTTGTCATATATCAGGTTGCTGGGCAACGGTGGTGCTGTGCACAACGCGTTAGCCCATTCGACCACCCTGCCCTGTTTTTTCCACTTTGTTATTGATGAATTTAAACTAAAACTTTTTAACTTAAACACATACTTGATGTAAGATGTCTTCAGCTGTTTTTTGATTGAAATCCCACAAAGCAAAGTATTTCTTTGAATTAGCCGCAGCTAGAGTAGTCGACCTTTCTTCCAGTTCTTTTATATTGTTTTGAAGAGCATCTATGGCTGAAGCATGGTCATTAATTTCTTTGGCTAAAGCTTTAGTTCCCATTTTAATTTTATTTTTTATTACTTCTATTTCATTCCTTAGCCTGTATAAAACAATAAAATTAATTTAAAATTTATTATTGGTAAAAGGGAGAGGAGAAAGTCATTCCAAATACTTTTTGAGGAAATTAGTTTTATTGTTTGGAGCTTTATAAAATTAGCAATGTTTAGGCATTTTTCAAACGCTCCAAACAATCCTACCATCTATATTTCCTACTTTTTTCGTCTTATTCTACTTAATGATAAGAATATATTTATGTGTTTGACTCCATTTTGAAATAAAGTGGGACTTTCCTCCTTTCTGCTCTTGGCTCTCCAACCTATATAAAGGTAGCACTATTAAAGAAGGACTTGATAAACATAATACTTTTACGATGAAGGATATAGAGATTAAAAGGGTAGTGATTAAAGTTAACACTCTTATAAAAATAAGATGAGGAGAATAGCATAGTTATAATAAAATACTTTATTTATTCTGGGACAAGTCTCTTTAGAATAATATACAAAGACAGAAATGTGGGCTTTGGTGTCTCAGAGATTTATAAGCAGTATCACAAAATAAACAAATAGACATAGTTAAAACACTTCAAAGTAATTGTATTGGCAGCCACAGAAAAGTTCCATTAATTAGACATGGTATTGTGGAGTGTGAGTATTTTAGAGAGTTCAAAAAATAAACTGAACAATTTAAGATATTGTTTAAATGGTAAGTTTATATAGATCAGTGTTTTTTATTTTTTTCATAAAAGTTTGTTACGCAATATCGGACCTGCAGAGATTGCGATATTGTTGAACATATAAATATTATTTTAAAATTATTTAGCTAGCTATCAAGAAGTTCATCAAAAATTGTAGATTGAATTTAAAGAAAATAATTATTTTTCTTTCCAAGGATCCAAATTATAAAGAATAGTAAGAAGATGTTTTGGAATTACTTACTGTAAAATACGTCTTTTGTTTTCATTTTTTATCAACTGATTTGAACTTTGTCTTTTCAACAACAATTGATAGTTGTAAGAAATCTTTTCAATGTTAAGAGTGCACATTGATCTCAAGCGATCAAGTTCCAGGGTCATTTTCTGTAATAGAAAGTTAAAAGTAACTTATAAAATATTTATTTGATGCGGGAAATGGAATGATAATTTATTTATCACTACATATATATTTATATATCAGTTCGCTGTTAAAATGTTAAAATTAGAAGAAACTTCAAGCAATAAAGAGAAACACTTTATTTTCATAAAAGGGTGCTGCCCAATTATATTGGGTTGCTACAGACATAACATAGTTATCAATCAATTCAATAGACAATCTTGAAAACTAATATACAGTATCATCAATATATATAAGTATAGTAAACATTTATTTTTGTGTTTCTTTTTTTTATGTATTTATTTTTGTCTTTTTACACTATTTTTTTTTCTTGACATTCAAATTTCTCTTTCTCTCTCTTTTCTCCCCTTATAAATTTCTCTTATTTTTCCTCATATTTTTGCCTCTCTCATCTTAACCAAATTCATACTTTCTGACAAATTATATAATAATAATAAAAAAAAAGTACATAAACAATAAAAAAACTAAATGAAATTAATATATACAAATACAGTAGACGTGTTCAATAAATAATAAAAAATATATTTAACAACAAGTAATAAAAATAATATATTTAGCATTAAAAAGAACTAATTTCAGAATCAACACGATGGAAATTATAGTATTGAGTTAATATAAAAAATTACATACATATTAAATTTGAAATCTTTTTGGTTCAACTTTGTAGTTTGTTATGAATCTTACATTGATATTTCCGATAGAATAATTGATGCCAGTTTGTCCCTACCTAGTAATGGTATTTTTATTTATTGTAGGAAAACCAGGATCGTACAACATAACTTTTATAGTTTCATTGAAATTATTCTCTTCATTCCAGTTTATAATGAAAAGTTTATATTTTCAAGTTATTCAGAAAAAGTTTAATTTGAGATTGACTAATTAAGTAATAAAAGTATGATTATCCTGCCTTTGTTGTATCATAGGCATGTTGCGAAAGAAGAAAACAAATTATTTAAACAAAAAATGTTATCATTAAATCAGATTTATTTTAAACTTTAAAACTAAAATAATTTAAGTTTAAAAATGTCAATAAATCAGTCAAACTGCATCACTTGAATGGTCCACGAAAAAGTCTTATTCTTACATTACAGTGTTCGTGGGAATGTGATAAACAATTACATGATTTAACTTCTCACTATAGTCAGGTACTTAAGTTTGGAAGATCTATACAGCGAATATCAAATCACAATTCTCTTTCTCAGACCAAGCCAAATTTATCAGTGAAGAGAAAGCTTTTTTGTGCAGGGAGTTAAATGATGATCATTTAGGGTAGAAATACTGTTCTTTACTCACTATGGTACCTTATTCCAACAAATAAGTCCTTTAAAATTCAAGAGATTTATGTGGAATGTGTTAGAATTAGTCAGCTCATACAATTAGAGGAAGAAAACAAAACAAAAAACAATTATTTAATTTAAAATATTTTATTATAAAAATAAATAAGTAAATAAGAATCAATAAAATTAAAACAACCAATATTTCTTATTAAAAACTATTATTTTATATATATAAAATATATTCTTTCTATACAAACTGTTCATTATAATTATTCTTAGGGAACTAAATGTCCCAGAATAAAATTTACTTTTCTATTTCTTCTTCTTCTTAAAACTAAGATCACAATAGATTTTAAAGAGAGCTCGCTCTCAGGAAAACTTTTGATTTATAGAAATTTAAGATAAATAAGATTGAGAACTAAAAAAAAAATTAAACTAGCTAATGATGAAAATTTTGCAATATATAACTTACAGAGCGTTAAAAAAAGTGTATGTAATGAATCAAAACAATCATTTCAATATAAAAGCTATTTCTGTAAAGGCCCTAACAAATAATAGCTTTTATAAAAAAAGTAATAAATTTCTATAAATTAAACCTCTTTAAGAAACACAATGAAAGCTTAACTCTCTTAAACTATTTAAATCTCCTGAGTCAAATAATGATGCATATATTTTAAATGAAATTATATAATTGTTTTTAATTTGGTTACTTTACGTTTTATTTTCACAATTTATTAAGTCAATAAGAGTATAAATAATTTTACAATTCATCCATCATACTAAATATTTAATAATTTATATATAAAATGCAATATTTAACTTACAGAGGCTTACGAAAAGTGTATGTAATGAATCAAAACAATTATTTCAATATAAACGCTATTTCTGTGAAGTCCATAATAAATAATAACTTTTTTAAAACCATAATTAGTTTATAATTACTTTCTATACATTAAAACTCTTTAAGAAACACGATGAAGGCCTAACTCTCTTCAACTATTTAAATCTCCTTCATCTCTTTATGATAAAACTAATTTACAATATGGCTAAATTAGAATTAAATTGACGATTATCATTCATATAAATGTAACACACACTCATAGAATTATTTTATCTAGTCTAAGTCAAATAATAATACATATATTTTAAATGAAATTATTTCATCATTTTTAATTTGGTCATACATTTTATTTTCACAATTTATTAAGTCAACAAGAGTATAAATAATTTTAGGATTCACCAACCATACTAAATAATTAATAATTTATATATAATATGCAATATATAACTTACAGAGGCTTACGAAAAGTGGATGTAATGAATCAAAACAATTATTTCAATATAAACGCTATTTCTGTGAAGTCCATAATAAATAATAGCTTTTTAAAAACCATAATTAGTTTATAATTACTTCCTAGACATTAAACCTCTTTAAGAAACACGACGAAAGCCTAACTCTCTTAAACTATTTAAATCTCCCTCATCTTTTTATGATAAAACTAATTTACAATATGGCTAAATTAGAATTAAATTCACTATTATTATTCAAATAAATGTACCATGCGCTCATAGAATTATTTTACCACAATCAAAATCAAATAATAATGCATATATTTTAAAAGAATGCATTTTATTGTTATTAATTTGGTTTGCTTTACATTTTATTTTCACAATTTATTAAGTCAATAAGAGTATAAATAATTTTACGATTCACCAACCATATTAAATAATTAATAATTTATATATAATATGCAATATATAACTTACAGAGGCTTACGAAAAGTGTATGTAATGAATCAAAACAATTATTTCAATATAAACACTATTTCTGTGAAGTCCATAATAAATAATAGCTTTTTAAAAACCATAATTAGTTTATAATTACTTCCTAGACATTAAACCTCTTTAAGAAACACGACGAAAGCCTAACTCTCTTAAATTATTTAAATCACCTTCATCTTTTTATGATAAAACTAATTTACAATATGGCTAAATTAGAATTAAATTCACTATTATTATTTATATAAATGTAACAAGCAACTCATAGAATTATTTTACCGCATTTTAAGTCAAATAATAATACATATATTTTAAATGAAATCATATCATTGTTTCTAATTTGATTATTTTACATTTTATTTTTACAATTTATTAAGTCAAAAAGAGTATAAATAATTTTATAATTCATCAACCACACTAAATATTTAATAATTTATATATAATAAGCAATATATAACTTACAGAGCTTTACAAAAAGTGTATGTAATGAATCAAAACAATTATTTCAATATAAAAGCTATTTCAGTGAAGTCCATAATAAATAATAGCTTTTTTAAAACCATAATTAGTTTATAATTACTTTCTATACATTAAAACTCTTTAAGAAACACGATGAAGGCCTAACTCTCTTCAACTATTTAAATCTCCTTCATCTTTTTATGATAAAACTAATTTAAAATATAGCTAAATTAGAATTAAATTCACTATTATTATTTATATAAATGTAACACACACTCACAGAATTATTAAGGTAAAATTATTTTACCGTAGTCAAAGTCAAATAATAATACATATATTTTAAATGAAATCATATCATGGTTTCTAATTTGATTATTTTACATTTTATTTTCACAATTTATTAACTCAATAAGAGCTTTTATAATTTTACAATTCATCAACCATTCTAATCATTTAATAATTTATATATAATAAGCAATATATAACTTACAGAGCCTTACAAAAAGTATATGTAATGAATCAAAACAATTATTTCAATATAAACGCTATTTCTGTGAAGTCCATAATAAATAATAGATTTTTTAAAACCATAATTAGTTTATAATTTCTTTCTACACATTAAACCTCTTTAAGAAACACGATGAAGGCCTAACTCTCTTTAACTATTTAAATTGCCTTCATCCTTTTATGATAAAACTAATTTAGAATATAGCTAAAGTAGAATTAAATTCACTATTATTATTTATATAAATGTAACACGCACTCACAGAATTATCGAGGTAAAATTATTTTACCGTAGTCAAAGTCAAATAATAATACATATATTTTAAATGAAATCATATCATTGTTTCTAATTTGATTATTTTACATTTTATTTTCACAATTTATTAACTCAATAAGAGCATAAATAATTTTACAATTCATCCCTCATACTAAATATATAATGATTTATGAGACGTATAAATGAGTATGTTTGAAAAATAATACATGATTTTAGCTCCGATAAAAGAATAACAATGAATTTACAATTAATTTTAAGAATAGTTCCACTAATTGCTTAAAGATGGCAGCACCTATCGAGAAAGCCATGAAAAATATAATTTTAATAATAGTTCTGGTTAGCTCCGCAAGAGGCCAGCACCATACAGACATGTATTCCGAAGAGAGAACCAGCACGAAAATTTTTATTTTGTATCAGGATAGTGGGAGGTCGAAGGAGCTCAACTAGTAGGTAGGGTTAAGTGCAGGTGTACTTGTAGTTCCAGAGACTGCCGCAAGACAGCAGCACTGTCGGTCCAATGAGTGAGCTCTATCAGTTGAGCTCCTTCGACCTCCCACTATCCTAATACAAAATAAAATTTTTCGAGCTGGTTTTCTCTTCGGAAAACATGTCTGCATAGTGCTGGCCTCTTGCGGCGCTGACCAGAACTATTATTAAAATTATATTTTTTTTAGCTTTCTCGATAGGTGCTGCTATCTTTAAGCAATTAGTGGAACTATTTCTAAAATCTTTATTGTTATTCTTTTTCGTTTTTTTCTTTTAATCGGAATTCAAATTATGTATAATTTTCAGACGAATTCATTTATATGTCTTATAAATTATTAATTATTTAGTAAAAGTAGTAAAATTGAAGAATTGTAAAGTCATTTATGCTCTTATCGACTTAATAAATTGTGAAAATAAAATGTAAAATAATCAAATTAAAAATAATGAAATATTTTCATTTAAAATATATGCATTATTATTTGACTGTGACTATGTTAAAATAATTTTATCTTAATAATTCTGTGAGTGTGTATTACATTTATATAAATAATAATAGTGAATTTAATTCTAATTTAGCCATATTATAAATTACTTTTATCATGAAAAAATGAAGCTGATTTAAATAGATTAAGAGAGGCTTTCAACATTTTTCTTTAAAATGTTTAATCTATAACTACTAATTATAAACTGATTATGTTATCAAAAAAGTTATTATTTGTTAGGGTCTTTACAGAAATAGGTTTTATATTGAAATAATTATTTTGAGTCATTACATATACTTGTTATTAATCAGAGTTGAAATATGCATTTTATATATAAATTATTAAATATTTAGCATGGCTGGTGAACTGTAAAATTATTTATACTCTTATTGACTTAATAAATTGTAAAAATAAAATTTAAAATAACCAAATTAAAAACAATGATATAATTTCGTTTAAAATATATGTATTATTATTTGGCTTAGACTATGGTAAAATGATTTTACCTTAATAATTCTATGAGTGCGTGTTACATTTATATAAATAATAATAGTGAATTTAATTCTAATCTAGTATTAAATATTTAGCATGGTTGGTGAATTGTAAAATTATTTATACTCTTATTGACTTAATACATTGTGAAAACAAAATGTAAAATAATGAAATAATTTCATTTAAAATATATGTATTATTATTTGACTTAAAATGCGGTAAAATAATTCTATGAGTTGCTTGTTACATTTATATAAATAATAATAGTGAATTTAATTCTAATTTAGCCATATTGTAAATTAGTTTTATCATAAAAAGATGAAGGAGATTTAAATAGTTTAAGAGAGTTAGGCTCTCATCGTGTTCCTTAAAGAGGTTTGATGTATAGAAAGTAATTATAAACTAATTATGGTTTTAAAAAATCTATTATTTATTATGGACTTCACAGAAATAGCGTTTATATTGAAATAATTGTTTTGATTCATTACATACACTTTTCGTAAGGCTCTGTAAGTTATATATTGCATATTATATATAAATTATTAATTATTTAGTATGGTTGGTGAATTGTAAAATAATTTATACTCTTATTGACTTAATAAATTGTGAAAATAAAATGTAAAGTAACCAAATTAATAACAATAAAATGTTTTCTTTTAAAATATACGTATTATTATTTGATTTTGATTGTGGTAAAATAAATTAACCTTAGTAATTCTATGAGTGCATGTTACATTTATATAAATGATAACAATGAATTTAATTCTAATTTAGCCAGTTTGTAACCAGTTGTAGCCATGTTTTAAATCAATTTTATTATGAAATAATGAAGGTGATTTAAACAGATTAAGAGAGCAAAGATTTCAGTATGATTCTTAAAGTGGTTTAGTTTATAAGAACTAATTATATATTAAAAAATTAATGAAGATGAGCAATTATTTGTTTTAGGCTTTAAAGAAATAACTGTCAAATTGAAATAATTAATTATTTTGATTCATCTTTATATTGTTGTTTGTTGTAGATTGTTACTTCTTAATATTTTTCAATTGTTTTATTTTTATGATGGGAGTTAAACTTATGCATAATTTTTCAATAGTATTCAATTATCTTTATTATTAATTAGTATGCTCGATAATTTATAAAATTATTTATTGAGGAAGGAGATGGTCGGGGTGGTGGTCATTAACAGACTTAAAATAGTGGAAAAACTACTTCATTTCAAGACTTAACTCAAAAATTATTTTATTTTCGACCATCTTCTTCCTCAATAATATTCAATGGTCAACCATCGAGTATTCAGTATTAATGAATGTATGGTTCAGTATAAATGAATTATTTATGTTCTTATTAACTTATTAAGTTGTGAATATAAAATGTAAAACAATGAAATACTGTCATTTAAAATATGTTATTTATGACTTAAACTATGGGTAAATAATTCCATCTTTCTATAAATATATGTTTTGTTTTCCTAAATAGTCTATTACAAATTTTATAAAGTTTTTCTGTTTAAAACATGATTGTTCACAGAATAATTGTATGTAAATACTGAAAGAAAAATAAACTTCATTCTCTTCTAGAGAGGAAGATGGTGAGATTTTTTTATATTTTTGTTATATTCGGCATCTACCCAAGTTTTTCATTAGCAGCTTGTGAAAAAATTTGATACACATATAAAACAAAAATATTACTGTTGTTATGAAAAATAAAAGGATAAAACATTATTTATACTTGAGGGTAATTTACAATCCTTATGCGAACAAATTACATTTTTAAATAAATATATATTAGCAAATCGCCCTAATGTGAGAAGCCCTTAAAAAGGAAAATTTTATACATAATTTAATATAATCGAGCAAATTACTTCACATCTTTATATATAAAATCAACTTCACTAAACAATATTTAAATAATTAGTTCACTGATAATGTAATATTAACTTTCAATCCTAATTATTTTTTAAATGTCGAGTATATAAATACTTTAAGTCAGTTCCTAGGGTACGAGGCAAATGAAATAAAATCACTTTAATATTTTTTATTCAAATTAAAAAATAAAGTGACAAACTTATTGGACTACCTGAACAATGAAAATCTATCAGATCCACTTTTTTAAGCTGACTTGTAAGGAACTGACTTTTTCAGAGTCTTTGATGCATTTTTAAAAATGAAATATTCCAAAACGACATTAGGTAAACTTTTGTTTCTTGAGTTTAATTATCGATTCAAAGCCAAAAAAAGTCTTCAATCTAGGGGGGGGGGGGAAGTTTACTGGACATTTGAGGAAATGTATTGAAACTAATGAAAATTATTTATGAATAGAAATCATATTTTTAAAATGTTTTTTCTCTAATTTTCCACATGCCCTCTGTATTGATATTAGCTTCAAATACAATTTTTGCATTTTTGACACAACTTCAAATAAGCCACTTTGGCATAGTACCAACGATTTAAAGAAGTTTTTTTTTATTTGTTGTATATTTTTGCCTTACATTTTCATAATCATTAGCTCAAACTATTTCTCAGGGTTAGACACGATATAGAAAAAATCTTTAAATCAATGCAAGCATGGTACTATGGAAATAAAAGGTTTCAGAACCGTTATTATTCCATAACCATAAAAGGTTTTGGAATCTTCAATACGTAACTACTATAAAGAACATATCTAGGCACCTTTGTTTTTCAGGTTCTGGAGATACCCTCTTAACAGTATATTTGTTTTAGAAAATAAAATAAAGAAAATGGAAGAAAGAAAAAGTTCAATTTAATGGGAAAAATTAATAGAAATTTGATCATTTTTTCTTAAATTAAATATTTTTTTCTTGAACAGAAATAACAAAAATAAATCTTATACTATCGAACATTTTGAAAATTATTAGGTCTGGAAAATTGACTATAATTATCATTATTATAATGTCGATGGTTTAGAGAGGATTACTTATTTTCATTTGAATTAAATAATAAAGAAATAAAATTTATAAACTCACATGAATAACACTATTCAATTCATAGTCAAGAGCTCTTTGTTTTTCATTCTGTTCTATAGTGTCCATATCAATTTTCAATTCGTGTTCTTCAATGAGTTTATATATCATGTTAACCGCAGCCTGATCAATATCATCTCTTTCTTTGATCAGTGTTTCCCAAATTTTTCTGTTATTGATAATAATGTCTTCTTTTTCATTATCAATCATTTCCTAAAAAAATTATCATTCAATGTAAGTCTACAGTAAAGTATTTCACGACTAACTTTCCAATTGAAATAAATTAATATTTTATTTATTAACAATTTAAAAAAAAAAATGATAAACATGCCTGAAGTTTTTCTAATTGTAGGGAGTAAGCATTTTTTAAAACACTGATCTGCTCCTCGATTCTGTCAATCAATATGTCAATTTCTAATCCTTGTTTTTCCAACTCACGAACAAAGTTTTCATCTTTATTTTTAAGTTCATTTTTTAAATAATCTATCATCTTATCTTTACCAAGTAGAAGATCATTACACTTTTCTACAATAAAAAACAAAAACAAATCATCAATGCATAAATTACATGTCTATATATCTAGCTCGTATTTCGTTTAGTTTATTCGTTTAAAGAGTTTCATTGACAAACTCTGAAGTTCCCAAAAGGGATTTCAACCTTTATTCAAAGAGTGACCATATTTTTTCATACCGTCTGAAAATCGGATCTCTAAAAGGAAAAGTTTTTATGCATAAAAAGAGAGTAGGAGTAAAAAGGATTGTATCATGGTGGGCATAAAGGAAATTAAAAATCGTCAGGTTTGAATGGAGGAAAGAAAACTATGAGATAAGTAAATAATATGTCAAATAAAAATTAATAATAACTTAAAAAATGGCAAACAATCACCAATAGCCAAATGACCAAAATTCATCATTAGTATAGATAGATAGATAGATAGATAGAAAAAAAAAAACTTTATTCTGAGACTAAGTCCCTTTAGAATAACAATATTATACAAAAGAATAGAATATTACTGGCCTAAAAGTTTGAAACAAAAAATAAAATTGATAAAATAAAATAAAAAGTAAAGAAAACCTTAGGTGCACAAACTATATACAATACAGATAAAACTAGGTACAGAGCATTTAAAACTATGAACAAAACAATTAAAACTATGAACGAATCACTTGAACTATGAACAAAACTATATATAAGTGTTGAACAACATAAACATACACTTTGAGAAATGAAGAACGAAAAAGAGATAGAATGAGCTCATTTCATAAAAAAAACTTTATATATATATATATAAACAGTTAATTATAATTGAATAAAAAAAAAATGTATCTATTGTAATTCCTACGTTGATAGTAGGAAATGCATGTCTATTCTATGCATGTATATTACAGAAAAAAATTTTTTTTCACTTTTATTTTTCAATCCGCACATTTACATTTATTAAGAATAAGCACAGATGTGTTGGCTAAATAATAAGATCAGAAAATAATTGATTCTTGTTTTTTTAATATCTAATATATTATCTAAATAAATTAAATTCTAATTTTTACTAGTCAGAGATAAAGAAATGCCAGCATTGCAAAAAATTATTGGATGAATATATGTTAACTCAGAATATGATCAATTATGTCATTATAATTAAGTATAACTAATTAAGAGTGCGCTACTCAGATTAAGAATCAGAGGCTGGAAAAAGAATATTAAATACTGATGACTTCCACTTTTGGATTCATCCATATAAACAAATCCATACCTTAAATATAATTTGGGTTGAAGCTTTCTTGTTTGTTTTTTTTAATAGAGAAATAGTAGTTAGTGATTGACGTATTCCTTTTAAGAGATTACTCTTATTTTTAAAACTTAAAAACTCTTTTCGATTAATTCTAAGAGATGGCAGAGAGGGGTATTGTAATATTATGGTTCTTAGCGGTTGACGATATCGGAAGGATATGCCACCATCTCATCAATGGAAGAAATTCAATAAAAAAATGATTCCCCTATGTACATTTATATGATTAAAACTTATAACCTCTTAAGAAACTCGTCCCTCTATCAATTTCCAATGGATTGTTAAGAGTTTTTATTCCTTCCCAGCCTGCACGTATTGCTACCAATTCTCTTTCAGCTTCTTCATTATTTCTGAAAACTATTTTTTCCAGATCTTCACGGTATTTCTTTTCAGTTTCAACTCTCTTTATTTCTTTTTTAACAGCTGCATGTTTAACGTTTAAGACCTGTAGAATAAAAGTTTTGTTTTAAAGTACATTAAGTTTAAAAAAAAAGAAAAGAACTTGATGGATTAATGAATATTTTAATACTTGTGATAATGCCATTTTTTTTTTTAAACTGCAAGACCATTACTTTATAAATAGTCTTATATCTTATTAATAGTTTTATTATAAAAAAAACAAGAACAATTAGGATTTCAGAAAAAAAAAAAGGATGAATGATATATATATAATATTTACAAATTACTTTTGGTGAGGGGTATAAATGTTTATAACATGTTTGACACTGCATGGGAATGTAGAAATTAACACACTGAGAAGAAAAATAACATATTTATGTATGAAATTAGAAACAAATAAGATGGTGACACAGTCTTCTGATTCCAGGAATAAAAAACTTCTATCTAGGTCTCAACAATCAGCTTTGTAGTTAATCTTAGAAGTTATTAAGTTGGTGAGCCAAATTGGAAGAGTGGTTGTGCTATTGTTTTCAAGTAAAGTAGATATCAAAATTTTTAGCTTTAGGTTTTGATGTGTATTTTTTTATTCATGTTGATGACTATGCTTTCCGAATCACTGTTTGTTGGTGAGTAATAGTTAAACCGTATTTCAATTTCAAATCAATAATGTTGAATAAGTTCTATATGGAAAAACAAACGTTCTTGTCTTAAACCTGTATCATGGTCGTCGATTCATCAATTAGAAATAGAATTTGACTTTATAAGCGAATCTGAATAAACATTTGATGTAATATTCTGGTAAAACTGCTAATCCGAGAGGAGTAGATCCTCTAGAACTGATGGCTGTTGTGGATCCAAGTGAACTTCTTTAGCTTTATTGTTAAATAATTTAGTCAACTAATTTTGTGTAAATTGTAATTCACATATCTAATTTTTTATTGATTATTAATTTTAAGTAATAAATTTCATATTGCATCTTCTTATATGCATACAAAGAAAAAATAGTTTGTACTGTAATATAATTTTTTTTTCTTTAACAAAACAACAAAATACAAAGTTCTGCATCAAAATGTTGTTGTAATAAGATACTATCATCTACATCATAGGGACAAGATTTTAACGATCCAAGGTATGCTTGGGCATAATCTAGTACACAATTGGATATCACTGTACATAATTAACATGATCAAATAAATTTAATTGCATATGAGTAAAATATATATATTTTTTATTTTCAATAACTGTTTAATATTTAAATTCTAAAAAAAAATTAATAGGTAGAAATAATTGTGCTTTCAGGACAATTCTTTCGTTTTTATATTTTTAAAAATAGTAAATTTTAATCCAAGGATGTCTCAGTTCTTAATGGCCAATCTCTGGAGGTAGATTCTAGACAAAATTTCCAACAAAAAAGTTTATTTCATGCGTGGGCTGATTCTAAACGGAAAAGGAGTTAAGGCCAATTTCATGTTTTTCTTAAGGTGCTCACATTTTTTATTGAATAAGAAGTTATTTCTCAAAAACTGTTCAAAATAATTAAATTCTAAGTACACCATCCTTAAGTAATAATAATAATAATCTTTTTATTTATTCTGGGACAGTCCCTTTAGAATAATTAACAAGGACAAAAATGTGGGTATTTGAGCCTCGGATATATATAAATGTATTTACAAAGTAAACTAATAGGTATAATAGAAAAAAAAAAAATCTTCTAACTTAAATTTATTAAAAAGAAAAATAAATAAATGAAAGAACAATGAAATGAAAATAAACTAATAATATATATATATATATATATATATATATATATATATATATATATATATATATATATATATATATATATACATATTTACAGACATTTCTATTTACAAGTTTATATGGATTGGATAGAAAGGAAGTGATTGAATAGGCGGGATTTAAAAGTAGGGAGAATATTGGAACGGCCGGTGTCAGGAGGGATGAAGTTCCATAGGGATGAGGATCGAATAATAAAAGATTCATCGAATGCAGTGGTTCGGTGGGCCATTATATATAAATCTGAAGACCGGGAACGAGTATTGAGAGAGTGAACAGAGGATTTAAATTGAAGGAGCTCGGAGATGTATGAAGGACGGCGGGAGTGAATGACTTAGAAGAGGAAGGATGCCAGGAAATACTTACTTAGGAAGGCCATAAAGCCATTTCAACTCTTCATAAAAACAGGAAACAGGGACTGAAGATGAATCATACAAAGCAATTTATCAAGCGTTTTAGTTTCTTCTCGAGATCCCCAGAGACGCTCCATATACCATGCAGCAATAGTCAAAGTAGAGAAATATTAAGGAGGTGACCAGGAGTCTGTGGGTTTCAAAAGGTAAAAGGTGACAGAGGCTATTTAAATTCTATAAGGTGGAAAAGGTACGTCGGGAGATATTGGAAATATGGTTTTTCCAGAAAAGGGTTTGATCAAAGATTATCTGTATTATAAGTAAAGATTATAAGTAGAGAACTTTTTTTTGAGAAAATATTAATTACATTTACAGAAGTCAATGATAACAGGGACTTTTAGGGGGTCTTACACAACTGTACAGAGATATGCTTGTATGAGTAATGTGACTGCAGCAGTATCGAAGCCGTATTAGACCTCCTAAAAGTCCCGTTTATCATTGACCTAAGTAAATTTAAAGTCCCTTTTATCATTGGCCTTATTAAATTTAATCAATGTTTTCTAAAAAAAATGTCTACTTTGCGATGGTATACTTAAAATTTAATTATCTTGAACAGTTTTTGAGCAATTACTTCGTATTCAATAAAAACCGTGACTACCTTGAAAAATACAAAATTGGTCTTAATTCCTTTTCTGTTTGGAACCTTTTTTTTGGAAATTTTGTCTAGAAACACCCTCTAGACTTTGGCCCTTAAGAACTGTTACACCCTGTATATAAGATGGGTCCATGCACAATTTTAAACCAATATCCTATAATGGTCCTGAAAGTTGTTTGATTCTTTCTGCTCATCTGTTTTATTTTTTCAATCTTTTGAATAAAAAGAGATAATTTTACAAGTTTAATTACTTATACATGTATATATTTAAATAAAAATATATTATTTAGAATGTCTATTATTGATTGTTAAAATTTTACAAAATACATAATTGCATTGATTATCTGAACTCAGGTTGGTGTTGATTATTCTTGGTAATTTATGTTCTACTGTACAAGCTCTCAAGATTTAAAAAAAAAAAAAAAATGTTTTACTCAGCTAATTTTTTTTAAAAATGAAAATCATTTCCTGAATCTAAAAAATTAAACTATCGGTTCTTGAAAATATTGTAAGGGCACTCCTGAAAATAATTTATAATACTAGTAAATTTGAATTGGTCTGTAAATTCGAGGCATGCGATTCCAGTCTCAACTAATTTCAGTATTATTGACCTATGACAAATGGAATAATATTGCCTGGAGATTTGTAAAATTATAACATTGCTACGTAACAACTTTTGCTAAACTTTTAAATAGATGTAGTTAAGAAGAAAGCTTTCTGATTCAAATTTTTGTATGTTTTCTATTTCACTCTTTAATAGTATAAAAACTTATTCGTACAGATCTAGCTTTAGAAACAGCCTACTTAGCAACATCAAAATATTTAATTGATTAAAATTGTTAACTTTCTTTTTGTAAAATTCATTTATTCCAACAAAAAATATTAATTTTGAAATGGCATCAATGAGCAACCATTTATGAGGAATATAAGGAAAAAAATAAATAAAGGATTATTATCAAAACATAAATTTATATTTATTTCTTTAAAAATACATGTAAACTCAACTTATAAAATTTTAAATTAACAAAAATTAACTTATAAGTATTAATTATTTATTGACATTCTGGTTCACCCATGAAATAATTATCAACATAAAGTTGAATTAAAAATATTTCAAGACATTAAGATAAAATAAAAGATAACCATAAAAATAATTCATAAATATATTACAATAAATACATTATAATACAGGTTGGTTATGTTATATAATTCACCAATTGTTAAAATTATCGAATGAGTAACTTGCATCGATCTTCTTTTTTTTAACTGGGACTTCTTCTTTAGTATTGGAACTTGTAGGAGCACACCTAGGATCAATGTATTTACCAATGCCACTTTTGAATTGGGCCAAAGGAACATCTCTTTTAGGAATTATTTCTTTTGATTCTTGTTCTTCTAGTGCAGCCTTCTCCCTTTCAGCAGCTAGTTTTTCATCTGCTTCTTGAAACGGATCAACAAATACTTGAGCAGCCAAAATAATTATGTCTTCTATAGGTTTGTCTTTGTTATCTACTTCTATCTTCTCCATTTTATTGAGGGTTTCGAGACCACCAACTATCTGACCAAACACAGTATGTTTACCATCTAAATGGCGACACGACCTGTAGGTAATAAAAAATTGTGATTTATTAGTATTGGGACCGGAATTGGCCATTGACAAGACTCCCCGGCCTGCATGTTTTAAATGGGGTTTTATATCATCTTCGAAAGGTTTTCCCCAAAAGGATTCACCACCTGTGCCTGTACCTGTAGGGTCTCCTCCTTGGATCATAAAATGACGTATTGACCGATGAAAAATTGTGTTATTATAGTATCCTTTATGACAAAGTTGTATGAAATTTTCACAAGTTTTTGGAACAATATTACAATGAAGTTCTACATTTAATGGTCCCAAATTAGTAATCAGCCGTACATAGCCCTTTTTATTAACCCTTTCATAACGAACATCATCTTCTTTCAAAATGGCAGCTTGTATCTTTGTTTCCGGTACCATTGTAGTAGATGTTAATCCAGCTGCCACTTGTCCAGTTGAATAATGCGCAGCATTGATTTTATCCGCAACAGGTTTTTTTTCTTGCTCTAAAACTTGGGGTTTATATTCTCTTTTTAACTCAGACAAAATCTCTTGAGTTTCTTTATTAACATTCTTAATTGAACCCCTATCTCGACGAGACTTGTCAGTATCATTTTTCTTGAGAGCTTCTCTTGAAGCTTTAATGTGATGAAAGTTTTCCATGTTGAATTTCTCTAAATTATCAGGATCCTGAAGAATTAATAAATCTGAACGATTGAAAGGTACATCATTCACAAGATCTTTCCAACAATTAATCTTCATGTTAAGTTCTTCTACAGCTTGATAAGAAAAGACATTGCCAGTGGTCTGAACTACTACTACATGAGAATGCTGTGTAAAAGTTTTAAATAAAATTGGGCATTGCAGTTGGTTTTCGTTATCCCTGGAGAAATTCAATTTTATAAGAGATTTGGCATCTAAAGGTTTACCAGTAACTGGATTTATCTTGTTCTTTTTCAGATACTCTAAAATAGCTTCCAAATCAAAAATATTGCCTTCTTTATCACAATATGGATTTTCAAAAGGGCGTAATGAAATGCAGCAGTGGTCAAATGGTAATCTTCGAAATTTCTTAATTTTATCAGGCTTTTTACCTCCATATAATGTACCCCATTCTGAATAAGTCAAATACATTTTATCCTTCTGATGTTGTCGTTTCCCCATCTTGAAATATTTGAATTGACGACACAAATAGGAACTCTTTTAGCAAATACGATCCAGCCAACTATGAACAAAAACTTCACAATAAACAAGTGTTAATTTAACCTTTAATATAGGTTATAAACAACGATCTCAATGGATCTGATTCCAAAGAGGTTATAGTAGATGCGAAATTATGTTCGAACATAACAGGTTGGATCGATATGTATACGTTGCTAAGAGCATTTGATAAATAATTCCTATTACTCTTTTCATAAGTGTTTAAAATGTTTAATATCTTAACAATAACAGTTAACTCAGGAATTCTTATACATAAAAATTATCTATAACTTCGTATTATTTTTAGTTCGTAAAAAGAAATAAAATAAAAATCTATACAAATATTTGTTTATGTAACACAAAATGAGAATAATCCCAGATGAATAATTCTGTTGCATAATTCAAGAGTGTATACTTTGTAATGAATCCATCAAATTTGTGGATGATGTTCCGTTCAACAGAATCCAAGTTTATTCAAATTGTATACTTACGCACTCGGAGCCGTCAATGATCAGATCATGTAAATCCAAGAGCCCTTCTCGCATTTCATGACACAGCGGAGATTCCTCATTATTGACTTCTGTCTCACGTTTCCTAAAATCATAAATACTCTTATTATATGTATGGCAAATATCATATAATAATAATCAGTAGATAATCAGCCAATTATCAACGCAGAGCATGTTGTTTTTCTTACGTAAAACGTAACGATTCCTTTTAGCCCATACATCCAACGATTTCGTCCATAAATTTAAATGTACTGTATTTTACAGCATAGGGTAACTATCTACATTCAGTGATTTTTTCTTCGTCTTATTTATTTATCTATCATTTCGGACTCGCTGGGAATCCTGGACAATCGTTCTAGACATCTTAGCCTTCATTACGAAAATAAAGGAGGCTCTGATAGTTGATTCAACAAATATATTTGAAGCGTACGATGTGGATCAAGATCTCGAAATAGAAATATAAAAAAAAAGAGATTTGTACAAAATGCATCCGTACCACCAGGAAAACATTGAGAGGAATTTAGTGAGAGAGAACTTTTGGTTCGGAAGTAGAGGAGTAATTTACCTTACAGTTGTAATTTGTTTGTAATAAAAGCAGTTGCTATTTGTTTGGAAAACCTGGGTGTTGAAAGGAATCAGCGGAAGAGATATGGTGGAATATATTGTTTTTTACTCGCTGGGAATCCTGCACCATCAACTATATTAATTCTGGTCACTCTTTTGTGAGTTCTTAGGACAGACATGAGAAGGAAGAAAATTAGGAGGAAAAACAAACCAATTGATAAACTAATCATAACATTCGATATTTGGTATGATAGTCCTGAAGAACTTTATTGCTCTTGTGTCATTTTACTGAATATTATCGATAAGAATGACCAGTATGCTGTGCCATTTAGGAACTCAACCTCGTTGAGCAATCTTAAAATTTTATTGTACTTTTCTGGTTTCAACCATGGAAAACCTTCTTCATTGTCTGATTTTTGGAATAAAATATTCAAAACTAAAATATTCATAGTGTTTATAAAACATTTATTTACTTGTCTTCAAGTTCTTCTTGTTGATACCTCATAAGCACATCCCAGGCATATTTCATTTCCTTTGGATTTGTGCACAGCATATTTAGTTTGGCATCATCGATGTTCTGCGGCAATGGGATATCTGGACCATTTGAAGAAATTTGCAAACTTCTTTGACTTGGAATTTTTTTGCAAAGATTATAAGTTTCGTTGAGCTCAATTTTAAATTTGCCATAATTAGGTAATAATTCTTCGATCTTTTTTAATCTGGCTGGAAACCTTTTCCTCCTTGCTTTAAACTTTGCTTTCATTATCAGTTTATTTAAGAACCAAAATCTCTATGATTATGTTTTGAATCATATGTTACAACTTTTTAATTTTTATTGTGAGTATTTGTATTGAAAACTTTACGGTTTTCAAGAAAATTTCTTTGTTTAAAGAAAGTATAACAGCGATGATCCGTAAACCACCGATGTGGGAGAAGTCGTTATTTTCGTAGAACATTTTTTGTTTTAGCGTTGCCATTTACGGAACCAGTTAGGAAAGAAATAATTAGTCCACTCAAAGAAATAGAGAAGGAATAAATTGTTATTTTGCAGATAGAACTGAGCATGACTACAAAGTAAGCATGACCTTGTAGAAGTTGCGCTGATACTCCCGACGTCCATGATGACAAAGAGGGGAGACAATTGGTTTTGAAAATTATTCCCGAGCTTCCGAGTGGCCTTCAACTTCAAATAGGGAGCATTAATGACCTTGAAGGACTAGCGCCGATGCTCATGACATACTTGACGGCAAACACAGGAGACGATTGATCTTGAAAGACAATCCCCGAACTTCCAAACAGCCTTCAACTCAAAATAGGGAGCAGCAAAGACCTTGTTGAAGTAGTGAGGTTCCTCTTGACGTCCTTGAAGGGAGACGATTGACCTATTTTTTCTCTTTTTCTTTCCCCTTCCTTGTCTTTTTAGGCTATACGGGGGTTTTCCGGGCTAGAGTGTAAGGGTGCGGATTAATGGCAGAGTTAAACGACCCCCTTGGCACCGGGACGCAAACTCAGTAGTATATTATCTCATAAATTTTCTATCCGGGTTGCCAGGCAATGCAACGCGTGGTGCTGTGTACATGTTAGCCCGCTCGGCCATCTCCGCCCCCGGATACGATTGACCATGACATACTGTCTCCTATCTTCCCAAACTGCCTTCAACTCCAAATAAGGAGCAGCAATGACCTTGAAGGAGTAGCGGCGGTCCTTACGGAAGCCTTTAACTTGAAATATGGAACAGCAATTACCTTATAGGACTAGCGACCGTGAGGTTGTTGTACGGGAGCTTTAAATGTCCTTACGTCGACGGAGGAGCTTCGCGTTACTTTGTCCTAATATAAGATCTTCAAAAGTCCTTGAATAGACAGAGGTGCGGTCCATGGCTTTGTATTTCTAGTATGGGAGCTCCTCAAGTCCTTGAATTGAAATATGAATAATATATGTCCGTTAAAAAACAAAACGAAATAAAAAGAATTTGATTTAATTTCCTGAAAATTGACCACAGAAAACATTTGAATAAGATTTCTTTGATAAACTAAAGCGATGTAAATCGGCTTGTGGAAGATCAGGGTAAAAAATCCAACACACTCTAATATCGCCACTCAAAAACTTTCTTCCATAGCCCAACTTCGTCAGACAATAATTTCTGTTACAGGAAGTTGGGGAAAAGAAACTTGTGTGATGTGGGCAGCAGATGTTTTTAATTTTCACTTACTTTTCTTTTTTCTCTCTTTTTCGCCTTTCTGGCAACATGATTTCAAATAGTAATCTTACATACGAAATTGAATATCTTTAACTTCGTTAACAGTTGTACAAAATGAACGATTTTTATAAAGTTTTGTAGGGAATTTCACTACCCTAAAAAAAAAAAAAAAAAAAAAAAAAACAGGCTGAAAAGTGTTTCTACCATGGAAGATATACTTAGCTAATTAGGCCCCTAAACATTTTTCTTTTTTTTTTCTGAATTTTACCGGGAATTTGTTATATGTACTGAAATTGAAAGGACACTAATTAAAAAATTATAGGAAAGTTTAATCAAAATCGTTAGAGCTGTTTTTTCGCTACAGGCTACAGAGAAATGTTTGGCGCACATTGGGCAGTTCCTAGTGTGCAGAGAGCGCCCAATTTGTGTCACAGACATCCTAAAAACTCCTACAAAATAAAAAAAGAAGAAACAAAATTGGTCTTCTGGTTCTCTGGATAATCTTGACACAGACAGACAGACAGAAGGACCAATGGCTGAAAATGTGTTTTTCTGACTCAGAGGGCCATGAAAGGTATAGAGCCCTTGAAAACCGCACATCAGGAATTATTACAATACTTTCCTTGCCTAGTATAGGTAGGAAAGTAAAAAAAAAATAGAGTAAACTTAATTGTGGTTGTTAAAGAATCTAAGACAAAACTTATAATAATACTTCATAAAATAAATACAAATAATGATAATTTCTCAAATAAAACTGCTGCTTCTGCACAGTTATTAGTTATAAAAATTAAAATTCTAAAAATCATGATTATTATAAATTTTCTTCATTCCTAATATTTAAATATCACATTTAGAGTAAAATCAATCTTGAAATTGTGAAAAATTAGGATGGAAATTTCCTTTAATCTCTTCCTTAATATTGGGAATGCTAATGTTATAATTTTATCACCTTTAATAAAGAGAAATAAATCATTCCTTTCAGTATGACAATACTGTAAAATTTTATTTTACTCCATAAATTAAAAGGATCATAGAAAATATAAGAGATTATTTTATTTTAACTTTTCGATACATCAAACATTAATATAGATCAACAAACTACGAAATGTATTTAACTGTAGTCATTTCATGAAATGTTTCAATGACAATGTACCTAATACCTACCACGTTTGGAATAGATCAGTTCTAATATTTACCATAATACATTTTTTTTTTCAAGTTGTGTATATTATTTACACATATTATTTTGCAGTCATTTATTTATATTAGGCCAAGATAATTATATTTTTTACTCACATATCCATTTTTATTCTCAACTGGAATGAATTAAAAGCAGCAGGTCAAGAACTGAGAATAACAATCAGGTTCTATGGCAACTGATCAACAAGAAGTCCTGAAGGTTCCAAACACAAATAGATCTGTACTGTTTGATAATATTTCGATGTTTGAGTTTTTAATATATCTATGTTTGTTTAGATTACATTTTTAATTGGTGATTGGTTAATTTGAATTATGTTCTAAATTATTGTTTCCTATTCTAATTATTGATTAAATAAAAAAAAGAAAAGAGTATTGTAACTTTTGTAGGGTCTTAGGATCTAAGCAATTGCTTAAAAAGTAATATTTGATAAAGCATGGGTAAATATGGTAACATCAAGTAAAAGAGAGTAATATGGGATACTTCACTTTCTTCTATGGGAAGTTTTTTAAATTTTTTTATTATGATATAATATTATCAATATTACATCATTGATAATATTATAAAGCTACAACTTTTATTTCTAGCTGTAGAGATGGATCTTTGGAGGAAATCAGCTTGAGTCTCAAAGATGCGAAGAATCAGAAACGAGACCATTAGAGAAAGGACGGAAGTTAAGAATAATATACTAGAAATAGTGTAAAAAAGAAGATTACAGAGGTAAGGGTATATGAAAAGGATGAACGACTTCCCAAAACGGCATTTGAGTGAGAGGCCGAGGGTAGAAGGAGAGGAAGGCCTCGTGTCAGGTGGAGGTATGTTGTGGCTGAGAGTATGGCGGTCTGAGGGCTGACGGAGGAGGAAGCGATGGACTGGGAAAAGTGGAAGAACCAACTGAGGGAGGAGTTTGGCTGAGAGAGGCCTTCAATTTATGAAGAAAAACATCCTTTATTAAAAAAATATATTAACAATAAATATTTAGTACGTCTTTATTATTTTAAATATTACCTATTGGTCTGACAGATGTGTTATATGAATCAGCAACTCAACAAGAACTGATCAGCCACTCAAAATATTATTTTAGTTCCTCTACCACCATAGTTACTTATGTTTTTTATGATCTCATTCGAAATAATAACTTAAGATTATTAAAGAAACACATTAGTTTTTAGATTTACTGTCAATAATTTTATTCGAACAATATGAGCATTTGTTTAATGTATTTTTTATAGATCACTAATAAAGAATTTATCAATAAATAACATTACCCTCAAAATGACAAAATTATTACTCAATACATCATTCGGAACAAAAGGAGGAATTATATGATTTGCAATAAATCAACCAAGTTTTCCTTAATATAATACAACTGATTAGTTTTATGCTTCCCATGTTTAAGTTAACTTAACTAAAGTAGGTATAATCAATCAAAGAATTTGTATGAAAACTTTTATTTGTACTTACTTCAAACTGGATGGCATTTAGCAGAAGAGAACAAATAAACAAAATATGCAAAAATGTGCGAGAGGTGTTTTTGAGAAATATTAATGCTTCCTGCTCTTAAAATAAAAAATATATCTCTTTATTTAAGCATATTCAATAGAAAATGAAAAAAAAAAAAAAACAAACAAATTGGAAATAAAAACTTGAAAAAAAGGATTGGAAATAAATTAAAAGACAGGTTATCGAAACATTTTTAATAGTACTAAAACATACTTTGAAAGGTTTCATAAAAATATTAAAATGTTTAAAAATAATTAGAAACAATAGATAATAAGAACGTGTTTATTTATAAAAAAAAACATGTAATTTTAAAAGGAACTGTTTACTACTTAAAAATATAAAGTATAATAAAATAAAGATAAACATAATCAAATTTTTAATTGGTGGCAGGAGTATATTTAATAAGCCACTGTTCAATAATTAAAATATATCAAAAATTATAGAAATCTGATAAATTTTATAAAATGGGTAACAAAAACCTATTCATATTGAAATTGAATAATTGCAGATTACACAAAACAAACATCTATAAAACAAATTAAAATATAGGAACAATAATACAAAATATTTATTTCTTATGAGATTTACGATTTACCATATGGCCATGATGATTCTTATAATAATCATAGGATTATTTTCAGTTATTCTTTCCTTATAAAAAATATAACATATAGCATTCCATAGGAATGATTTAATTTGAGATCACAATAAATGGTAAGTAGTACAAATATAAATGTATACAATAGAAATAAAAATATACACTTTAATTACAAAAGAAAATAACAAATAAAAAAATATATATATATTTTTCTTTTATAGTAGAAAATAACATTTTGAGTTATATACACATGTATATGTAAATAAGGTTTTATACATAAATTTACAAATAAAACAGTTTGTCTGACAGGGATTCTGATGCTTCTTTGTGAATATTTTCACCGATTAGATAAGCAAGTCTGTGAGCATACTGAAATAAAAAAAAGAAAGATATTAAATAGATGCTATAGTAGATCATGTTAAATTATTTAAACTTACAATGTAATAACAATTATTAAAAAAAATGGTTTTGGTTGAATTAGCTTGAGAAATCAAGCGATAATGGACAAAGGCACTTGCTTTTTGTAGCTAACATTATCCATAATGTATTGGACATATGTTTATTTGTACCTATAGATATAGTTTTGGAAAATTAACTTAATTCTTTACACATATTTTTATATTAAGTATATATCACTACTGTTAGTGCAAAAGGTAGTATGTAAATATTTTTAACTTTTATTCTATTTGTGCTAAAGGTGACATTTTGTAGTCTGCAACTGATATAAGCAGTCTGCTGCGATGCAAAATAGCAGAGAGCAATAAATTACGAAATTATTCTAATAAATCATAAAGAAACAATTAGTTCTTGTGCCCTTCTGCAATATATTCAATTTTTACATGGTCTTTTGCACTAACAGTAGTGATATTAATGTTCAGTATGCACTGAAATTGTTTTAAAATTACGAATCATCAAATATGCAATCTGCAAATGCAAACTCTTTCACATTTTAGTACCTAATGTACAAAACTCGTGAATATCAAACCCGTTTATGTTGAGGGATTACTACATTTCAGAAACGGCTTCTCCTAGAGAATTTATTCTCATACAAAAAATGTTTTATTTTTTATTTTTTTATTAACGAAATTTACAACTGTAATTAATAATAATACAACAAGTAAATATGAACAAGTAATATGACATGTACATACAACATGAGGAGAAACTACCCATTGGTAGCACTCCAATTATATTTCTATATTAGAAGGCCCCGAGGCCATCTTCTTTTTAGAAGCCTCGGAGGGTTATCAGGAATAGAAGAGGAAGCAAGGTTGGAAACGAGAGGGTTCGGATGGTTCAGAAGTATATTATGAAAGGAGAGGTATCTGGATTGAGCTAAATTGGAAACATATGGTACATTAAGGTCATTATGGATGATTTTATTTGTTAAAAAGTAGGGAGCATTAAGGATTTTACGAAGGATTACAAAAAAAAATAAAAAATAAAAAAATGTTAACCCTAGCAATATAGATATTTTTTAGCCAATGAAAACGGTGAGGAAGCTATACTGACCTTACTTGGTTTTTTTTTATATGAGCCTTTCAGTTGACAGAATGACAACATTTTTGATTATTAATTTTAGTGATATTTCTAGTAGGAAAATTTATAATATCTGAATAGACAGTGAGTAAGTTGATGCAAGAGTAGATGATTGTAGTGTTGAAATACAGAACTGTGAATAAAGCTATAAATTTTCCCTACAAGAAATATAACTAAAATTAATAAAAAAAAATTGAAATTGAAGTTAGTCATTCTGTCAACTGAAAGGCTCATAACAAAAAAAAACAACTGTGAAACTATAAAACTTGACAATTTTATTTATTTCATTCCTTACTTTCTTATAATACATTGAAACAGTTTAAAGCAAAATAACATCCGTAAAAGTCTGCATTGGCGACCATCCTCAGTAAAGAATGTATTACACAATATTAAGCACCTTTGATGTTTTTGTACAGATGAATTAATGAAACTTCGAAAATAAAAAATGTGAAACATTCTATAGTTGAATACAGCAAGAGTTAAAATTTAAAAATTACCTGACATGGGGCGGGGACTCTGATCGTTCCAGGCCAGTTATAATACAGATGAGTCAACATATACGTGAACCTCTGAATTTGATCAGGAGACATACTTGTCGTATTCCTTACAACGATGTAGTGTGTCGGAGAAACAGTTCCCTATAACGAAACAAAACAAGCAATTATTAAATAAAACATATTATGACTCGAACAGTAAACAATTTATCTTATACATTAAGTCTAAAGGAACGTTTTTTTTTTTTTTTTTTTTTTTGTAACTAACATCCAATAAATAAAAATAAATAGTTTGGTTTAATGATAATGTCGCTGTTAGTTGTTAGGTAATTGTGTTTCCTATAGTTTTTTAAACTTCTAAACGCACCTTAACATTGAAAACAAATATACTTTTATTAACTTATATTTGCCATAATTCAAATGAGAAACAAAGAAGTCAGGCTCTTAAAACGCAGTAGTCATTGAATAAATAAGAAGATATGTATAATTCAGATAATTTAGTTTCACTCACCAAATTAATTGGATGATTGGATTATGCATAGATATTTTAAAAACCAATACATAGTATAAATATAAAACAAATCCCACCAAAAATTCATAAAAATTATTACCTACTTATGTACATAAATATCTAACTATAAAATTGTAATATTATGGTTTATTTGAATTTTTAATTGAGGTTCCATGAAAAATATTCTTTTTCTCTACATATCTATTTGGCTGTCCAGATATTGAAGAGTCTATTGTATTATCAAGAGACTGATATTCAAAATTTTTACCAAGATTTTAAATTTAATATAAATCGTTAATGGTTACCTGATTAACATGCTGAGATACCAAGAAGAAATCATGGAGGTAACGACGGGTAATAGTGTGATCCATAATAGTTCCTGGCAATGGATTGGAGAAGCTCCTGTCACCACGTTCCTTAAAATAAAAAAAAATAAGATTTAATAAATTAATAGATTAAAATAAAATGTAATATTAGTATAAAACTAAATAAATTATAATATTCAGTAAAAGAACACAAAAATAATTAAGTTCATTCCGGAATTTAAATACAGAATTTATGATTCATTCATTAATTGCTCCCTTTTTCTCTTGTTTTCTACCTTCTCTGATCTGTCCTAAGAACTCATAAAACAATGGCCAAAGTTAATGTAGGTGATATCCAGTGCCGTTCTGCCACTGCTGCTGTTAAAGAAAGAAGCTGAGCCTGTCTTAATGCTCAAGGAAAATCACTCACTTTGAACAACATTTAATATGAATTTAATGTTTACGTTTACTTAATAAAATAGTTAGAACAAATAAATATTTTTTATTTATTTCATATAATGTAAATAATTCATAACAATGAAAATCTTTAGGTGTGAATATCTCCTAAACAAAGCGTTTGCGAACATACCTTCAGAGGAAATTTTTTTCTTGTTTTGAGATCCTTGGTTCATTTTTGCAGCTGGGCACTTAACCCTGAATAACGAAGTTTCAATCCAAAATATGGATTGTTTGAATTGTTCATGCAATAGGCTTGATTTCAACATCTTTGACGAATTGCAAAATATGTAAAAATCAATATTACTGCATGAACAAATTGCCCAACTTAAATTGTGAGTTGGATCTTTATTGCATAAATACAGTACAGAAAAATTTTAGTGCAAGAAAAAACTGCACAGCTTCTTATTCAGTCCATTACTCTATATTGCTTTGCTATTCATTACAATATGCTACTTTGCTATATGTATCTCAATTTTGGCTATCCCCTTCTACTATAGGAGGAGACCTACCTATTTACCTTCTACAAGGTCATCATCATAGTCTTTGGAAGATTTGGTGATAATAAAATAAACCAATTTTCAATACATTTAAATAATAACCTATACTAATAGGTAAGATTAGGCTGTATAAGATGCTTGTTAGACCTGTAACAATGGATGTGAGATGTGGACATTTAACAATACTGTTGCTGAAAAAATTGAAAGAAGAAAAGAACTTAGATGGATCTTCGGATCAGTTCAAGAGTCAGGAAGATGGAGAATAAAGACAACCAAGGAAGTATACCAGCTTTATCAGAAACTAGCAGCTTCCATGTTCATAAAAGGTCAGCGTCTTAATTGTTCATAGGATCCATGTCCATAGGAAGAAACAAGAGCCACCAAAAGACTATATATCTATGATCCAGATGGAGTGCCATTGAGAATAACTAACTCCATGACACTACAGACCGGTGTGGTCCTTGGTCTTTACTGTCCCCCTCGCCAGTTGCGGGTATGCAGTACTTCTCTGGCGTCCCGGATGACAGCGTCCTCCTATCTTAGAAGTGGTCTGCCTTTCCCTCTTTTCCTTCAGAGCCATTGAGACGAAGAACAAAAACTAGATGGTTGGACAATGTAAGTAGTGAATACTCTGGAAATAGTATAACTATTGCAGAAGATAGATTACAGTGGGAAGGGCTAGTTGAGCAGACTAAGGACATCTATATGCGTCTATTGTGCCAATAGAAGAATAGTAATTGGTTTTTAAAAACATTAATATATAACCAATATAAAAAATCAATTCATCACATCGGAGAAGCGATATAATAGAAGGATACACACAATGTTTTTATTGGTGTGCTACTATACACATAAAAAACTATTAATTTTGAGAATGTAACTCAAAATATAACGTATTTAGAAACCCTTCAAATTTATTTTTCTCTTTATTTCTGAAAAACCAAACAGCGCTCACAGAAAAAAAAAAAAAAAATTGTTAACGTTTGGCAAAAATACTTACAACACCGAAGAGCCTTGTATTTATCCTCTTCTGCACGACAACAAAGAGAACCTTCGGTGTGTAATCGGGAGAAATTCTCCTACATGCATTCATTATCTGAGGCAGCTCGTATTCTTCACAAAGACGCAATTGGCCATCGGATACTCCATCCCTAAATATTGTGATTTGCTCAGGATAATTTCCGTTAACCTAAAAACAGTCATAATATGAATGAAATAACAACAATAAAAAATCTATATGATGGTATTTTTTAAAAGTGCATAAATAAAGAAAGAAATCAGCTAGCTAACACCACAGGTAATATAATGGAACTGTTATCAGCATAACTATCCTCTTAATGACAGTTATTTTAAAAGGGTTTGAAAATGAATATATTATTAGTTAAGTAATTTAATAGCAAGCAAATGAAAAGCATTTATAAGTATAATATAGAAAATATAAGAAAAAGATAGTGTGATAATGAATTAAGTAAGTAATTCAAATATACTTCATGATAGAAATTTTAATTACGAAACGATAATTATATATTTATATTATATATCATAATAGAAAACAACAAAAATTACAATTTACCAGCAAATGTTTAATATTAATAAAACTGTGATAAGATACTGAAGATGAAGAAAAATTATTCAAAATGTGATTGGATTTTTATAAATTGGAACATAAATAAATTATTCCAATAATGAATAATTATCGAGGTAGACTGTTCAAATTAATTATAAATATGGCTGATTTATTTCAATAAACACTTCACATATTATTGACCTCGTGAAACTGCATAATTATAAAATCCAACTTAAAATAAAAAATATGGTGCGCGCAACACACAAATTTTACTTACCGCTCTACTTTGAATAGAAATTATTTTCTGGCAATGCTGGGCTATTATAAAATTTTTTGAAGGGCATTTTAAACGGAGCTAAAGCTTAAGCTTACAGATAACAAGTCATTAAGACCATTATAATTACAAAATGTCTATTTAATATATCGACGACAGGCAATAAAAATCTAGTCACTCCATCTGCTTTTATAAACCACAGAATGACTAACTCCAATTTCAAAATTTTTGAGTAATGTCGTTTTAGTGATATTTTTAGTTGAAAAAAATTATCTATGGAGACAGTGAGTAAGTTGATTCCGGAGATGGTGATAGCAATGTTGAAATATAGAAATGTGAATAAACGTATAAATTTAGGTACTTATTTCTTATGGAAGATGTTCTTAGGGAAGATACTTTATTAAATATCTGTAGAAAAAAAGGTTTTTTTAGTCTCAAGTATATTTAAAAAAAAAAGTATATTTTAAATTTATCCAAATTTTCGCCTCTTCAGAGAAAAAAACAAGAGACCATATCTTTCCTCCTAATTGTTCTATTTTAACGAATTTTTTTGTTCGGAATTTAATTTTGCCATCCCACGTAACTTTGTTTCCAGCTTCTTTTCGTTGAAATATGTTATATAGATAAATTTAAAGGGTGTCGAGAAAATGACTTTAGCGAAGTTTCATTGAAATTGGTACATTTGTTTAGGGGCTACAGTCTATAGCAACGCAGGTTTTTCTGCATTTTTTTTTTTTCCTTTATTAACTTATCAAATTCTTTCAAAAGTTATATGTAGCATTTTTTCATAACTCTGAATAATGCAAAATGATTAACTTTTTAAAATAAACCATATTAAAGATACTTTAGAGGAAGACAGACGCTTCCGTTGAAAACTGAGATTCGATAATTTTCACGATCGCAATACTTACCCTTACTATATATTACATGTATACGTAAGTGAAAGTAAAAAGCCTAAATCAACAAACGTTTTGTACATATGTGCAGTTTTCAGACTGAGAGACAGCATACACGATATAATAATGAATCTTAAACTCAATAATAAAAACCATACCTCTCTATACTTCTGCAAGGAGGAAATCATACTGACTTGCAGACCCTCTACAAATTCTAGACCTGCAGCCTGACTGTAAATTTTTGAATACCATCGCGTCAGTGGCTGGTTCAACGAGCAGACTAGAGCTCCGACGCTGTTTGCTCTCTTTTTGGGGTCGTGATAGGTGTCCAGTCCGCAGACCATTGTATATTGCTAAAAAAAATATATAGGTATAAATATCGTTGAATCAATATGTTATAATTAAAAACAGAAACTCAATAGAAAATTAAATATAAGAAATTATGAAAGTTAGAATTAATGTTCATATATGAGGAGTTGGTCAAATGAATACTATATATTAAAATAGTATTCATTTGACCACACCCCACGACCAACTCCTCATATTATCATCACTGTAAACCATCTCTACATTAATATTGATATGTATGTATATAACCCTATAGATCAGATGTTCCCAAGCTTTTTGTTATAATGTATCCTACAATGAAGAATCCTCCATATTGAGGTATGTCCTTCTCTTGCCTCCTTCATAACAATTATTTCTGTTGCACTTTATATAATCAAATTCATTCATTTTAAATTTTCTCAGAAATGGCTTCAAAAATTTTGATTAAATTTGTTATATCAAGAAAGTATTATCTTCTTCCAAAATTAAATATTTCGGCAGTCTAAAGTACCTTTAATTTTGTTTATATGAAATTATTAACTATTAAACATTGTTACTTATGATGATGATTAAAATGTTTTAACATAAAATATGAAAGTATTTGCTAATTAATTAAAAGAAAAAAAAAAAAAGGTTGGTCACATGAAAGCGAGAACTAGCTAAGGACACTCAAAAGACAGCAGCACTTTTGTAGGATTAAAATAAATTACAAAAATATGAATAAAACTTAAAAAAATAAGAAATGCAATGTTAAATCTGTATGTTTTACTATCGCTTCTATTTTTATGAAAATAACTATTTCTATTCAAGTGAAAGTTGTGTGATTCGCACATCGCACCAGATTTTTTATAATACTTTTCTTCCTTTTTGAGAAATATAATGAAAACTGTCGATAACTATTATTTATACAATGAAATGTATAAGCTGTTTTTGGCAATAATAACTTCCAATTAAACAACAATTGATTTATTTGTTGTATTTCCAAGTTTACATGTTAACGTTTCGGGATATTTACTCTCATCTTTAGAACTACAATCTCAATGTTTCTTTGTTGATTCGTGGCTTAAGTCTAATGTGCTCCATTGCCAGGTTCTAAATTAATGTTATAACAAATTAAAGTATATAACATCCAGAGCATCATCATGCCTTTAGGCACCCAATAATTGGTGTAAAGGCATGATGATGCTCTGGATATTACATACTTTAATGTAATAGGACTTAAGCCATGAATCAACAAAGAAACATTGAGATTGTAGTTCTGAAGATGGGAGTAAATATCCCGAAACGTTAACATTTTAACTTGGAAATAAAACAAATAAATCAATTGTTGTTTAATTGGAAATTATTATTGCCAAAAACAGTGAATAACATACAACTTCCCAGCAAAAAGAAAAAAATGTATATAATAGGATAGTGATTTTGTTATCTATATCAAACATGTTGAGTCTAAAATATCCTTTCATCCCGACAAGAGATCTTAAATTGTTCTTTCTAAATATAACAAAACAAAAATTAAAAACTAGCCAGCCACATGCCAATTACGAAACTGTCCCACAATGTGGCACGGAAGCCTTTGAACAACTGATAAGATTATAATACTATAATTATAAACTAGACCTTAAAAGCGACCTTTTTGAATGTTTCCAACTTACCAAAGGTACTTTGACTGCCCATAATGTACCACCAAGTTTACAATTCATCTGTAGAGCAACTTTCAAAGTAATAGCTTTGGAAGTTCCTGCTCTTCTGACCGTCCTTGACAGAATTACCTAAAAAAACAAAAAAATTAAAATTGATGTTCTGTTCAAATGATCAACATCTACAACAAAATAAATGAAAATACAAATAAATAATAATAAGGCTTAGCGAACCCGAAGGTTCGATGCCGACACCACCAATCACTTATTACACACCTCCCTCCACTGTTCACCGTCCAAACCTGGTCCCTTCAGATCGGCATTAAAGTAATCTTCCCACCTTCGCTTCGGTCTACCACTCTGACATTTACTATTCGGTACAGCAAATATTAACCTTTTAGGAATTCTCTCGTTACTAAGCCCAACAACTTTACATGCCCATTTGATTTGCTGCGATGAAATCACCTCAATTATATTACCCGGATACAGTTCACACAATTCGGTGTTGTGTAACTGTCGGAACTCTCCGTTTAATTCATCTTTCTTAGGTCCGAATATTCTACGCAATACTTTATTTTCAAAAACCTTAAGACATTGCTCATCCCTTAATGTAAGCGGCCAAATTTCGCATCCATAAAAACCTGTAGGTAAGATAATGGTTTTATAGATTCTAATTTTTCAGTTCCGGGGCAAGAGGCGCTAGCTAGGTAGTTTTGTCCCAGAAAAATAACAAGCATTTCCCGCCTTCGGTCTAACCTTAATCTCTTCTTCAATTTCCTTTTTTCTAGTTATCGTAGAACCTAGATACCTAAATTTCTCTACCTGTTCAAACAAATTACAATCTATATCGATATCACCATTTTTGCAGCTAACCATATATTTTGTTTTAACCATGTTTATTTCGAGCCCTTGTTCTTTACTGGCATCCATTAACGAAAAATACAAATAGACAAAATAAATATATTAATTTCTCTAAATAATTTTACACACCTGAGAAGGAACAGGTTCTTCAATGCAACATAGCTTTTTAACAGCACTGTACTTGTCAGTTCTGGCCAATGGAAATATAATAACGACAATCTGTATGTTTTCCTTAATCGTCGACCTTAAAGTTCTGATGTAATTGTCGGTCCTATCGTCTGGGATGGGAATGATTTTTGGCTTCATGATTTTAATACCCATCTGAGGTCCTACTTTCATCATCTGTTCAACAAATGACGTTACCATATCCATGTCTCTTCTGGTACAGACCACCGACCATGAGGAAAAATTAACCTAAAAGAAGAAAATGACAAAAACTATTTATCATGGAAAATAGAAAAATCAACATATTTAAAGGAGATTCAACATAAGTTTGTACATATTTAGTCAACAAAATAAAAAAAAAAACAGAAGAGAAAGTGTTTTTATACTGTAATTATTTCAACACATAAATAAGAAATTTGGTGTAAATTGTCATTTTCCCTACAGATTTTTTTTTTTTACTATTCAGAATTTATCATATTTCATGTCGAGATTTGTACTCAAGTGAACTTATTTCGTTTAATCAGTTAAAATGTCAAAAAAATCAATCTTCAAGTGTCTAGTAATAAAGTACATTAACAAATTTCTCAATAAAACTTTATATATACAGATGTTTCATTTTTCTATAATTGTTATATTAGGAGACTTCTGAAACAAATTAAATTTTCCAATATACATATGTATATATTAATTTTTTATGAATTAATGTAAATATGGGGAAAATATCTGGTATAGTTTGGCTCATTCAGTTAGAAAAAAAAGTAATATTTATTGTCTAATTTTTAGAAATATTTAGAGTCTCACAAAAGTATGGTACAAATCTGTATTTAAATTAGACTTAATGTTATCTAAAGGCACAGAGGTTCTTTATTTTCCTTTTTTTTAAATATGTTGTATTTACCGATATTGTTGTCTTGATACCATATTTTTCTATAATTGTAGAATAGTCTAATTTATAATTGTCTAATTTAAATACAGATTTAAACTATGCTTTTGTGAGAGACTCTTTCTAAAAATTTAACAATAAATAATATTAATTTTTTTTCTAACCGAATGAGCCAAACTATACCAGATATTTTTCCCATATTTACATTAATTCGTCAAAAATTAATAAATACATATGCATATTGGAAATTTTAATTTGTTTCAGGAATCTGCTAATTTAAGAGATAGGTAACTTCTATATTTTTAAGGGATGCATAGTACGTTGATATGACTGTTTTGAGATGATAAATGAAACGTTTTGTCTAGTAAAGAATAAAAACAATTGGTAATACCGACACCAAAAATGGTTAAATATGCCATTAGCTCTAATTTATAAGTAAATGCCAATTATTACACAAGAAACAGCTGAAGCAGAAATAGCTTGTACAAGGCTGCTGAAAAAAACCCTCTACATACACCTAAATTCTTCTGCCTTGATCGTCTTGAGCTTTTTCGGCCATGCGACGTCTAGCAGCCCAGTAAATTCTTATGAACCAATAGCTTTTCTAATTTTAAAGTAACATGGAGAATGAATCTCTGATTGGCTTTAGACTAAACAACAGATATAATAATATATGATGTAAACAGATATTTAATTGTGTTATATATAAGTGTATGTGTAAAAAATAGTAATTATTTAGATAGTGAAAATACTGTTGATAAATTTAATATAATTATGAAGTCTTTTTAATGACAACACTTTAATTAGTTTTATGATGATAGATGAGCAAATAATGATATACAATGTTCACATATATCAGATAAATACTCACAACTGAAATGGCTCTGTTTTTATTGGAAGCACCAGACCAGTTTGCCTCTCGGCTACCAGGAACTGTAACTCCGCCACCAAATATTATGTCGACGGGGGGTATATTGCGACCCTGAAGAACCATATAAGCATCGTCCAGCGAGATACCCCAGACAGAGAGAACTTTGGTTGCTTCGGGAGAAGCTAATAAGAAACGAATTAACGATTAAAATAAAATAATAATAATAATAAAATCACAATTATTTTAATAAAACTTATATTTTACCTTTAATATTATTGATGAATTGGTTTATGGCATAATGCCTTTGGTTAGGTGAAATACTGATGCACTGCGTTATATCTTTCATAACCCTGGCATCAGCCCTCATATTATCTGTTATTCCCGTCAGGAAACAGAGCTCAGGGATCAGAGAAACTAATTGTCTTTCTTCCTGTTAAAAAGAAAATAAATAAAAAAATATTATTTTAAAATCAAAATGAAACCAATTTTTAAACTAAGTAAATAAAAAACTAGATGAATTAATAAATCAAGAAGAAAAAAATAAAATAATTGCTAAATATTCATTCAATGCTTCAACGCATATTGTAGGCCTCCATTAAGATTCAGTTATCACTAGGTTAGTGTATGGTTTATCAGATTACTTTACTCCCAGGAGTGCCCTGAAGTAGTGATAGGCAAAACTGTTTGTCATGAGTAGCAGTTTCTGCTACTTTAAAAAAAAGAAAAAAAAAAAAGATACAACTGTTACAAAAAATAAAAACCTTGTCTTCTGTTACCTTTATAACATTTAAAAAAAAAAAAAGTATCAATGTAATTTTTATCTCTAAAGTGATTATCGATTCAATTGTTACATTTTAATTAGACCTGCATAAATATCAACTGTGAGACTAAAAAAAAAAATGTATTTATAATTGCTGATTATAAGTCAAACTAACATTAAAATTTGAATTCTGAATCGTAACGTATCTTAAAGGCAATAAATAAATTTAATAATGAAGATAATGAGCAGTAGTAACTAAATAGGAAAATGAGTAGCTAAAACTGTTCATTGAAACAGCTATCAAAACAGTTTAAAGTGCAGTAGAGCTACTACAGAGAGCTCAGTATCTGTTTCATAATATATGCTTCTTGCAGTAATAGCAATATTTTTGTCATCTATTGGTGTCGTAATGCGCTGAAATAAACTAACAGGTCTCTTATTGGCATTTCCAGTTTCTCTGAGTCTGACTAAAGTCTGGGGGATGCCAACTGCATCGGGAATATTCACTTAAACATAAGTAAAGTGGAAAAGAACTGTTGGTTTACACAATGAGTATTCTTCATGTTGACTATCCTTCAGTTAATAATTTATTAAAAATAAAGAATAGTTATGATTTACTTTTTATGTTAAACAACTAATAACAGAACCCATCATAAATATCTCTATTCATTTTTGAGCTATATATATATATATTTTTTTTTTGGTTGGCACTAGAGACCATGAAGATCTTTGACCGCGAGTATGATCTCCTAGACCACATCCCGATTCCTGATTTAAAGTACGGGGTAGGATCATCAATCCCACGCCCGGTCAGTGTGAGTTGCCTCCCATAGGTTGACGGGCCTCACACACCAAGGGGGGGGAAGGGGTGAGGAGAAATCTCGGGCAGTATGGCTTTCCTTGGCGGATGGTCACCCATCCAAGTGCTAGCCACGCTCAGCTTGCTTAACTTTGATTACCTATTGCAAGTGCCTTAGCCCGCAAGGCTACCCCAGCTCCCTTATATATATTTATTCCAACAATAGTTTCACCTTCTCCATATCTTCCTCTTTGGTCAGAGTGTAGACCTACAATAAGGTTGAGATATGAGCATTGAATAAATAATTCAGAATTATTTGATCTGATTATTGATATCTGACCGACTCTTGGGCCACCTCCCTTCTTAAATGAATAAGAGTACAACTTTTGAGAGTAAAAAACTCTTAACAATTTGAGACAAATAGCTTTATAATTGCTTAGTAATTTATAAAAAATACATTAACATACTCTTCCTTTAATCCGTGTTTTAACTCTGCTTTTGAGGAGTGGTTGATTGGAATCAGTAATTTTTACATTATACTGAAGTCTGTAATAGTCGACATATTTAATCTGAAAATAATAAAATATAAATTTTAATAGTAGAAAAAATAGCAATAATTATATGCGTATTTTTTTAAAATCTGTTTTAGATTTAATAAAGACCACAACCTTAATTATAATAATAATATATAATAACTCAAAGTACAGATTATTGAAGGAAGCTAGTCGACTGTTCTACATATCATGGATGATAAATAGTCAGAACGCAGTCATTAAATTTTTTTTTTTATTTGTGCCAACCAATCCAAACATGTGGTTCATCATCAGCGCTGAAAATTTTAAAATACAATCAGAGATATAATATTATACGACCAACAATGGTAAATAATAAACGATAGTGATTGATGGTACATGAATCTTAACTATTATTTCATTATTCTTTACATATTTTATTTTTAATATTGTATATCGTAATAATAGTTAAGATTCATGTACCATCAATCACTATCATTTATTATTTACCATTATCGGTCGTATAATATTATATCTCTGATTGTATTTTAAAATTTTCAGCACTGATGATGAACCACGTGTTTGGGTTGAAACGTTGGCACAAATAAAAATTTTTTTTATACTGACTGCGCCCTGACTATTTATCACCCACAACAAAATACAGATTATAAATAAACATATACTTACTTTTTCACCATTATGTTTTTCGAAACAGTCATTTGGAGATTCATCAAAAGCCACATCATCAATTCTGTAAACCTTGTTGTTATACTTTGTAAGTACAGACTGACCTAGTATCAATTGCACAAATTCGTCTTTCCAGTGTTTATGATTGGAATTTTGAAGATCATCCCTGCAATGTAAATATATTTTTATTTCTCAAGCCACTATTTTCTATGCAGAATATACATATCTTAGTAAGATCACATTTATGATCTTATGTGTATAATCCAATATCACTGATTAAAGTTTAAAAAATTAAATAAAAAAATAATATCTAGAATTTCAGCTGCTTTTTTTGGGGGAGTTATATAATTTTTATTTTGTTATCTTGTTTGATAGTAATCACCAATGTTTAAACATTCAAATCATGAGAGAAAAAAAATTATATTAATATCAAAGAGCAAAAACCCAACTAGAATGACATTAACTAATTGATACGATATAATCAAAAAACCTGCAAAGTCAGGTCGAAACATTGGCTAGTAATAAAATAGTTTTTTTATTAGCACCTCCTTAATCAATAATATACCACTGTCAACCATCAAGTATTCAAATATGTAAATGATTATTTTCACTATGCTAGAATTTTTGTTTCTTGTCTTTGATATTTTCCATCTGCTGTCAGTATCAAGAGAGAGAGAGAGAGAGAGAGAGAGAGAGAGAGAGAGAGAAAAATAGATTGGGTTAGCAATAATATCGCTGTTAATAAAGTTAGATAATTGGATTTTATCATAGTTAGTGAAATGTGTAAAAGCACCTTCATATTTCTGTGCATTCAACAGCTATATGAATACTAAAATTGAACAAACTAAAAATACTTACATTAATTGAAGTACAGTCTGATTTCTCAGAACTCTGTGCGAAGCATCACAGCACAACATTATGCCTCCTTCATATTCATCAATGGCAGTGATATAGCCTGGCCATACCTCCAGCCTAAAAAAAAAAGTGACGATCAGCGGGTTATATTAAAACACTTCATCTAATTAATTTATTTTAATTAATTAAAATACTTCTATCTATCTATGTTAGCACCAAATGTAAAACATTTGAAAGCATTAAACCGTTAAAGAAACTGCAACTTCACCATAACTATACTAGCAGCCAAAATAAATTTAGATTAGTAAAGATGAAAAATATTGAATAATTTAATTTTCTTAAATTTCAGTATAGAGATAGAGTTAAATTAAAGGATAGGTTAGTTAACAATATCAGAGGACTTTGATTACACAATTACAGATATAACTGTCACTATGAAACAAAAATTAAAAAAAAAAAATTAATAATCTAAATATAATTATTATTAATGACATGATGAATTTACAAAAAAAAGAGGAATTTCATGAAAAATATTTTTTAAATTCAAAACTCGAGGAAGAGAACAAAGCTTATATTAACAGAAAATTTATTATTAGACCAACTGCAATATAATTTTCATGATATTTTAGTTTAAAAATAATAATAAAATAATTGGAATAAATGAAATTAGCTTTTTATATTGGAATCATAAAAAGTACTGTCAGTCATGTCGCAAAAAAAAATTTATTGAATTTTCTTTTGAACAAGAATTGAAAAAGCAACAACTCAGAATTTAATTTTACCATTTATTGGAGTGCTACCAATGGGTAGTTTCTCCTCATGTTGTACATGTCATATTACTTGTGTATATTTACTTGTATTTATTATTAATTACAGCTGTAAATTTCGTTAATAAAAAAAAAAAAAAATTTACCATAATTATAACAAATTCTATAATGTATAAATAATTTTTTGTACAAAACCTTTGAAAAAGTAGAACAAAAACTTGATTCTATCATCCACATAAGAATATTATAAACATAAAAGTAATAAATAAAATATAATTTATAGTAAAAAAAAAAAAAAATCATACTTATGCAATGGAATAGGCATTGCAGATTTTGGATCATAAAAATTTTTTCCATGAAGCGCTAAGCCTAAAATAACCATAATTCTTCTAAACAGAACGTTGTAGAGGTGTATCGCTTCCGGATCACCAAATTTTCTTTCTTTCGTAAATGTAATTTTAACTGTAACAACGCTATTATCATGTGATACAGTTGTTTTTACCAAGGTAACCTGTAGGAAAAATGTTTACAGAAAAAAATGAGATATTTGTTGATTATGAGGAACACACACACACAAAAAAACTATTATCTAATTTCATTTAAATGAAATTGAAATTCTTAAATTTAACTACCTTCAGACCCATTTAAAAAAAATAGCGACAATTATTACAAATAATTGCAGTTGTTATTAACATTTTTGACTCCACTAGAAATTTCAATTAATTTTATCTTTAATATACCTAATTCAATATTAGATCAACATTGTACTATGTTTCATCTATTGTAGATGTTTCTCAATCATATGCGACCTGTCGCCTATTGGGAAAGTTTCTAAACTCAGCACTATGTCCATTGGTGGAATCTATCAATTGATGAATTCAGCACTGATGGTTAAAATTTAAAACAAAAAATGTAAAGTTATGATAAAATAAAATATAACTTACTTTCTGAGGTAACTTAAATGGAAGATAAAGAACCATTCCGTCAAAGAGCTTAGTCTCTCCTATGACATTCTTGACACTATTCAATATCCCGAATTTGAGACTCCTCGATTCTACGGGGGGATCATATTGAACATCATACTGAAAGAGACCTTTACCCTTTTCTACTTTGAGTTTGACATAATTTACTCCTACAGGTATTCTAAAAAAATAAAAATAAAAATTAAATCACAGGAATAAAGAGTAATAATTTCATTTATAAATATTGCAATCTTTGGTACAAGGTCTAGATCTATCATTAATCTTTCATATCACTGTATTCGTTAATATATTTAATATAAACAATTTACTCAAATTTGGCATATAATTGTGGAAATCAGTAGTCTTCAGCCTTGTAAAAAAAGTAATATATTTCTTATCGGTCTAATATAATTTCCAAGTTGAATTTCACAATAATTCTAGTTGATGAAAATATCTTGAGCATTCAACCAAAAATCATTCAGTTTGTTTGCAGACCAAAGCAAATAAAACTGCAAAGTTGTTTAGTAGATTGATCTAGATTTACTTTAGTAAGGAGTGATTGTGATAGCATCCGATTATTGTTAATCAAGTGTTCTCAGGATATCTTGAAGAGAACTTAATGCTTGAAGAGAACTAAACGATCAAAGCTGCTAGAAAACTCATGATGGAAGCCAACATTCAAGAGGCATAAGAAAAAAAATTGACTAGAGTTGCAATACTATAACAGATCTTTGACAACCAATGGACGACATTTTCTCCATGTTTGTACTTCTTACGAGCTTGAATTAACCATTACATATTCCTTTTCAATCTTTCATGGAGTAAAGTAAAGTTTCATTCTTAAATAAAGAAACTATATGGTTATGGGATGAATATATCTAATCTCGAAACTACTCTACATTACATTTTATTAATTAATACTGAATTAAAAATTTAATTCACTGACAAATTCTTGATATGTCCTCTAGCTTTCTAAAATTATTAATTAATAATTTGAATTTAATACATTGTTTCTCTTCTCTATTAATTTTCTCACTTTTTAAACATTATTTTAGTCATTATTATAATCAATGGAAGCTTACCATTCATATAATTTCATTACCAATTAAAACGTAATCTCTTATAAATAGAAAATATAATTATTGCAATATATATAATTTATAAATATATAGTACACCACTTACTCCCTTCCATATGTCCCCTTCATAACAACAGGTTCCTTTTCTGCTTCACTGGTAGACTCGGCCAATGAAGTTTTAGACAAATGTCGAGAAATTTGTTCGACTGAAGGACTACTCGCCTCCCTGGAAAATAATGACCATCAGATATTATGAAAGGATAAATATTTCAAACAGTTATTCAGTGTAACTGAAAATGTAAACAGTATATATTTTTTTATTGTTTCTTTATTTAACCTTGTTAAAGATATACAACCAGTGCAGGTAGTTTGAATAAAAGGTGAATCAACTATCATTGATGAAAATACGTTGATACATGTTCTGACCAATCTAATGATTATATTATTTCATTATTAATGTAACTGTTTAAAAAATTGGAAATAAAAAATGTTAAAAAAATTAACAAATAAATGAATAAGAAATATAGTTAAAACTAATACAATATTGAATAGAATTTGGGGGAAAAAGTTAGCCCCTCATGATAAATTTGTAAGAATCTCACAACTTGAATAGTTTGGAATCTCATAGTAGGAAAACGTGTGTAATGTCAGCCATGTTAGAAAAATGGCTTTTCAGACTGAAACCTCCCGAAATAGTAAAATGTAACCATGTTTTATAGGAAAAAATATTATCTTTATTATTATTATTGCTCATGTAATTATATTTAATAGGACTTCAAGAATCACTGAAACACCATTTCAGATAAGTAGTTAGTATCTTTATTTTTTTTTCAAAGTAATTATCAGTTATATAAATGCTCAATATTTCTCTATTCGGTCTTCGGATTTTAAGCCAACTTACAGCAATTTTTTCACTACAAAATCTTATTACGACTTTCGGCTAGTCGAGCAATTTTAGAGACTAAAAGTAATTTTTTCAATTTACATCCATTACATTTATCCAGAGGGTGAAGACAGACACTCCACGTGGTGCTCCCTGGTAACAGTATTATACTGGCTAAACGATCTGAAAATGTAGTAACCTGAATGGGTCATACCATCTGACCGTCTCAGGAAGAGGATTTAAATATCCTGTTGAGAACTTTGAAGCCACAAGATAGGTGTAGCTACCTTAATAAGGCAGTATCTCCACTGCAACAGGTACTGTGGGCCAATCCCTCACATCTCTGAATGAAAATGATTACTGATGAGTTGGAAGAAGCATGGGCGAACTTTAAGGCAGTGATCCTGAGTGCAGCAGAAGTAGTTTATATGAAGGTGCCATGCGGCGGCAGTGGCAGGGGGAAAAATACTAGATGGTGGACACAGATTTTGAGAGAAGAGGTGATAAGAAAGAAAAGCCTTTGGAGAAGCTACTTGGGAGAGAAGAATCCAGAAAGCTATGAAAGGTATAAGGTGCAAAGGAAGAAAGTAAAGGAAATGGTTGTGAAGGAGAAACAGAAAGCCTGGAAAGAATTTAGAGAATTTATGGAAGAACAAATCAAAAACTGTTCTACAAAGCTTTGAAAAACACGAGGAATGAGAAAAAATGCCTTATAAAGTTTATAAAGGCTAAGGATGGGGAAATAATAAATGAGCCGAAGTGAATACTGAAAAGATGGAGGGAATACTTTAGAGAGTTACTTGATGGAAATGAAAGGAGCGAAGAAATGGAAAATTTCCAGAAGATTAATGAGGATAGTGTGGAGCTGCAGCAAGGAGAAGATGATCCGATAGAAAAAGAGGAAATGTGGGACGCACTGGATGGGATGAAGCTGAGAAAGGCAACAGGTCATGATGGAATAAAACCCGAGATGCTTAGATATATGGGGGAGGCAGGGGACGAATTACTCTTCAGGATATTAGAATTGACCTGGAAAGATAAGAAGATTCCGAAAGATTGAGAAACCTCAATCATTGTTCCAATCTTCAAGAAAGGTAATACTCGAGAATGTGCCAATCATAGAGGCATTGCACTGCTGTGTGTCCATGGTAAAATATACTCACGTATTTTAAAAAGAAGATTGAGGAATGAGGTAGAACACCAACTGGACAAGGAGCAGAGTGGCTTCCGACCAGGCAGGAGTACTCAAGATTACATCTTTGAGCTACACCAAATATGTGAGAAATTCATCGAGTACGATAAAGAGGTTTACCTGTGCTTTATAGACTTTGAGAAGGCATTCGACAGCTATGGGCTTCACTCCGGAATAAACAAGTGTCCAAGGCTCTTATACAGAGAATTAAATCATTTTATAAGACCTGCAGAAGCTGTTAAAACATCTGCCGAATTTGTCACTACAATGGGAGACATAGGGAGCCCTCTATATTTTATCACCCTCAAGTATGATTTAATTAAGGAATGTAAGAGGAAAACATGGGAGACAGCTCTTGGATATTGGAAATTGCAACCAGTCAACTGTTCATCGTTTGCATTTGCTGATGACATAAATATGTATAATCCCAACAGTCATAAATTGCTCTTAAGAAGATAAAACCACATTAAATTTTTTTTTCAAAGAATTTTAAATGAATTGTGGACAAAGAAGTAAATATACCTCGCAGCTAAGGAAGCTAACAAAGCTCTCCCTCTTCCAGAAGGTTTCGGAGCAGCTCCCACTTCCTCCTTTGAATCTTCAGTTCTCCTCAACTCACCGGCTAGCAATGCACTTCTCCCCATCGGTCTTCTTGGTGCTTCAGTTTCTGATGTATGAGCTGACACATCCTAAAAATAATAAATACCCTTGGTTAATAAAATTATAAAATTTGGAGTGTTATGAAATGATGTTCAAATACCTATGCCATCATTATATTGAGTAATACATGAATTATAGAACATTAACATTACCTGTCCATAAGAATATGGATCTCTTTCTTGAGACGATTGTGAAAATGAAGACGATGGCCGATGAGATGATGGCTCAGGCTGAGAGCGAGGAAAGGACTGAGCGTGAGGCAAAGGCTGAGGTTGGGATTCGAGAAGCTTCCTTAAAGCTTCTCCCCTCCCAAGGCGTCTACCCTCCATTATATAGTTTAATAAATCTGAAAAAAATTGTCATAATTACAATAAAGATAACTTTAATATGTTATATAAGGACATAAATTACAAAAATAATAGATTATAAATAACTATTATGCAGATTATTATCAAATATTAATAAATTTCATGCAAAATTTCATATCTTAATTAAATGAAATTTATTAAAATATTAAAGTACTGTCTAACTTTACAAATTAAATATTAATGAACATCTAACGAAATGAAAAATCTTCATACTAAGAAAATATCTATCTACATTTTTTCTAGTATTTATGAATGTCCTCATATAAAAGACAGAAATTAGTCATTTTCAGGAAGTGGAGAAAAAGTCAATTTTTGTTTTACAGATTCACCTCAAACTGTTTCTGATGATTTTACATAAGAATGTTTTAGTTTTATCATGAAAAAAATCAATAGAATTAGTTTAAAATGAAGCTCTTACCAAAATTGACTTTTTCTGAAATTTTTAAAAATGATAGATGTCCATCTTTAATATGAAGCCACTAATATTCATGACCAATTTAGCAATGCAGATAAAACTGAATTGACTTTGCTGGACAGGTCATGTTGCCAGAACGTATAGTATACATGCGATTCCTAGGGTGTTAATGATGGATCACTGCACTGCATCATGATAAGCGGTCGACAGACTAAGATTAAAATGGTTGGAGGGCTTAGCAAGCGACAGAAATACCTGGAATGTCGGAAGAAGGCAGGATTCACGGATTGCAGTATTAATTACTGAACCACGCTTATATCATCGGCACCATGTTAAAGTAACGAATGTGAGTCTGTTCAACATTGCACATTCTTTACTTTAAAATGGTGCAGACGATATGATTAATAGTAAATTATTTCAAGAGAAAAATATATGAGAGTGGAAGATAAATTAAAGACACAAAAGTATTTTTTAAAAATTAGTGGCATAACAGATTGGCTAAGCCCATGGAAATAGATCTTATACTGAAGTGTTTGGCTTTAGTATACTCCAATAAAATAGAGAACTAATAAAATTAATTAAATATAATTAAAACTAATACTTTGACATGTGAGGCCTGTCAAAAAAAATAATTTTTTAAATTAATTTTCTAGCATCTAAATCACCATGGGGATGCCCATATTCTATGGCAAAATAGTTTAATTCAAACTCCCTTATAACAAGATAAAAAAACAAAAAAACAATGGTATTCTAGAAATATTTGAAATGAATTCATTCATTCATTATGCACGAAAATAATTTTTGATAACCCTAAAAATTCAAATAGTATGACATCTAGTCTTTGCTAAGAAAATCATTTATTTTTTCTTTGTTTTAATTCTCATCATTCAGTTTTATGATCATCTGTAAAATCTAAAATACTGGACATAGATATAATCTATGTTATATGTCAACCAACAATTGTGAAACCATAGATATGTCAACTGATTTAAAAATAAAAGGCATTAGTGGAAAGTAAAAATTATAGTAAAACTAATAAAATACACTAAAGAAATAAAGAAAATGAATTTTACTTTGGGCCATTTAATCCAATCAGAATAACTATAATGAACAACAAAATGACAATTGTCTGGTATTAGAATAAAATTAAAAATAAATTAATTTACAAAGTTGTCTAACCCTAATATTAAAATAAAGAAAAGATACTGTAGCAGATATATGATCTTGAAGTAGAGATTTGAATTTTAAGATAAATACAAGGAGCGAGTTCACGTATTTGTACAAATCACTAACATTAATAAAACAAGCAGAATTGAAGCAAAATAAAATGGGCTATGCTAACAAGACCTAGTAAAGAAGTGTAGGTACAGGTTTGAAATGTGCGGTTTGAATGTAGAGTTAGAATTTACATTCAGTACATTTTTCAATAATATTAAAAGTTTATTAATGCAAAAAAAAAGTAAAGATAGAAAAATAATCACATTGTTCAATATGTAGAAATTAATGTCCAATCAAAAAAACTATTTTGGAATATTTAACCAGCTTTCTAATTGCAATAGGACAAGTTAGGTTCTTTAAATAATTTACAAAAACAACAGAATTACAATCAGTTTCTGCACTAACATATAACAAGGATAAAATAAAATCAAGTGTTGCTGTGTTCTTAAAACAATTACTTCTACTTCTTATTAAAAGTTAGACCATCTTAACACTACAAATAAATTTAAAATACTAACTTATATTTAATAAACAAATAAAACATTATAATACTTACCAGTTTATGTTGTAATAATAATATACCGTTAATGACAACCCAAATTACATTCAAAACGATATGTCATTAATGTTAGGAGAAAAGCACAAACGGCGACACACTCTACAGGACAGAGCTCTTTGCAACTTAGCAGTAATTTGAAACCTTCATATGTAAACAACCGCACACTTGTGTCAACGCTAGATGAATATGAAGGTTTTGGAAGTAAAGAAAAATAATAAAATAACGTGATTATTTTTAAAATTCGTAATACTTTTATCCAACATTGAAACTGTTCATCGGCAACATATAAGATTTTATTTGAAAAAGCTTACGAAACTTTTATATAAATAAACATTGAATATTTTGAGGAGAGTCTTAACAGAATCCAATAACACTTAAGCCAATAAAACACTAGATAAATTGCTTGTAAACAATATTATTAGCGAGTTTGAATTCTTTAGATAAGAATAGGATGAAGTCCAATATGTTTTAACAGAGCTACATCCTTATATGTGGTATCATGAATTGAGCATATCATTTTAAGGGGGGGGGGAGGAGATGAGGCACACAAGAAACGAAATAGTGGAGAGGAATAATTTGTTAACATATTTACAATTTAACTTCTGAATTAAATTAAACTAGTCAAAATTTTCTTTTCTTGTGAATGAAGTGGAAATTACCTAATTATAGAATATATGTATAAATCACTAGCAGAGAGGGAAGATTTTCCAGCTGAAGCTCCCAAAATGGAAAAATCATTTTATTTTATTTTTCTAAGCTAGATACTTAAACAAAGTTCTATTTTGTAAATTATAATACATATACAGCTACTAATTAGTACCATATCTTACTGAAAAAAAATTATCTTTAAAAGTATTATTGTTGGTGTAATTACAATATTTTTTTAATTGGTGTTTAAGAATCTGTCACACATCATTTCAAATAAGAAGTTTCTTTCTTTTTCTTTTAAAGTAATAATCGTTATATATATATATATATATATATATATATATATATATATATATATATATATATAAAATCCAAAGCTTTCTGACTGAAGTCCTCAAAATTAAATCCTGGATCCACTACTGGTGCAGATATTAGTTTCAATAATCACCTCTCTTATCAATATTGGTTTATTTAATTATTTATAACTAAATATAAGCGGATCAAGACCAGTTGCTATAAAAAATAAAAGAAATACTGACTAATTGTTTGATTATTTCAATTTTTTTAGAACCTTTTAGTTAAAATATTTTCACACTCCCTATGTGTGTATGAATAATGAAATAAAATTTGGAACCCCTAAGGGACCTTATGCGGCCGCTTGACCTGTTTCTGAGCTTAGGACAAACCCCATGTCGGAATCCATCATAGGCATTCAAGTAAAGATCAATAAATTAAAAAATGTACAGCATTAAGTTCCTAAAATATTTTCACAAGGCAAAATTTCCTAACTCATTCAATACCTTATTTGGCTGTAATTTGATAGAAAAATTCATTTATGTGTTAGTTGTTTTTTTCAGCAAGCAGCACTAGCGGATCCAGGATTTAATTTTGGAGGGGGGGGCTTCAGCCCGAAAGATGTTTTTTCATATAAGTATAAAAATGATTAATTAAAAAAAAGAAAGAAAGAAATTAACTATCTTGAAGTCCTATTAAATGTAATTAAATGAACGAAAATACTTTAAGAGATAGTTTTTTTTTTCTGTAAAACATGGTTATATTTTACCATTTTGGGGGGGACTTCAGCCCAAAAGCCCTCCCCTCCTCCCCGTAGATTCGCCTGTGGCAAGCAGAAATTATAGCGTAAAACTCTCAGGTCATCAATGCTGGTTCTTAAAATTTTTTTTGAGAATAATTTGTAAAAGGCCTTCGTGTAGGTTTTAATTGTAAATCTAATAATTAACAGGGACACAATAAAATTATCCATGGAGTCCTTAGTTTCTCTCCATTAGCCTCTATGCTACAAAAAATTGGTCGAATAGGATATGAAAAATTGTAAAATAGTTAAAATTTGTAACTTTGCCTCCATATTTCATAGTTTACTATAAAAAAAAAAATATATTTTCTAGTAAATTAAGATATTTTCTACCTAAACTGTACTGCTCTATAGTTAAAGTAGCAAAGAACTTAATTCACAAGAAAATAAATTATTTTGAATCGTAATCTGTATAAAATAAGGGAGGGACACAGTAATATTTGAAATAATAATAATAACTAAATAAATAATTCTGTACTACTAAAACCTACAAAGGTTCTGAAGTAAAATTTTTTTAAAGTGCAATGGAAGGTGATATGGCCCAGATCATGTATTCACTATACAGGAATAATAGAGGCTGAGTGTGCCATTTGAGATCCAAACTATCCTATTAGAATTAATTATTTTGATCTTACTTATTACATACTTTAATATTTTCACTATTATTTTACATAATAATAATATTCATTGATTCAATAAATGTTATCAAAATTAATTTTCATTTATTGATAACTGTAGAAGTAAATCTTTTATATCCCCAATATATCTATATTTGTGCCTCCATCCTTACTATCAATTAATCTTACTTGTTCAAAACTATAATTAACCACTACAGACTAACTGAAAATCATATACCATAGATGATGAGTGGATTGATAAAAACACAATAAACTTCTGAAAAGTTTTTTCTTTATTATACATTAATTTAGAATTGTCTTCAAAATAATTAATATTGAAGTTCTTTTAGTAAATAATTAAAACAGATTTGACTAAATGATTCATTTTATTCATCGATAAATACATACATTTATGGAAATACTTAATAAGTAGACTGAAGTCGAACAATAAAATCATGAAGAAGATTGTGCATAACTATCTGAGAAAGTCTCAAATCTGTTTAGAGACTACAGCCTATAATCGCAACAAGTCTTCAGCAAAGCTCTTGGACAGACTTCGCTGACTATGGATTGATAGCTGATTTATTTACAAATTTAAGACAGTAAAAGATGCATCAATTGTATTATTTTTTTTTTCTTTATTATTATTTTTGAAACATAAAAATTTGTTAGACTTAAAAGCTATTATCAAAGAAATTTTGCAATTGAGATTTCAAAGTACAATTTTTTTTATTTATTTCTAAATAAATAGGTCCTTTAGATAAATAGGTCTTTCGTCCTATACTTCACTAGTTTTTTTTGTACCCTTTTGTATACCTCAAGAAATCTATTTATAATTAATTTTTTATTTGTTTTATAATGAAATAAGTTATTTATCAATTTCTATCTTTGAATAACATATTTCAGGTATTGATTTTAATTTTCATAGCTTTTAATTTATGGAGATGAGAGAAATATTAAAAAAGAAAAATAGTCTATAACCTGTTTTTGACATGTGGAATTTTTGCTTGGTAACATTGCCTGCATTTTACATTAGTTTATTTCTCTGTTGTATTCTATATTTGCCGACATTTCAAGCGGTGAGCGCTCCTGAAGATTGACTTTGGCTTTTAGTAGATATTCAAATTGGTGTGGAATTGAATTAACTCATTTTCCATTATTGGTACAGGAATTTTACTACTTATACTGTAGTGAATACAATTTGATTTTTAGTACTTATTGGCTATTCTTTTCTTATGATCTGGCTGAGATTAGTTCTTTGACATTCCAGCCTGGACAATCCACAATATATTTTTTGGATGCCTCATAACAACTAATCAAATGAGTTATCAATTAAGAACTTTTCCATCAGTTCTGTCAAATTTAGATTGTTTATAATTTTTTGCGGGCTTATAATTATTATAATCATTGATGTGCTTTATGGTCACTACTGTTTTGCATTAACATAATTTTTGTTTTAGGGGACATGAAGAGGCAACTTTTCTCAGTTCTCGAGTGACAAACTTGAGCATTCTAGGTTTAGGTGGCAGTATTGCCACTCCACCTGAAGGAATAACTACTTCAGTTCTTGTTGTAGAAGCTTTGATGAACTGAAAAATAAATCCAACGAGGTCAGCTTATATGAACTTTAAGATGATAGAATTCAGGCCTTCATCAGGGCTGATCGAAGAGATCACTTGGATAGATCTTCGATCAATCCTGATGAAGGTCTGAACTTCGGGTCGAAACATTGGCAAATGTTAAAATAAATATTATCATTTATTTTTGCCATTTTTACTTTGACTGATCACTTCAACTATCCTTGTCTTCATTATTCACTACAGTCAACCATCAACCCACAATTATAAATAATATATCTACTTTAGTGTGGGATGCAACATCCTGTACGAAATGAAAAAAAAAATACAAAAATGCCATAATAAGATGCTGAGAATCGCAACAATCCTTGGTTTATAAGAAGCAGTCAACTCCATCGTCAACTTCCAATAGAAACAATAGATGAATTCATTAAAAAACACTTTACCAAAAAATATCATTCCCAGTTACCAGCGGTTAGAAATGCAGCAGTTTTCAACGTAGAAACTCTGATGTCATTATGTAGACTGAAACCCAGACTTTTGCAAGAACTCTTTTATATAGATGAGAATTTTACTTTAATTTCATTATTATTATTTATTTTATATTTTTCTTAATCTTTATTTGTTGTATTATTATTCCTATATTCTACTAACTTTACTAGTCTATAGTTATAGACATCATGTATCATTAGGGTTCTCTTTTGAGTATAACCCACTTAGCCAAATGCTAAACATTTACTGATCGTTAATGGCTCACTAAGCCAATCTGGAAATAAAGAATATATATATATATATAAACATATCTACTTAGTCAAATGTGATTAATTAAGAAAATATTGAATCTAAGATATCCTTACTAACAAATGCAATATATCACATTTATTTTCACTTAGCATCCTTAATAAGTACTTGTTATATTTTTGAGTAAAAAAAAAACATTGCACTTTCTGCCCTCCTCAATAATTTAAGAATAGCGGTCAGCTTGCTCCTATAATATTTCACAGTTATTTACTTGAAAATAATTGAACTGACAAAAAGTTAATTATAATATAATATTACAAATAATAAACTGACTACTTTATTCCCATTCCTATGGACAGTTTTTTCTTCTTCTAAAGTTTCAACAAATTTTTAGTTGTATACTAATATTGAATACTCAATAGTTGACCATAGTATATTAAGGAAATAGATGGTTGGGGTGGTGATCATAAACAAAATAACATAATAATAGTGGAAACTATCTTATTATTAATTAAACATTTGCCACTATTTTTAGTTCTTTTGATGATCGATACTCCAGACTATTTCTTTTCTCATTAGTTATAATCAACAAA